AAGTTGAGAAAAAGAAAATCAAAACATGACCAATCATCAATTGAGAAGATGAGATTAGAAATGTATGTGTAGTTGCTGAAAAAAACATAAAGGAATTGAAAGACACTTTAAACTTAATTAGGCATTCGGCAATCAAACTGGTTTCAAAGCTTTATTTCCGTATGTCTTAATAGTGTTTCTTAGGATTTTCATATTGTTTCTTCTCGCTCTTAAATTGTAGTTTGCGATCCCTAATTTGTATATATTTTTTAAACTGCATTCTTAAAGATGATTCCAAAATTAAATATAAGGACATACAGTAAAGAACACTCAACATCATAGAATCAAAATGTTTCAGTTTTCATAATTATGCATTGCATTGAATTTCAGTAATTGTAGTAAAAGATATTGATCGGATTGTGAAATATAATATTTTTCTATTTAATGTCACATTTTTGTCTACATTAAGAAAAAGTTACTTTTATCAATATACATATATACATATATATATATATATAATAAAAATATTTGATCAAAAAAAGGTTTTATTAGTAAAAAATTATTTTAAACTTGAAGTTTAAAGTAATTTTTTTTACTCTTTTATGCTTTTAAAGATTTTAATTGATTTAAAGCACTCAAGCATTTTGACTAAACAAAATTATACAGAATTTTTTTCTACAGAACAATATTGTTTCATTCAACAACAAGAGGGGAATTCATTAGTTGTTACAGAGTAGTTATCAGGTTATATTCAGAAAAAACAAGAACACTCAAAGAATTAAATTATCAAGAGATATTTAACATAATTTTTTCTTAATAGAAACAACAACAAAAAAGGAGTTAACTTTTTTTCTTAAATATGAATGAATGCACTTAAAAATAACATAATGAAGATCAAAACACTCAAGTTATTTAAAAACAAATAAACCATCAGTACCTGAGATATTCTAACAATGTTTTCCTCATTTGGCATAACAAAATAAATAGTAGGTACATCTGGTATAGGATCTCTGTCAGAGTGTAAAAGGCTACAAAGACACATTTCCTTAATAATATGTCAAAAATATTAAAATTGAAATTAAAAACTTTAAGGAAAGAAAATCTATACTAAGGATTAATACTTACAGATGAAGTGTGACTCCCATATCTCGTAACTCCTTCACTGACAATATAGGGGAAATTATGTCCTGTCCATACCGATCATACACCAAAATCTGAAATATAGAAAAAAAAAATTCAAAAAATACAAAAAAATATATAAAAAAAAAATTTTCAAAATAATCAGACTTTCTTAAGTTTAATTCAAAGTTAACTTTACATGGTCGCCATTCGAATCTGGAAGAAATAAAATTCCCTGTAGATATTATACTACACAATATATTAAGAGGAAACACACTATCACTGTGCTTTTGTGTGAGCTATATTGTTAAAACTATACTAAATTTAATTGCTGGAGAAACTTAAAGAAAAAAGGTACAGCTGAACATATTTAGAACAAATAATGCTAGAGTAAATTAAATAGTTTAGTATAGCTGAAATATCATCCTTAAATATGCCATAGATTTCGCTTTGAGTGGTCACCATTTTTTAAAAGACTAAAATAAGAAACAAAATTCCCTGAAATTTTCCAAGTTTGCAAAGAAAAACTAAAAATTCCCTGTATTTTCCCAGTTATTTTGGTTGATTTTTAAATTCCCTGTGTTTACCAGGTTACCCTGCTTTAAAATCCTGAATGAGATAGGCCGTAAAAAACCTATTTTCACAGTACCTATAACAAATATCCAGGTAGGTATATTAGTATATAAATAAAGCAGCATCAATAAATGACAGTAATATCTATTACTAAAACATTTTCTTTCTTTCAGATTATTATTTTTAAATTAAACATAAGTGTATCATTAGCAATCTTTAAGATTAATAAGAATACTGCTATTGATTTTGTGTTGAAAATTTAAATCCATTTAACAAATATACTTTATAATAAATTATTAAACATAATTTATGATCAAATATGTTGTTTGGAAAATTATTTCATAAGGTAAGATATTAATTCGATTCTTGATACCTTCCAAACTGGTTCAGAAACTGATGCTTTAGTGATATTAGCATTAAAATTCAGCATTCTCTTCAATGCAGCTGAAATACAAACATAATAACAGAAATTAGAGAACAGAAACATATGTTACACAAGGAAATTAAAATTTACAACAGCAAAAAAAAGAAAGATAAAGTTCTTAACGGTGGCTTTTTCAGCAGTGCATTATTGAAGTGTATTAATAAAATATTATCTATTTTATCTTACAATTAAAAATTACACAAAAAATAGCAAAATAATATAACTTACAAATCTGCTTTTCTCGCAAAACAGACGCCATAGTAATTTTAATAAAATTTCTTTACTATTAAAACTTTATAGATTAATTTAATATGAATTTATCCTGTTAACAACATTTTCTGCTATAATCTTATTATTATTATTTACGTGTCCAGAAACCGTACCGTAAAAAAAAAAAGCAAATCAGAACCTACTACTTGATTGATGCCAAAAACTAAATTGTCCTTAAACAAATTTTGGCATATCAAATAAAGATACTGTTTTTTATTCTTTCGAGGCAAAAGAATTATCCATGCATCCATGCACAGTAAATTCAAATACTCAAATCATGAAATCTTTTTATAAAATTTTCCTTTTAATTGGAAAAACAAAATTTAAAAGGAAAAAAAATTTGTTTTTTTTTTNTTTTTTTTATTTTTTTTTTTTTTTTTTTTTTTTGGTTACATTACAAAACTTTCACTTCAACTAAAAATTAATTATATGTGGTGGATGTTGTTTACATGTCAGATGCAATTAATTTCGCGGAAATTTATTAACAAATAATTCTGCTGTAAATGTTAAACAAATAGATCCTAAATATTTTCATTTTTATAAAAAAATCTCTTACAGCAAATATGTCCGTCGCTTAAATTGGTATTTGATGTATACCTCCAGTCACAGGTTAGTAGGCGAAAAGGGTAGGTCAATATGTTGGTTGATACCATAATATTGCTAATGATACCTTACTAAAAGTAACTTTTTTTTTAACAATTTATATTTCTATATTATAAGTCAGTTTTTTCTTTTATTTTTATCATAACAGTATTGTTATATTATGTTCATTATGAATTTCTTCTATTAGATTTTGTCTACTGGATTTTAAAACTATCTTAATCAATTGTTTGTCTGTCTAGCTATATAGATGCATTTATTTCTTTATAGGGCTTTATAATATACTAATTTTATAATTTCCAGATTTCATATAAAATATCGAATTTTTTACGTGTATGCGATCCATCATTCTTGTATTTATTGACTACGAATGAATGAAAACTTTTTGACCTTTATAAATGTTAATGCTGATATGAATATTAAAATTGTCAAGCACGTTTAAAACATCCACAAACATGTCGAGTAATTGTGTTAAACAAAGATTTGTGTTAACGAAAATTTTGAATTGGAGGAAAAAATATTTTATATAGAAGGCTTTTAGAATTAAATTCAATGGCATTAGGCAGAAGAACATTTTTTATTACTATGAATTGCAGCTCTTGAAAATCAATAGAAAGGATTTAAAATGTTTTCAAATGTAATGTAGGTTGTGTACATTTCTCCATCAAAATTGTTTTAACTTAAAAGCACCCAAATTAAAAACTTTGAGGATTTAATTCAATGTAACATTACTCTGTTCTTGTGGATAGGAATTTTCTCATAGTAGCAGTTTGCATTGTTGCACTCAGGTTGTAAATATAAATTAAGTTAAATGAAAGATACACAATATTGTCATTTGCATATTTTATCTCTTATAATAAATGTTAACATTTCTTTTAGTTAGTTAGTAATACTTTTTATGGAATAATACTTATTAAGAAAATTTTTTTATTATTTTAACTATTACTTTAGATTTAAATCCATTCTATTTTTACTCTCATTATTCAAATTACCTCTTTATGCTTCATTGATTAAAATTTTTTTTAAAAATTTAAAGAAACTAAATTATCAATTATTTACAATGAAAATTTATTTACCTAGAACAAAATATGTCAAAATTTTATTTTCCATGAAATACTAACCACAAAGTTTAAAGAAAATCTCCAAATTTTTACATGCAAGATTTATGTTTTTCGTTGAATTTAGTATCAATTTAGTCAATTTTTATTCTAATTTGTAATTTATCTTCGTTTTAGTGTTCCCCTGTAGNTTTTAGTGTTTTTTTTTTTTTTTTTTTTCTATTTCTTTTAATGTAATTTCTATATTTTATTCATTATAAATTGTAGTAAATGGAGTTATTGTAAAATGTAATAATGAGATACAAATACAAACATATTAAAATATTTTGTGATCTTATCTTATAGTTATGCAATTGTCAGTGATTTTAATTTTTATTGTGTGACTAAAAGTGAGATTTTTTTCTAATATATTGTGATATTTTATTTATAACAAGCTACATTTATAAATTTATTGATAGAACAAAATTTATCTATCTAGTTTCTTGTCAGAACTGAGGCAATTAATTTCAGAAACATCCATGCTTTTTTTGTAGTTATTTATCTGCTTTTATTTATTTTTGCTCTGAAAAATTATTTTTTATTGAATTACTTATAAAATACAAAAATTAATATCAGCTTTAAAGCCAAGAACAAACAAATTAACCTAGTTAGCTTTTGGGGATGTCAACCAAATGTGTGCTATTTTGCTGTCAGGAATTATGTCTATGAACTGTTGTTTTTAATCTAAGTATTATGTCATTAGTAAACATTTAGCTTTTAGAAATACCATGTCAATATATGCTATATGTGCTATCAGGTTCACTTTTTAGAATTTCTCTATTGTCATTTCTCCTTTCATTCCGCGGATTACAGAATTTAAATCTTCAGTTGTTAGTTATTTGCTAAGATTCCATGTAGATCATAGCAGATTATAACATGTATAATGATAACTCAATAGATGATTTTAACTCAAATTTTAGTAATGTCTGCTTTTGGTTTAATAATAAATTAATATTAAACTATTTCATATCAAACCAAAATCATTACTTTTCTTACCTTTAAACTCCTACATGTTTAATAATAACTGTATCTGTAATTTAATAATAATGTCTGCATATATAATAATATTTAATAATAATAACTCATTTGACTTTTATTTATTTTTCCAGAAGACTCCCTCTTGTAGTTCTTGTAGATATAGTATGATGGATCCTTTTCCTGCTGGCTGGAGTGACATTTTTGAAGAAATGCTTCCTCGTAATGAGTGTGATATATGCAGACCTCCATTAGATATTGGTCCACCTCCACCTCTCCCTGCCAGCTTTCAAGATAAAGCCATTTTGTCTGGCAGTTGCAATGTCTGCAGTGTTCTATCAGATGTTGAAATCAGACCAATACGTAAGACTTTTATATACTTATAATATGAGAAGGGTTGTAATTTATACAATATGAAACTGTGATGTTAGTTTCTATTTTAATAATTTCATGTTTTAATAGTAAATTTATTAGTAATTTTAAATAATTGGAATCTGATTATCATTTTAGATTGCAAGCGGGGGGAAAAATTTAATAATATTGTATGATCTTATTAAAATAAAAAAATCTTGTACAAGAAAAGAACTGTTTTTAAGAATTAGTTATAAATCTTACTAACATTTTACTTATTGTGTTTTTTGTTTAGCATGCTAATCTGGTACAAATGTTGTATCTGCTAATGGCAAAAGCTTAAAACAATGATTCATAAATTTCACCTTCATTATTTTTATTTATTTATTTTTTTATTTATTTATTTTTTTTTTTGGTTAATTAATTTTTTTAATTCTATTTTACTTTACTTAAGTTTGTGTCTTTTTGTTTTTATGTTGTTTTTTTATTTATATATATATATATTTATTTATTTCAAGTTTATAGTTTCTTTTCGATTTAATTTGAGCAATGGTGATATTTCTTATTCATTATAAATAAATAATATATGCAATGTTTATCCTTTATGAGTTAGTTACATAATCTCATCACTTTTTTCTACAGAAATTAAATTTGTATTATGCATATTATGTTTAGAAAGTTTATAAAACTAAAGTCCTTTAATTAAACAAATCAAAATTAATTCTTACATCTCTGCAGCTGTACTCCATGACCTTACTTAAAATGTAGTCAAAGGAGTCTGTTTCCTGTTTCATTTATTATTCATTATTATTTTTTTAGTAAAATAATGTTGTATTTCTGATATCTATGTAGATGTAACAGATGCTTCATTGCTACCAGTTGCTGCCACTTTTGTAGTTGGAATTCTGTTTGTGCTTTTGACACTTATTGTATTGCTGTTCAAGATTAAGAAGTAAGATTGTAAATAATATTTTTTGATAGTTTTTTTTTTTATCTGAGCCGTGGTGGCTCAGAGGATAGAGCGTTTGCTTTCCAAGAAATTCAGAATCGTGGGAACACGGCGACAATGTTGCAGAACATTACAGAGGGATTTTTTATTTGGGAAGCAAAGTAGTTTGGGTTTTTTTTCATCTGCAGATTTTAATAATATTTTTTTCTGCAGAACTTTTTTTCCCCTTTCTACAGAATTACATTTAAAAAAATGCCTTTTTCGAATGTCGGAAGTGGAAAAAACGCTCGTGATCTTTTCTTTTTTTTTTTTTTTTTTTTTTTTTTTTTNTTTTTTTTTTTTTTCCTTCTGAGAATAAAAAAAAAATTCCACAATGACTGGCTTTAGCTAGAATTTTAGATTGATATAAAAAATATTTCCAAATAGCAAAAATTTAAAAAAAGTTAACTATACAAATATTTTTTTTATAGCAGGAGAATATTGTCAGTAATATTATAATATGTATTCTCTTACATGTAGATTTAAAAAAAAAAATCTTGCATTTATAATTTTAAAAAATTATATACTGTACTATTCAATACATGAGGCTCTTTTTTGTAATCAGAAAGCGCTTCTGTTACTTTAAATTAGTAACATATAGATTTGCTACTATTAAAAATGTCTCTCAGGAAGGTGTTAGTACTGGAGAACATTGTCGCAGGGATACTAAATTTGAAACTTAAAAAGTAGTCAAATAACATTCATTAATCATGTTTTATGGAATTATATTAATTATGACTTCTTGATTACTTGCTTATCCTCTGAATGCCTTTTTGGGCACTTAACGTATTAAGCATTAAAGCAATAGACCTTGTTTCTCCTTGTTTAGTAATCCCTAATTTGTTAATTGTTATTATTCTAAAATGATTATAAGTCAATTGTAAAAGTTGCTTATTGCCTATCAGGAATTGGTTGGAAAAGTCAATCTTGTTTAATTCTGGATAATAAATAAAAAAAGAAAAATATCTATCAAAAATTCAATTTAATATCTATCATTAAAGTAGTTGATAAGTTCAAAGTTTTATGTGTGAGATTAAAATTTTATGCCCAAAAACCGCCATAATATCTAAACTATTAGATTTGTCAATTACGGTTTGATGTCATATAATTCTGCTTAAAAAAAATATAAGGGAAACATTACCTCACTCTGTAGATTTTTATATCGAATAAATATATATTATTAGACCTTTTTCATGAAAAAAATTTTCTTTTTATGCATGAAAAAGGTCTTGTAACTTATAAACTAAGCTTAGGATAAATATGAAATAGTAACTATTTAATTTGTTTCTGTATACAAAAAAGTAAGTTGCAAACAATGCCTAACTTGTTTAGACACCAACAATGTTTAATTTTCTTTCCCATCTCTAAACTCAAGATGATGACCAAGGCTCATCTTGAAGATAGGGACAAACTTAAGATATTTACATGAAGTTAAACCAACTTTTTAAAACTATGTTTTGCTTTATCCTAATTATTTTCATATTGATATTTTTTAATTTTTTTATAATAGAGTTATTTTTCCTTCTATCCTTCACATAATTTTAGATAAAATAATATTACCGTATATTCCGGAGCATAACGCGCACCCGTAATTTCAAATGCTTTTTTTAAATTTTAAAATATACTCTTCATATAACGCGCACGAAAATTTGGGTTGTACATGTGCAATATCTAGTCTTTCAAGATCGTAAATAAAAAGTTTTTTTAAGGACCCAGCTGACAGATAATACAAAAAAATTGTTGAAAGAATGTATTACCGATATGGCAGTTAATCCGGGCGGATTGACACCATTAGTTCAGCCATTGGACGTCTGCTTAAACAAACCATTTAAAGCAAATTTAAAAAAACAGTGGAACACTTGGATGTTGGAGGGCGAGAAAACTTATGCTAGTTTGGAACAGTGTGCGAATGGATATTATAAGCATGGGTTGAAATTAAGCCTGAGATGGTTAGAAAATCATTCAAAAAATACAGCATTTCAAATAATCTGGACGGATCAGAAGATGACTGTTTATTTATGGATGAGGGTAACACAGATGATGAAGACGAAACAGATTGTGATGATATGCCTGAAGAAATAACGGAAGACGAATATAATGAACTATTTATGTAATAACGAAAATCAATAAAGTATATAGGTAAAGGTATGTTATTTATTTAAAATAAAAGTATTTTTCTATATTAAAATTTTTTTAATCTATAATTTTTTTTATATTCGGCGTATAATGTTATTTTTTGTATTAAAAGTGCCCGTTAATATATTTAGATATATATATATTATTATAGATAAAATATATTTAGATATAAATTTTGATAAAATTTAATTTAATCTCATAATTTTAGTATAAATAGATTCACAAACTAGATAGTTTTATTAAACTACTGAGCATTTTGACCACATAAAAATGTCTTGCAACTATCATGATAAAAACATACTACTTTTATGTATTTTATAAAATTTTATACAAGTTCCTTTTTCTTTTGCAGGTGTCAAAGTTTCATGCCTCATGGTAAATATAACATTTTATGTTGTCTATACTCATGTATAAATACATATAAATTTAACTCTTTCATTTATTTACTTAAATATGTGTCATTATTTTAAAATAAACAATTTATATGCAAAAGCTGCAATACTTATAAAACACGAAATTGTAAAATGTAAAATTATTCCTAATGGTTACAGTAATAACCCTGCAAAACTTACAGGAGGATGTTGTCATATATGGTCAAACTTGGATAATTTGAAGTTAAAGAATTAAGAGAAAATATCCAGAGCGTCCAAAAATTCAAACAAAGTATACTCTTTCAAACTGAGGAGAAGAAAAAAAGATTTACTTCATGATTAAAGATTTTACTAATATTTTATCTAAGAAAGCTTATGTTTATTTCATATAGATTCTTCTGTTGAAAAGGTTATTCAAGTTCTTTTTCAGCAATGACAGGCTTTAAGTGACAAATCGATGAATACAGCAGAGAGAGTAGATAATTTTGCTTTATATTTCTTTGAAAAACCATCACAGTAACAAATTCTATCATAATATTTTACTGCGATTGCTCAAAGAATTCAAATTATGTGTGATTTTTTTTTTCTTCCCATTCTTATGCAAAATTTCAGCAAAAAAAATAGACTTATATTGAATCTAGCAAGTTTGAGTTTTCATTGTTTGGCTTTATTTCAACAATAAATGAATAAAAAATTTATCATGAAATGGAAGTTTCAATGTATTCCGCAATGAATCTATAAAAATATTAGCTCTTCCCAGTGTACAGGAAGGAACTTATAATTTTTTCTTATAACTGTCTTCATTAATAATCATTATTTCATCGAAATTAATAATTCAGCTTTGATTGGTCAATATTTGAACATTTTATGAAAGATTAAGGCTTTCTGAAACTATGGTATTCTTACAAAAATAATGAGGCTCTTCTTTATAATATGTACCAGCATTTAAGCTTTAATCATCACCTGTAAATTTAATAAAATTATAAAATTTTGTCTTTCATTTCTTATTATGGGCATTTTTTATAGTAACTGTTATTTTATACTCATACCTCACTAAATTTTTGCATTGAAGCTTTTTCTATGCTCTCTAGCAAAGTGCTGGACATTTCCTTGAAATGTCCACTCACACACTAAGCTTGCACCTAGTTAGCGTTTCTCGGAATTTAATAGAATGACAAAATTTATCTTTCATTTCCTGTTATTGTCTTTTTTTATTATTACATGGTGTGTATCGTTTTTAAAAAGTACTTAAAGGTGCTTATTTTCGATTTTTGTTTTCTGAAAGCCCTTATAGGTGCTTTTTTTATTGAGCATTTTTTAAAAGTGCTTAATTTTCTCTTTTCGAAAAAGAGATTTTTTTTTCTTTATTAAGTCTATTTTCGACACCTATTATGCAAAAGCGTGCTTTTTACATTGTTTTATTCAACAGTTTCGCGATTCATTCAACCACAATATATTCCATTCCGATATACTGTCAGTCTGTAGCGTATGAAAGAGCCAATTATTTTACATGTTTGATGAAATACTTGCGGGTCCGCATGTGCGTATACTGAGCTGAGTTCAGTGTGATTCTTGCACTCTCGTGTGCAACTCTGCTGCATTTTGAAAGATATTCTCAAATTCAGGCTTCATTTTTAAAACTCTGAAATCAAACCGTAAAATCTCTTGATATCTTTATGGTGGCTAATATAATCAAGAAAAGAGTTCTTTGTCAGAAGCTAGTTATTTTATCATGATCATGTAAAATCTGTAAAAATTATTTTGGCATTTCGTTAATGTATATAGTGCTGAAAAAGTATTTAAAAGGTGCTTATTTTTTGTTGAAAAATTTGGCGACGCACCCTGTATTATTATTATTTTAGACTTATACCTCACTAAAATTTTTGTTTGTCTTACACCTCTCTAAGATTTTTGTATTGAATTTTTTTCTATGCCTTTTAGCAATATGCTGGATATTTCCTCGAAATGTCCTCCCACACACTGAGCTTGCACCTAGTTCTGTTCCAAGCCCTTCGCCTAGCATGGAGAAACTTAAGGATTCCGATGGCAAACGACAATGGCACACTTCTTCTCGATCTCTGCAATCAGAAAACATCTACGAAGTATGCTCCCCACCGTCGCCAGATTCTCTCTACGAAGAAGTGGGACCTGGTCCTAGATCGGAATGTTCTCCTTATGGTGTGGTCATGCTGGAAAATTCGTATAATGCTGCCAACAGGAATGGGAAAGGAGGCTTCCCATCTCAATTAAATCAAGATTGCGCATCAAATGCAAGATTTCACTCTTCGATGATGCGTAACATCCAGCTTCCCAATTCACGTTTTTCGACGTTTGGAGGCAGTGCTCATGGCTTCATCAACCCCGTAGTTCAAGATGCTAATATCTTTGGATCCCAAACCTTGCGATCAAGTGTACAAGCTAGGAATGCAGTAAATGCAAATGGTTTTGTTCAAAGGCGTGAATTGCCACCGGTTCCTGGTGACATCAGTTATTAGGAGTGGTAACTTTAAAGTGTTATCACTTTACTTGTTTCAATTATGAACTTTTAGGTAAACTCCTCATTTTTATGTATTTATTTATTTAGGAAGGATTTATTTTCCTATTTTTTTAGGCATTTATACTTAAGATTATTTTTACTGCATTTATTTTTAAGTTTACTAAGTTTTTTTTTTTAATGTTTTACAAATTGTTATTACAAATATTGTTGTTGCCAATTTTTCGACCATACTTTTTGTGTTAACTGACCTATGCATTTTTATTACAATGTATTTAAAATATGCCTTTTCGCTTATTCAACACTATGCACACTTTNTTTTTTTTTTTTTTTTTTTTTTTTTTTTTTTTTTTTTTTTTTTTTTTTTTTTTTTTTTTTTTTTTTTTTTTTTTTTTTTTTTTTTTTTGATTAACTCAATTTCATACATTTATTTTAGGTTATTTTTATAACCTAGATTTTGATGCCCTAATGACCTTAAAAATAGCAAAAATAATTCATTAAAATAAAAAAGAAGTTCCCTGTTTGTTCAGACTTTAAACAAAAATACTGTCAATATAGTTTTTGTGTTGTGTTGATTCATCAGGTGTAACATGAAAAATGTTTCTTTATAAAAACTAACACAATTTTGAATTACTCTACTTTTTAGAGGAATATTATAAGTGATAATTCATTAAATTGTTTAATTCAGTAATTCTAGTGCTCATAAAAATTTTAGAAAATTAGCAAAAATTTTAGGAAATTCTCAAAAATTCTAAAAAAGGGAATTAATATGCAAGATTTTACTCTAAGATTCTACTATACTACTTCATTTCTAATATCTCAACAACAACAAAATGCCTTCAAAGCATTCCCCTGTTGAACAAAAATGTCACAAAAGGCAAATATCATCCAAATCCAGAACTGGGCTAATTTTTATGTTTTTTGTTGTGCTAAACTTTTTACTACATTAATAGCTTATATCATTTTATTGTTATTGAATACATCAAACCCTGGGTAAATCGACAGAAAGGATTAATTGGGTAACGGTTTTATAACCTAAAATAAATGTGTATTTTATTAAATTCCTTTTTATTTGTTGCTGTATTTATGTTATTAATAATTTTTTTAAAAAATACAGTGACAATTTTTTTTCTTCTTTTCTTTGAATTAGTAACATATAGATTCTGCATTTTAAGTTTTACAGCAACATAATTATAAATTTTTTCTTAAGTTAAATTAATATTAAGTAAAGTTTCATAGAAAGAGAAACTTTATAAGTTTTTAAAAAATTTTATTATTGTTTTAGTCTTGCGTAATTGTTATTTTCTTTTTTACTCCTAATTTTAAAATGCCTCAAGTTGTTTTCAATCTAAGGCAAATAATTATTTTCAAGGAATTGAAACTAAGAAATTGTACTTAAACTATGTAATGTTGTTTACTAAATGTTGTCTTTTTTCAAGAGATTATATTTATCCTTACAGCAACCAATTTTTGTTTTATTTTAAAACAATTTTTGCTTAACTCTGTAGTGATGGTGGTTCTTTGTGAGGAATAATTTTTATTTATCCAAGAAAGTTATTTAGAAATGTACATAATTAACTTTCTAAACTTAATGCAAAAAGTATTACATATTCCTTGACGCAAGTGTTATTTATACTTGTGTAAAATTAAGTTTTTTCAGATGCATTTGCTATTACTTCTTATCTTAACATATTTCTTATAAATTGAGAAGAAATATTTTATTTAAAAGTTATGTTATTTTCTTATCTGTATATTATAAATGTTTGGGTTTGTGTTTTATTTTAAATTTTATTATATAATATACAGCTATCTATGTATACAAAAATATATATTTCTACATGCTAAATGTTATATATATGTTATTTATTTTAAATTTCTAAAATTCTATTCACATCATTTTCTCTATGCTAAATATTAGTCCAACAAATCATTTAATAATTGCTAAAATAAAATTTAAGTTAAATTCTTAATAATTTTAAAATGACAAGAGCTATAATATAATTTTATATAATTAATACCATTAATATAATAAATAGCCCAAAATGCATTTAAAATAAATTATTTAAAATATTTTAAATTAATCTTTTTAAATTTGTATAATAGATTTTTATGTGTTTTAAACCATAAAGAATTACAGTACATTAAATAACAGTTATTCTGGCTCTAAGCAGTACCTTCCAATACTTTTGAGTAGCAAAAAAGTTATAAAGCCTATGTGTTCTGTTTCAAACTTATACAGATGTTTTTTGGCATCTCTTATTGTGATGTATATCGAATTAAATGTATTTTTTCATCTAACCTATATAAGGCTGTCCTATGTTATTTTTTAAGTATTTTCTGCACAGATTCTTACTCAATTTTATAAAGATTTGTATCTTAACATAACAGGCAGCAATATTGTCAGCAAATTATTTGTGAAGAAGTATTTAGTATATAATGTATTATCAATATTGGCAAAACAAAGGTGCTTTATCTAACAAAATATGCAATTTCTCTTATGCAATGTTTCAAATAATGTTGAATATCTGAAGTCAAGTTAAGTTTGTTTGAACTTCTCATTATTTTCAATAGTCAGCAATCTTGAAATATAATTGGCTACTGAATAGCTTATCTTGCTCAACATTTTTTCCATTTTTTGTTTATTGAAACTAAATCTGAAAAGTGTATCTTAACCATGCATTTCATAAATTGTAAACTCTTAAAATATTGAATTAACCTTAATGTGTAGGTGTAGATGCATATTGAATAGAAAAATAGAAAACTGAAATTCTATTTCAGTATGTTATATAGCTTGTTGTGGCTCTAGTGATGCTCTGTAGTACTTATTGTTATTAAAGTATATTTGCTTTTATGCATTATACAGACTTGTATAACTGTGTATAGATATTGAAAAAAAAATTCTTTTCGTGTATTTTTTTTTTTTAAAATCCCAGTAGAATCTTAGATTGTATGACCAGTTTCATCTGAGTTTATATTATTTTTGTTACAATGTGAATTTGTTAAAAAAATAATTTGTGAAATGGTGTTCCTCCTTTATAGCAATCTGGTTTTATTTATATTTAACAAACAGCTGAAGTTTACACTCGTTTTATCTATCAAACAAACACATTGTTTTAAATAAATTCTTTCAATTCAGATAAATGAAATAAAGAATGCAAATTTGTACTAATAATACCTGTTTTGTCCATATTAATAACAGATTCAAAATTGTGGTGGGTGTTACGGATTTGACCCAGACTAGCAGAATTATTTAAAAAGAATATTAGTTGTGCAATATGGTTTATGCATGAAAATATTTTCTCTGTGTTTGAAAGAAAAGGAAGCATTTTGTTCGATGTTACTTTTCTTTTTAAAGTACTGATAATTGATACAGAGTACTTAATTTTGAAGTGAATAAGGTTTTAAAAAAATGTGTGATGCTCTTTATCATTTACAGGATGAAAAAAAAACTTATCTGTTGTCAATACTTTTGTATTTAAAAGGTGAAAAAAATATTTATGAAAGTGATTTTTTATGAATTAGGAATTTATTATTTCTGTTTGTTATAAAGAAAATATATGTAACTTGCAAAATCTACTTTGGTAAAAAATAGCCAAATGATCTAGTCAGTTTTTTTCCTTCCTTTTTTAGTATTTGGTGTTATTGGATGTATTGAACCACACATTCTTATACCTTGCATGGTTTCTCTCAATAACTTTTCAATAATTGTCTTGTATTTTTGTGATAAATAAAATACTTAGTACACTAACTGTGAGAGCATTTTATGACTCTGAAACACTCATAACAACAAATCTTCAATCATCACTTATAAACACTTTTCAAATTTTAAAAATACAATGTTTTTTTTTTTTTTTTAGTCTTTTAGTTTCTTTTTATCTCTGAAGCGTCATCAATTGTTTAAAACAATAGAAATATTAAAATATTTCTACCGAGAATCTTTTTCTATACAATGGTTAAGTGAAGCAAAAGTTAATTCAAAAGGTTTTCACTTAAAAAACCTATATGATAGATATGAAATTGAATTAAAGTGCTAGAACAAAATTATCCAGCATATCTTAAGTCTTCTTGCGAATTTCGTAGCTCAAATTAATCTCCTTAACAGTGTATGAAAATTATGTTTTCAGCTCCATATTTTAAACTAAAACAAGTAATTAAACCTTTGATAACGCCATATTATTTAACACTAGGTTTACGGACGTTTCTTATATACCTATCTCTACGAACACGTGTCAATTTGAGGCATGAAAGAATACATATAACAGCACTTAGAAAGCAATGCAATTATATATTATAATGTAAATATGAGATATATATTTATGGAAAGTTTTTATTATTCAATAATTTTATTAGCAACTGAAGCCTTCAAAATTTGACATTCTGCGTTTGTTCTTTCTATTATTGCTTGTCGGCAACAGTTTTTTATCGCTTGTTTCATTTGAGATAACGGATCGAAGTATTGTCGATACATTCCTATTTATTATTGATGTGATATATTGAAAAAGGGTTGAAATATTGAAATTCTCTTTGTGGTATACCTATCTCTACGGATATGCGTCAATTTGACACGATCGCAACTTAGACAAAATTTTAAGTAAACATATTTACCTCCATCAATGGATAAAAGTCATTACAAGAGATAAAATAAAAATGCAAACGGGTTTTGCAATTTTCCCTATAAAATTCCAAAATGGCGCGTCCCGTCAACTTAGTGTTATGCCATCTTCAGTGTTTACCTATGTTTGAGGAAAGGTGAAACTACACGCTTCAGAATCGGTTTTCGTTTATATTCAGAGCAAAGATGACACAAATATTTATGTTTTGGCTTTAAGCTCTGTTAACAGTTAAGTACCTCAAAAAATGAAAAGTTTGATTACTTGTCGATTTTTTTTAAAAAATAAATATCTAGTTATATCAACCGCCTAGTCTCTAGAGGCTAGATAGTCTACCTTCATGAACATGCCTCGTGGATTCGCCCGCTTGCCACTAACCATTGATTTATCTCCTGAATTAACTGATGGAGATCCAAGGGTACGCTACAAACCGAAGAACAGACCCTTGTTTGTCATGAGAACATTTCTGACAGTAGCATTCACAGACTTAGGCTTGCCCCCCTTCTTTTCCTGCAAAATGTATAAGTACTCCCGATCTTATAGACAACCTACAAAAAATTTAAAGTTATAATATGAAACAAAAACACTATGGTGAAGAGATATTGCGGGATTTATAACCATAAGTTTTAATTTTGTTTAAGATGATGAAAATCGTAATTGCGATGAAAAGGTGTTGAATTGAAACATTGTATCATTGAAATGAAATTTATCTATAATGCGAGACTATAACTCACTTTCTTACAATAATATTCAAAATTTAATTAAGGGTTATTATTATTTATGAAGTAAATTGAAAAAAATACCTTTGAAATAAAATAAAAACTATTGAAACACGATCGTGTTATTTTTCTTGAACGTGTGACCTGCACCGTCGGAATAATTTATTTGTGAAAAATCATTGTATAACTAATTAAGCGTTTCATTTTAAAATTAAGTTTTCGGATTTTTCTTATTAGTTTAAATATTAAAATATTTTCATTAACTGCTGATGCACGTTAAAATTCTGTCGAGTCGCCAAGTCCTCCATGTTCCCATAACAAATTAATACCTCTGGGGGTACTGGATTGGAGATCGATCGTTCTCTGATTCAAGTCAAAATTACGATCTGCGGATGAATGAAAGGATGTATGGATGGGTCCGCCTTATAAACAGGTGTGACGTATGATGTGGCAGAAGTCGAATTCTTGGCCATAGATGGTGCCACTGGAAAACAAGAATCACACACTCTGCTTTAAATTTGCTCGGTTTCACCCAGCAGGCTTGCCCGTGTGGCAAGCGGCATTAGAACCAACCAACCAGAATCTTCTTCAAACTACTCAAATTTCATGTGCCGCAGACATTATCTGACACAAAAACAAGATAAAACTTAAGAAACAAAATAGCGTTACTATAGCGCATGGAAAAGTCTACCCGTATTTTGTGTTTTTTCCATACATGCAAAAAGTGCGTACATTTATGTGTGTCTGCTTAGTATCCAGAGCATGTCAGGCATAAAATTGTATTTTGCAGGAACAAAGGTGTAAAGCTTCTCGGAGAACAATTTTCACTTTTTTTTTTTTCTTAATCTAATAATTTGTCCACGCTTTTCTTTAATGTAATTTTTCCATTTTATTTACTTATTTTACTTTTGCAGTTTGTAGTCTATTGTTTTCAAACAAATAAGAGCAATAAAATATTTATTTTTTCTTTCCATCTTTACTTCACATATTTTCAAAACAAAGCCTCTCATTTTTTTTTTCAAGACGATTTTTTGATTTTTGGACTCGTTTTTCCTTGATTTTATTATCTTCCTTAAAAATGGTGAACTACCTCATCCAAACATTTATTCAACCTGAAATTTGAATAAATATACTGACTGATGATTTTTTAAATATAAGGAAAGAGAACGATTAAGTTTTAGTATAAGCCGCAGCTGCCAAAATGAAGAAGCACATTTTCTCCCATTCCTTTTCCCAATTTCTTTCCCCCATTTCTTCACATTCCCCCCCCCCTCCCAACCCCTCAAAATTTCTTTTAAATTTTTCATCTTTTTTTTCTGGTAATGTAAGAATATATTTTACATATATCCTTTCAGTTTTCTTCTTTCTTCATTAATTTTCCCTGCTAAAAATGGAGTAACGTTGTTTTCGTTGTTCGTTCATTATTTTATATTGTTTTGCTTTCAAATTAGAATATTTGCTTCGTTTTTCAGATAATTTTGAATAATGGTAAATGGATACATTTTTTTTTTCTATTGCTTCTAAATGTCAATTAACCCGAATCTTTTGCTTTACGTTCGAACGTAAAAGTATAGGAGCAAATGCATTAGATCTAACCAATCAAAAAAAAAACTTTTTTTTTTCATTAATATGTTTTATATTTTAGAACATACATTAATGATGTCAATCCTCATTGGTTGTGATCAGCGTGCAGGTAGGTGACCACTTTGATCAGGCTACGAAGAGCCAGAGGCAGGGCCGTAACTTCTCCCTACACCAGGGCAGTCGGAGCTTTGCCCTTAAGCCCCGACGGTTAGGAACGTCCCCAAATAAGGGAGACACATTTTTCATAATTAGGATAATTTAAAATCAATTCTTTCTTAACTTTTTTTAAAGTTAAAAAGAAAATGTAATGAAAGAACCGCTAAAAAGAATTTTTTTTAGTTTGTAGTCATAAGTTTAGATCTATCTTCCTTTGAAATAGAAAGAAAAGAGATTCTTCCTGAGAATTCTTCCTTCCCTCAAAAGAGCAATAACGATGAGCAGAACGATTTGTAAGGGGTAAAAGACATCCAGTTCTTACTTTAGCCTGTTGTAGTTCATAGTTGTGTCATCAATGATCTAGCCCGAGTGCTAAGAAAGAATACATTATTTAAATTTGCAGATGTTGTGAACAAAAACAAAATTCCTTTCCTTATAAGTATTTCCAGGAAAACAATTCGACGACCCATAGACCAATATCTATGCAATACTATTTCTGGTTTCTCAAAAATACAAATATTTCAATTTCTGAGAAAAAGAAGGAAAACATTTTGGAGAGAGTAGATATCGACTATGTCAACCTTCATCTTTGAAAAGGTACCCCAACATAGAATCGAATTAACATGTCTTTTATAATAATGGATTGGAATTATAATTTTGTGGTGGTAGATACTTACCACAGTACTCCCCCACCAGAATTATAGCTGTGATAGAATTCGATGAATAGATACCACTAGTTGATTCATTGCAGTTTTGTGAGAAACCCGGAGAGCTGTATTAAGATCACCGTACTTTGAATGCTGATCGTGAGAGCTGTATTAAGTTCACGGTCGTAGCCGCTCCTGTGTTGCCTTTAGCAGTCGAGTGAATACGTTGTGTGTGATCGAGACTGAGTAGCAATAGCGCGAGGAGGGGGTTAAAGTCACAGTCACATGTAGCAAGTCAGCTGTTCAATGTGGATCATCCATCGAAGAAGCCGTGTTCAGATCGAAGTGGCCGTTATTGTCAAGACGGGAGTGTTCATATCGAAGTGGGAGTTTCTGTCGAGGTAGGGATGTTCGCATCACGTCCGTGTCACCAATTTGAGGAGAGTAGATATCGACTTTGTCAACCTTCATCTATGAAAAGGTACCCCAGCATAGAATCGAGTTAACGTGTCTTTTATACTAGTGAATTGGAATTATATTTTGTAGTGGTAGATACACTATAACATGTAGGAAAACACGGAGGTCCTTGTCACTCAGTGCCTATCCCTGTTAAAAAAGTATTGCATATAATTTTTTTTAGTTCGATTCACGTAGTAAGTAGTGTTCCATTTTGTACAAAAAAAGTCAAACCTAATATTAAAGCCAAGCTTTGAAAGTAGGTATGAAATTGTTCTTAGGTTTTTGTTATATTATATCGAGATAAATTTACACTTATCAAAATTAAATGCATTTAAACTTTTTTTCAATATTTTGTTGGTTTTAATTTGGTTAATGCTTCCAGATACTTCTTGACCAGATACATTTGAGGGAAAATTAATTTAAATAATTAAATTTTAATAGAAAAGTCAATTGCATTTTTTTTTAATTTTCTAAAATAGGTTACGTTGAAAATATATATCATCGAATACAACACTATTTGTTCGCGTTATAAGAAGCACGAAACATGTTTTGTTTTGCAAAAAACTTGCGCATGTAAAGCAAATTTTAGGTAAATTATAATCTTCCCAGGTTTATCAAAAGACTTGTAATGCTTAGAGTCATAATAAATCTTGATATTTTTTAACACTATTAACAAAATATCCTAATGATGAAATGCAGAAAAAATAAATTTCCCGTATTTCGAGTACACAACTTCAAAAAGTTACCTTTACAATAATTATTATATAGGTATAATAATTATTATATAAATGATATTGGATAACAAATAATATTAAATACTTACTTAATTAAAATGTTTTTAATTCATTATTATTTTTATATGTTTTCTAAACAATTTCTGTTCTAATTGCTGAAAGAAACTTGTTCTTCCTTCTTTCTAATTGATACTTAAACGAAAAGAGAGTATCCCAAAATTTTTGCCCCAGGGTCCCGAGTGACGAAGTTACGGCACTGGCCAGAGGGTGTGCGGTATCGGTCCTTTATAAACTGTACTATTGCAAAGTGCTCAACTTTCCGCGCATATCATCGGGAGCAGGGGAGCCATCTCTCCAGCATTTCTTCGCATCATTTTCGGGGATCGGATCATCGACCCATTGAGCAGTTCTACTGCGGCGTAAATCAACAGCTACAACGACTACAGAACATTAATTATTTTTTTCAGCTCTAAACATTCTGACGAAATAAAAGAAATGACAAATTTTTTTCTTTCTTTATAAATTGAGTTTTGTTTTATTGAAATTGCTTTATTGAAATTACACACATTTGCAGGCTTGACTTGCTCAGATTTGGTTTATAAGATTTTGTCAAGTAGAGGGACAGATAGAACAAATTAGCGAAGGACATCATAAAAGAATACATCGACGGGATTCGAACTCGCTACCTCCAAGCTTCTCAGCGCGTTTGACGGGCAATGCCGCTCGGCCAGGGAGACCCCATTGAATTTTGTTGAAAAAATTGAGTAAAAACTGAAAAAAACTTTGTTCCTTCTGCAGCTTACATTTTTAACGTTGAGATTTGAACTTTTTACCTAACGTACTGCGGAATTATGGGCGAAAGTACAAAACTCGTAACCACACGTAAACTTCCTTTTTTTTATAGTGAAATACTACCGTTAAAAGCTATATTTGCTGTGTTCATCTTCGATTCCGAAACTGCTGTATCATTTCGTTTCATTTTGGGATTGTTGTCGATGTGACGTAATCATAATCAAATCAAAAACGAAAACTTTTCCAAATCCAATGTGGATGCGGCCATGAATCACTGAATCACTGTAGTAAACAAAGCTGTTTATAAATGATACTGACGAAATTCGCTTGTCATTTTTAGACTTTTACTTTGAGAATGGCTGAGCGAGCCGAAATACTTGGTTTTATACCTCAAAAAGAGCTAGTGTACAGTAAATTGTTGCAATATGGAGACGAACTTGATGCCGAATCTCAAAAATATTTAATTGAAATTAAAACAAATCTCGGTAAATCAATTCAATGCCAAGATTTGCGAGATGTTTCCTATTGGGCAAATCATTTGGCAAGGTAAGTTTTATTTCTAAATGTTTTAAATAACAATCTTTAAGGAATAACGTTTAATAAACATTGATTGTCGTTCTATTACTTTACGCTTTTGAATATCCCTTTTGTATTCGATCTTTACAAATTCCCTGGGATAAATTGATTGATTTAAATTATTTTTAATTCTGTTATTGATTAATATTTAAAAATCTTTTTTATTAATTATGGTTGCATTCATTAAATTGCAATTATGTTTCATAGTTATGTTTGTTTTCATAATTTGGAAACTGTCTTCGATCTTTGAAAACTTACAGAATTTATTTTCTGCACTAGGTTTCTTATTCAGAAAATAGTTTGGTGAAATATCTCATACAGGGGTGCCACTCTTTAGTCCTGAGGACTGAAATTAGTCTTGGGGAAAAGATCAGTGGGATGAAATCCAACCTCCAATTAATATTTATTCCCATTTAGTTTTGTACATTAAATTTTAGAAATAAAAATTACGTTTTCTTTTTTTCTTTGAAAAAATTTTCAAATAATATTTTTTGCCAAATCAATAAAAAAAAAAGAAAGGATTATTTAAAGAAATAATAATATATTTAGAGTAATAGGACAAAATTTGATGAAAGGAAAAATAAAGATTGGTGTAAAAAGATATGAGGTTAGTTGTTATTTCCGTTTAGTTCGTCATAAAAAAGTAAATATATCTTTAAGTAATAAAGTTAATGATAAAATATATAGATCATTATCGTGTTAAGTGCACTATAAATTTCGGAAAAATTCTGCTAAAAACGCCTGATCATTGGTCAAAAAATAAGTTCAGCCCACTCCTTGTAAGTTACCAAGATTTGGGGTAGTTTTTCCCTTGGGAAAACTACTAAATACTTTTTTTTTAAAATTCTTGTCAGTTTAAAATCTTTTTGGGCTATTGTATTTGCATGAACAGGTGTCAAAGTGGAAACATCCTCTAACAGATGTGCCAGTTGGCTGTGATAAAACCACAGATTTTTGGGTTTATAGATGGATTCACTAAGCTCAGTGAAATTAAGGTGTATACTTTATACTGTATATAATTTTTTAAGGGTGAGTCGTAAAGCTTCCCATAGTTCCTGCCTCAAATCCTTCATCTAATGAAAAAGAAGCCTGACTCATTCTCAACTGAGACTTTCGTTTGATTGAGAGGCTGGGTGGCCATGAGCAAAGTTGTTACTCAAACCTAAATATGAATTGTGACCCGAAAGATACTCATAATTTAATAACTCTTCATCCACCTATAAGAGGAGTTTCAGCCTCTACAGATTTAATATTTTTGTTGCACATTCACTACAGCTGTCTAGTTCACGGGATAAACAAACTTATGATCCTTATTTCTCAACAAGTAATTTCATTGACTGTTCTACTTGTCATAATTTGAATTAACAGTGGGTTAAATACAAGAATTTCTAAAATTCTACTGTACAATGTTGAACACTATATACCATCTTTATATTGCTTTTACTAAGTCAGGGGTCTGTCCAGGCTGAATTTACTACCGTTTAGCGGTACCGTCACAAATTCAACTTTTTAGGAAAAACGGTAGTTTCACAAAATACTTTTTCTTAAAATTTCTTTTTTGTATCCCTTAAGAAACAATAAATCCATATTTTTGTCTTTATTTTTAATTTTTCACAAATTATGTCTAAATTTTCACAAAATAGGTACCTTTCAGAAAAATTTAGACAGACCCCTGTAAGTAAAATAATAGGATTGATTTGACAACTTGTCAAATGCTTGTAAAGGTTGAATTAATGGGCATAAGTGTGAGTTCAAGGTGGAACACCATTGAAATAATAATTAATATAAACATTGACATGAATTATTTTCATATTTAATGTTTAAAATTATTAATTAAAGATTTTAAATGAAATTTACATCTTATGACTTAATAATCTTATGATAGATATCTGCTAACAAGGCATGCCGCATTTATATCGGTATCCTTTCTCCCTGTGACTGAGTAGTAGCACTTTGCACTTTTGTGCTACAGGTCCTGGGTTCGATTCATGGATTGGGCAAGGTTGATTCAGCCTTTCAACCTTTCAGTAGGTCGATAAAATATGTACCAAGCATGCTTGGGGACTACACTGGGGGTTCCGCCTTCGTTTGACCACCCAACCGGAACATCCGCGAGCCCAAGGTGAAGAAAGCAGTACGTCTTGGCCCTCTTTAGGCTGTCATGTATCATGCAAGTTTCAGCGCGTCAAATTTTTATATTCTCTTTCGAGTTTAAATTAAAAAAGACAAATACATTAAATAGCTAAACTTTATCAGTCTTGTATGAATATTTATGTACTAATGAGTTAGAAATAATTATATGAATTTAGAAATATATGTAACATATGAGCTTTTTTTTAATATACTTTTAGTGTGATTTCTCGTAATTAACATTTGACTTACAGGTACATTCGACTTTATGGCAGAAAGTTTTCAAAGGAAGATCATGTTCACTTCATTAAAGTATTCTTTGAACTTTTACTAATTAATGATGTAGAAAGTAGTTTTGTAAAAAAAATATCTGTGATGTTGCACTCTTTGCTCAAGTAAGTCTTTTGCTTTTACTATAAATTACTTTTATTTTATTATATACAGCATTTTAATTTGAACTTTTTAAGCATATTCTAATTTTTTTCATCACATTCTGGAAACCATGATCTAATTAGTATATATATATATATATTTAAATAGTGTTAGTAGCTGCTTAAACATACAATGTACATACAAAAAAATTTTATATTACATAGAAACACAGGATCGCATATTATATGTAAAATACACGGACAATGAACAAAGTCATTCTGCATCATTGTATTTATATGGTATATTACCAAACATGTAACACATTTACAAACACTTCTACTGCATGAAACGCTTAATGACACCTTGATGTTACATTACATTGATGCTAATTAAAATGGCATACTCTCTTAAATGTATCAAAATTATCTCAAATACATCTTGGAGCTGCAATAATACTTCTCACCAGGTTTCCTAGGTTTTTCATAAATAAATCCTTTTTAAGAGCAATATAAAAAATTATTAGAGACAAATCTAGTGCTCATGCTATTAATCCTCTTTAATATCATTTGTAACATCATCTTCCTAAGTGATTCTTTTTTTTCTTGTATGTCTGCTTTTTCTTTTGGTTTTGTTATTTTGGATCATCCTTTATATCTGTATAAAAAAAAATTCCTGATTGTCTACAAATTAATTTTCCGTCAGTCATTTATACATAGTCTGATTCTAGAACACACCCTGGCAAGTACGAAATACTGTAGCAAGTACTGCTAAAAATTTGTTTTTGAGATATTCTGATACTATGTCAGAATAAATATTCTGCATGTTTTATTCTATACTACATTATTTTGCTTATGTTGGATTTTATATCACAGTATTTTGTATATATGAGATTATGTCTTGTGATATTAAGTCTGTTAAAGATTCTTTCTGGGGATACTTAGATGAGTGTGTTTACAGTTCTCCTTTCATATGTGGGGTTGTCTATGATAAATTCCTTAAATGATATGTAATAAATGATTAAATGATATGTTCTTAAATGATTCCTTAAATGATTGTGTCAGCTTCGTGAGATGTAGTTTTTGGAGCACACGCTAAATTCTTTCTAGTTTCGTAAAGTAAACTATCCTTTGATGGTCGACTTTTCGACTGATCTAGTTCATAGTTTTCACATGATCTCATTATTCTTTATTTAATAATGGTAAATATTTTAAATAATTCTATCATTAAAGCAAACTATAATAAAAAAGGTTAAAAATCTTTACGAATAATAAAACACCAATTACAATTTTTATTTTGATGAAAAAGTTTAGGACCGTTCACTCTAGTTTGTATGCAGAAGTTTGTGTTTGCGAATTTGACCATGTGAATGAGAATTTGTTTGGTATAATATACCCCTAAAAAACTCGCCTATCAGATTCTCATTCGTATCTCCGAATTCGCATGCAGGAAGACTACTAAGAAACAGTTTGATGCAAAATATCACTTTTAGAAAAAATGTGTTTCACTATATTGCCCCAAGCCCTTCATGTTATAAATCATATATAAAGTAGTTTTTATTTAGTTTTCTAAAAATTTCAGAAACATAAAAGTCTTTATTTAATTTATTTATTAATTTTTTCAAATCTATTTCATTTTAATGACAGCATAGTTTTAAATTATTAATTCTCGGGAAACTTTTTCACTGAACTTTGAGCTATTTATTTAAACTTGTTTTAAGAAAGCATTTTTGTTTTAGGAAAGCTGAATTACTATCGCGTGATGATCTTGAGTTACCATGGCGTCCTCTTCATGAATTGGTTAGAAGACTATTTTTCTCCACATATGACAGTGTTGGAATGTTTTTAAATCCTACGTAAGAGATGACCTGTAAAATTTTAGAGAATTCTCTTCATGTTTTTAAAATAATTTTGTTTGAATTAAATTGTTTTATGTTTTTCAGCAATTTGGAAAATAACATTAAAGTCCTCGTCAAAGATTGTAGCAAGTAAGAATTCAAATTCTTTTCTTTTTTTGAGTGCTGTACACATGACACATGATGGGTGTATTTGTGGTTCAGAGTTTTAGAGTTTTTTCTAAACATTTAATTTTTGAGTTTATTTGGTTGCTGAGTTTATTAGTATGCTTTCTAAACTAATAGATTTAAATTGTAGCCAGTCACCAAAACACAAAGACACCCTACTGTGGCAATAGTTTTACTCTCTTTACAAGTTACAATAGTAAAAGTAAAAAGTATGTACTTTTACTTGTATACTTTGTTACGATTTAATAATATTTGAATAAATTGTTTATCATACTAACATCTATTGTAAATATATTGATGCTAGAAACAATTGTATTCTGTTTGAAAATTGAATTTATACTTAAAAAAAAAATCAATAATTTATTTAAAATTCATGCAATATTAGTAACAATGTTCTAAATAAATGAATTAATATTTTAAAATATTTTCTCTCAGAGATATAGTAAATAGCAAAAACAGCTTATTTTGTGGTGTTGGTATAAAATTTTTGTAGTGTTTTTTATACCATGCATTATATTTTGATTCATGTTAAGTTTATTTATGCTGTCTGAAGTTGTTTTAATTACTTTACTTGTTTTTATTTTGTAAATATTTTTGTAACAAAGTTAAATATTTTGTTCTTTTCTTTTTTCTAGGTATTTTCCAGTTGAAGCTACTCAAGAAATACTCGAGGAGTTTAAGCCTTACATGTGTCCTTTCGATACTGAAATGGTTGATGCCATGTGTAATTTAGAATATTTTCTTCCCACTGTATTACCTCCTGAAGATCACTGCCGAGGTTTCAAGTGAGTTAATTTCATATTTTTACATTAAAAGTCATTAGCTGTATTTAGTGTTAACACCTTTTGAAAATATGAAAGAACTCAATTATATTATTAGATTTAAATTAAGGGCAGTGAAGTCACAATTTTCATTTGCAAAAAGAACACTACTATTGTTTTTTAAAGGTTATATTGAAAGCAAATCTAACTCATTTTCCTGTCACCCAACCAATAAATTCTCTTTTCCTATGGTAAATTCAACTTGGAAATTATATTCTTTATTGGTACTACAGGTCAGGGTGGGCCTTAGCCTGTTGCACAATATTTCTCCAAACAGCTCTGTCCCTGACCTTAATCTTCCTGTTGGAGATCTCATCAATCAATCATTCATCAATCAATTATCAATTAAATCATTCAAGACATCATCCACCCATTTTTTCTTTGGTCTGCCTTTGGCCTATTGCACATGGACTTCCGATGCAAGATCTTTATCACTCTGTTGCCTTGCCAGGTGATCTTTCAATGTGACAAAGCCATGAAATCCTCTGTGTTTTGATTAATTTTACAATGTTTTTATGTTTGATAAGAGCTTCTTGTTCATTAGTTCTTATTCTCCAATAATTATTAGTTAGCTGTATTGAGCCAGAAATATTTCTAAGTATTTTTCATTCAAAAATTAGTAGTAAATTATTTATATGTTTTTGTCAAAGTCCAAGTCTTGAAGCCATATGTTACCACAGGACGGCTGATTGTTATGTAAATTTTTTGTTTTATTGCTCTCGGGATCAATTTATTTTTAAACATATGCTGATATGAAAAATGACTTTGGTTCTCCTTTCTGGATTCTGTAATTAATTATTTCTGAAATTGTATTCAAAGTGTTTATAATTACGCTTAGATAAGAATTAGATGTGTGAAGCTTTCCATGATTTAAAATTTAAAGTTATGCTGCTTATAATATTTTTTTTTTGTTGTAGATACAATTAAAGCATTTCTTTTCTACTCGGTATTACTATGTCATCAGCAAATGCACAATTTTTTTATTTTTTTACTAGTAACCAAGCCTCTGAGAACCAATTTTCTAATGACAAATTCAAATGCTAAATTAAAAAGTCGAGGTGATAATGCACCTCTCTGTCAAACCTTGATATCGAAAGATTTTAAAAAATTATTCTGGATCAGAATAGTGGCTTAAGATTCCTTTAAAGTAATTGGCATCTGAATCACAAGATTTCCATTCTCATTAGAATTTAACTGTATACTATATGACCTATGGATGGATCCTGTGGAACATTCCCATGATCTCTTTATAGGTATGCTCTTGGTGGATTTGAGCATTGATAACCCCCAAAACTATGCCACAATCTCCTCTGTTGCTTGAGTTTAGTTCTCTGAACTTCATCATAAAATTGCTCTTTTATGGATTCATCTGATTCTTTAATAGGAGCATAAATGTTAATGAGGGTTGTGTTGCAGAAACGTCCCCCTTCACTTTAAGTTTACATATTCTGCCACTAATTTTGACAAGGCCCAGGACAAATCTGAAGTCTTTTATTAACGATGAATCCAACTCCATTTAAGCCGTTTCTCTGGTCCACTATAATCAAAATGAAATTCCTTTTTACTTATAACTCCATTATTCTTCAACCTGATTTCTTGCAGTGCAGCAATTTTTATTTTTTATTTCATTAGTTGTTCAGCCACTGCCATAATTTCCCCAGGTGATAACATTGATCTAACATTTCAAGTTCCAATCATGTAACTAAAATTATCATTAGCCTTATGATTCTAAGTTGTCGACATTGAGTTCATCCAGATTATCCTACAACATGAGGTAGTTAGCCTCATGCTTAACCCCCGACCAGTCGCCTGAGGTTGGAGGACCAGTCGCCTGATATAATCCCTAGGGGCAGGGTACCCGTCTATACCCCTGGACACTGAATACCCATTTTAGTCGCCTCTTAAGACATGAGCTACATTAAGACTATTCTTTTATACCCGTGAAAATTGTATTCCATAGTTTTTTTAAATCTTTATTTCAAATTATGTGCATTATAGGAAAATCCAAATAAAGAGGATGAGTATTATGCTGTGTATTAATAAAGCTTAACCAGTGTTTAAAAAAGGCACAAATCATGTCACACAAGTATACATGTGATTGTTTTGATACTATATGTTTCATTATGCACCAAAATGATCATATGTCTGTTTATGTAGCATTATGTGGGCTCTTTCCTCATTGGTTAAACTTTATTCTTGTTAGAAAAATCTCCCGAAAAATAAGTTCAATTCTTGTATATTATTGAGAAAGAAAAAAAAAGGTTTTATTATTTATGCATCTATAATTTTAAATTACTGCACTTTATATTCTATTCTACACTTTATATTCTAGATTATACGGATGATAGGAAAATACAAATGTAGAGGGGCTTAGTTTTGAGTTGCATGTGAATAAAGCTTAACCATTATTAAAAAAGTGCACAATAATGTCTTACTAACAGTTACTGGATTGTTTTTAGTACTAGATGTTTGATTATAAGCACCAAAACGATCATGTATCTTTTTATGTGGCATTATTTGTATTCCTTTCATATTGGTTTAGCTCCATTCATTTTAGAAAAGTATTTCACACTCCTAAGAAATAAGTTCTATTCCTATATACCATTGAAAAAAAAGGTTAAATTATTTATACATCTGTAATTCTAGATTGTACAATTTGTATTCTAGATTGTATAGATTATAGGAAAATACAAAAATAAGGAGGTTTAGTTTGGAGCTATATGTGAAAAAAGCTTAACCAATGTTTTCAAAGAACACAAATAATGTCCCACAAGTAGAAACATGATTGTTTTGTTACTAGATATTTTATTATAAGCACCAATAGGATTGCATGCCTGTTTATGTGGCATTATTTGTGCTATTTTCACATTGGTTTAGCTTTATTCATTATAGAAAAATATTGCACTGTCTCAATAAAATTAGTTCAATTCTGGTGTATTATTGAAAAAAAAATTTAAATATTAATTTGTCTGTAATTCTTTCATTCTCAACTAGATTGTGGTTTGATGAGCTTATGAAAACTTGGCAAAATTGGCATAATATTCCAGCTTGGGAAGATGTAAGTAAAGTTCCCCCCCCCTTTCCTTTCAGTATTTTGTGTAATAGTTTCAGATTTTTAAAAGACTTTGCTTTTAATTCTCTTATAAATTGAAGGAATAAGCTAAATACTAATAGTATAGGTTTTTTGTATGTTTCAAAGATGTAGGATGTACTTTAGTTGTAATCTGGAATTTTTTTTTAAATATAGTATTAAAAAATTCTACAATATTTAAAAATAAATGAAAAATACTATCTAGCTGTTTAAAAAACTGTCTTAGGGTTATAATTTATAATTAAACTCTCTGATACATTACAAAATCAAAATATAGAAAGTATATTTTACTTTACAGATATTTTAACTTCACATATTAAAAATAAATAAAGTAAAATTGGAAAAATTAACCTAATTTTCTCTTAGTGTTAATAGAGTGCCATTGTATACTTTGTGACAGGTTTCGTGTGCGTAGGTTAATAAAAACATTTTTACTATGAGATACAGACATTTACTGAGTATAGTGCTTTTTTTTATTTTTATGGAAAATTTCTAATGATTTTAACTATAATTTTTTTCCCATTTCAGTCTCTGTTACAGCTTCTTGCTCGATTAGCTGAAGATAATGTTGGATACATTGATTGGGAGCCTTATATACCAATGGTAGTTATTTTATATTTATCCAGCTTTAGATTCTATCTTAAATAGTTAAATGAGAGTTGCTTTAGTGAAAATTAAAATTTAACAATAGTTTTATAAGCACATAGCTTAATAAATGAAAGCTTTATACTAACAAAAAAAAGTGAGTTCTCTTAGTGCTATATAAAAATAAAGGATATCAGTATGCCAGTGCTTTTTCTGTATTTTAAATTTATTGTCTGAATTCTTTTATTTTTATTAATATGGATGATAATTTTTCTATTTTAATGAAAATTCTTTAAAAAATTGAAGAAAAAAAGTTTGTTGAATACTTTGAAAACTTTTTGTCTATTTTTACTCATTATGAAAAAATTATGAAAATAAGAAGTCTGAAAAGATGTATACCATTGTAAATGCTTAGAGTGTTTAGTATGTTTTCTTCTTTTCATTTTCTGATACTCTGGGTGCTTAAATAAACATTTGTTCTTGTAATAAAAAGCTTTAAATAATGTATTTTCAATCATACATATCAAGAAATTTATTAAATAAGTTTTAAATAGTAAGCTATATTAAGAGACAAGATGGGTAACATTCTTTCAAATAAATCAACATGTTTTGAGTTGATTTTTTTAAGATATATTTTTTCTTTTAATAAAATTTCACAGTGGATTTTATGTACTGTAAGGAAAAAAAAAAAAAAAAAACTTGAAATAAAGTTAATTTTTCCTGAGAAACCAAAAAAAAATGGTTTTAATTTTTCTTAAAATTTCTATTCCAAACTTTTTATTTTTTAAATTTTACTCATCTGATTTTGTATCTCTTTTCAGTTTTGTTTTAAAAAGTACATTGTCTAAAAGAATGAAGAAAAATAATGTCATTACCATTCAAATATTTTCAATCATTATTAAAATAGTAATTAAAAATTAATATTTTTTGCATAAAATTATTTTGAGATAAAGGAATTTAATAAATAGATAAAATAATTTATTTTAATTTATATAGTTAGTTTTATATAATTAACTTTATATATATAACGTAAAATACAGAATTAAGATCAAATTTTCAACTATTCTCTAAATTTAGATCGAACCTATGCCGTCATATTTTCTAAATTGCGTGTCTAAGTCTCATATTTTAAAGGTCAAGAATCTAATTTGTCGAAACGAAGAAAAAGATGTTTTATTGTATATGAATTGTTATATTTTACCACATTTATATAAACTTGCCTTCGTGTATGTCTGTCCGGGTGGAATTTTGTAATCGATTTTAAACTAACTTCCCGACTAGCTACAAACTTCAAATTTGGCACATAGTTCAGAATTGGATGACAATGTATGAAAATGAAGAGAAAAAAGACATACAAAGTAAAATAAAATTAAAATTTTAAAAATAAATTATTTACGAGATTGTCTTTTGTTGTCGATTCCATTATTTCAAATTAGTATTACATGTCAGGTGAAAAGATTTTCATTGTCGGAGTATTTTTATTGGCTGAAAAATCACGTGGTAGGATCCAGTTTTTCCTCATTCATTTCCAAATTGTTTTAGTTGTCATCAGCATAAAACTAATGAAAGTCGTAAAGGTATTGTTTTTCTATAAAGATTTTTGTATCCCTAATTTAAAATGAAAGTTCTATTATTTGTAGTAGTCTTGACTACTCTTGACTAAGAAAAATAATCTAAATAAAAATATTTATTTTTAAAACCACGTTTTTTGTAGTGAAGAATAATAATTGAAAAGTAATAAATTTTGAAAAATATAAAATAAAAATTAAAAAAATTATAATTTAAAATAAAAAAATTCAAAATGAAAAACAGTATTTTTAAAAACCACGCTTTTGTAGTGGAGAATAATAATTAAAAAAAATTGAAAACTGAAAAACGTGGGGAGCATGAAATACATAACAGTACATATACACATGCATATACACATTTTCTTACTCATACACATGCACAGCCGCATATACATCCACATACATATGCATATACACAAACATATTCCGCATCCACATTCAGATACAATTCCAATTACAGATATACATACACATATTCTCAAGAGCACACATACACACACTAATATAACATTACTGTTATGTATTTCATGCGCCCCACGTTTTTCATTTTTCAATTTTTTTTTAATTATTATTCTCCATTACAAAAGCGTGGTTTTTAAAAATATTATTTTTTATTTTGAATTTTTTTCATCTTTAAATTAATAAAAAAGAATAAATAGTTCAGAACTTTGTGAAAATAAGTTTCAAAGATGAACGAAAAATTAAATTGTTTCAAATTGCAAAATTGTTCTGAATGCATGAAAAAAAATGTCAAGAGTGAAATCCAATTTTGTAACTTATCTCATAGGTGGCTTCAAGGTAATTAGCATATTTGAAGTGACCTTCAAAACATTTTAGATTTCATTTTTTTAAAAATATGATTCTTAAATCAAAAGGTATTTAAGATGATAGTATTTTTGGTTGTATAATACACTTAATGTTTATGGAAATAACAAAAACCATTTGACATTTTTTTTGTAGATTTTTACTAGACTGTTACGTAGTTTTAATCTCCCTGGTAGACCTGGTACATTACAAGTCTACAGAGCATCTGCAGCTTTTGACACTGCTTCCATTGCCACTATAATAGCATCTATGTTGGTGAGTTGTTGTTTTGTTGCATTTTAATCATAAACAGTTCTGTTTTTACTAAGCATTATCTCTCAGCTTCAGTTTATTCTTATCAATTTTATCAGCTACTATCAATTATCAGAACCTTAGATCTTGGAAAATTTCTCATACAAAATCCCCATGCTTTATTTACATATTAGTATATTTACAGTTCTGAGACAAAATCCCCATGTTTTATTTCCTGTAATTAGATGCTGTTGGTTATTGATGAAATGTGCCTTAAAATACTTAGTATTCAACTTATGAAGTCATTTAGGAAAAGTATGATTTGAAATATATACATATTTAAATTATTTGAGATAAGTTTCTACTAATATTTGTTAGTTTATGCATTTATCTGTTAGAATTAAGTAAAATATTTTTTCATATTTCGACTACTCAAATTATTTTAAAAAGCTTTGTTTTGTTATTTTATTTCATGTTCCTATCTACTTTTTTCCCTACACTTCGAGGTTAAAGCTTGAGTATAGGGCAAAATTATTCAATTTTGTTTCTTGTCAGTTGTAGTATTTTAAACAGTAACTGATTTTTAAAGAATGTGGACACTATTTAAAAAATTGAAAATTTTAAGCAATTAAAAAACTGTTGATGTTAATAATGTAAGGAATTTTGAAACATTTCTCAAAATATGGTAAATTTTAAGAAACAAGCATAAAATAAAATGAGTTTTACATTTCGTAAAAAAGATTATAAAAAGCACATAGGGTGCGTTTTCCACAAAAAGAACGGAAGATAATTTTTAGCCATTTATTATATTTAGCAACCATTCATTTTGCCTCACAAGCCTGAGTGTCACACAGAATGCAGTTCTGAATGAATTTTTTTTGAATAACTTCTCTGTTACTGTTGCAGGGTGTGTAGCATTTTTAAAAAGTGCTTAAAGGTGTTTATTTTTGATTTACATTTTTTAAAAGCCCTTAAAGGTGCTTTTTTCAGGCATTTATAAAAAAATGCTTAATTTTTAATCTTTTAAAAAGAGATTTTTTTCTTTGCCATATCGATTGTCGTTCTAAATTACAAAAAATGCGTGATTTTTGCAATTTTTCTCTGCAATATTTATCAGAAACTAGTTATTTTTTTCATGATTATGTAAAGTTTTTGAAAATGTTTTGAATTTTATTGATTTTATGTTTATAAATTAAAAACTTAAAGGACAGAAAAAATAATTTTTATGACTGCACAGATCTTAATTATGATTTTTTTTTGGAAAGTGATTAAAAATATTTTTTGAAAAAGTACTTAAAGGTGCTTATTTTTTGTTGAAAAATCTGGCTACGCTCCCTGTGTTGGTTACTATAAAGAAAAGCAGTTAAAAAATTTTAAGGAAAATTTGTAACTTCTATTTCTTCCATATATTTTTTAAATTATCAATATCACCTTTTACTGTGGTCAAAATAGAGCTTAAATCTATAAAGAGAAAAATCTTTTTGTTTTAGTTTGTGGCTTTTTATTTGTTTTATAAAATATCATTCTTAATTTAGGGAATGGGCAACAGTTGTCAGCTTCACATCACCCGTCTCTTCAAAGCTTTGGAATCTTTCTATCACCCATCCAATCATGGAAGATGGCTGGTAATTATATTTTTGAAATTTTAAATGTCTACGAGTGCATTTCTTTGAATAGTGAACAAAATTAAAAAAACAGAAACCTTAATAACTTTTGCTCTATTCATTGAATTATTGCTTACTAGTATTTTGTCTTAATGGTTCACCAGAATTACCTCAAACATATGCTAATTAATTCGCACAGATAATAATTTGGGGGATACTTATCCATTTTTTTAAAAAATAGTTAAGTAGCTACAAAATTTTTTTTCTCATTAATATAAAATAAATATTATTCCAAATATTATTTATATATGCATACTAAAAAAATTTCTGTTAAATCTCTGAATTTCTTAATTGTTTCATCCTGTAGTTTCTTTATTATATCAGAAAAAGGCATGCATGTAGAAAATTTTCTGAAACGTTGAAAATAGTGATGACAGTAATGTTTTTAATATAGAGACACAAATATTGTATTTTCAAATATGATTTTATAATCTCTGAAGTTCTTTATTTTGTATCATAAAAGGTAAAAATGCAGAAGCTTCTGCAGAGACTTCCCCTTGCTGTGACTAAACGACTCCACCGGTAGGTTTATTTCTTTTATTCTATATGATTAATATGAAATTTATGAAAAGACTTATAAGAGTTTTTATTTAACAGAGAGCGTCATTCTAAACCTACTTGGAAGGCACCTGTTCCTGAACATGCTAAGCTCACCAATGATGATATCACAGAATTTGTAAAAAGCATTGTTCCTGCCGTTCTTTTGTCTATGTTTAGTAAACGAGGATGTATAGACTCTTCTTTAGCCATTCAAAATCTTGGTGCTCTGCGTCCTGAATTAGTTATTCCCCCTTTGTTAGAAAGGTATCCTCAATTACGATATTTATAATTTTTTTAAAAATAATTATTGATAGTTTAATGCTTAAATGTATCTTCTAGTGATTTTACAAGATTTTGGTGTTGAAGTATTAAAGTTATTTTAAGCAAAAATTATGCATATGTTGAAATATATATTCTTAATGTTCAGCTGATATATAGTTTAATATAAATTTATCGAAATGCACAGATTTTTTTTGGGAACAGAATCACATCTAGTAATTTATCAGTGTGTATTTAGCTTCTATTCAGTTATATTCATCTTAATGAAAGTTCTAGGTGCAATTGTATTACATTGTTGAACCAAGAAAAAACAAGTATGCTGAGCAAAATGTTGTGAATCATTATAGAGATGCCAACTGCTCCGGACACGCCAAAATAATTAAAAAACGGTAAATAACTACGAACTAAATTTTGCAAATATTTGACTATTTTTGCTTACTTTTTAAAAGGTATGGCATGACATAACTACCATAAAGTGGTGAATTATATAAGCCAACAAATTGTTTAGAAATAGTGGTGGATAAAAATCTACTAAATTGAATTTATTAAAAACCAAGAACCACAATTATTAAACTACCACTTTAAAATATTTATTTGCTGTCCAGAGCAAGTTGGCATCTCTGTCATTATCGAGGAAGCCAAGACTAAAAGCATCAATACCCATTTGATTGATTGAGAGAACAAAGTGGAGATAAAAAACATCTCTTCCTCCAAGTGTAAGAAACTTCTAGTTTCATCAGATGATCTGACTGGTTTCGGTGTTTTTTGTTGAATCTTTCCCAGTAGCGATTCATCAGATTGCATTAGCATTTCTGTTTATTTTTCTGCATTTAAATAGTAATTAGCAACCCCTAATGTGCATGCTTTTTTAATTAACTTCTGATAAGAATTCTAAAAATATCATGGAGGTCATGACAAAACACCTTATATTACAATTAACAGAAATTCTAATTACACTTTTTTCCAATTTTTTTCGATATGTTTGTTTAAAGTACTTTCAATTTCATATAGAACCCTGATTAAGGGAAATCTCAAATTTAATAAGAAAATCTTTTGTAAATGGCATTAACTTTCAGCATTGCACCTTCTTTCAATGAATCTTAAAGTTTACCCTCTTTCGAAGAAGTGCTTTAAATCAAGTTTACAGGTAGTGAGGATATTTATAGTGCTTTTGCGATAGATGTGATCAGACAGAGTTCGTTCATAATTCTGTTGATACTTAAAAAATATCTGTATAAAACTTAGTTTTTAAGAGCATAACTTAGATTTGATATGAAAATTTTTTAAAACTTCCTCACAAATTATCTTGAAAAAAAATTATCTGAGTTTTGGTTAGAATTTGTGATATTTTTCTGTGCAGAGTTCCCCATTACACATCTAGACACGTATTTCATGAATAGAATTCAGTTTTACTCCTGAAAAATTAACGATAATTTCTCACTTCAAAAATCAGCTTTGACATCTTTGCTTTATTGGCCTTTTCCTATCCAATATAATATCCTAATCAAACAGAAAGAAAAGAAAGAGCATAAAAAAATAATGTTTTTTGAAGTGGAGGTTAAATGTTGTATCAATAATTTTAGAGTTTTTGCTTTGCACAATTAACATGTTAATTATAATATATATGTATTATATAAATAAAATGGCAGTAATTTATTAATATAACCTTAACTTTGAAGTGCACTCCTCAATTTTAAGTTTTACACCTCAAAAATACATAGAGGAGTGAAATTACTCTCTGAAAAATTTATTTTGTATAACACTGGTTCATCATCATCATAGTTGGCCACACAGCCCATTGTGAGCCAATGCCTTCCTCTGAAGATTTCTCCATGACGACTTCCGATTTATCTTTGATCTCCAATTCTTTTCATTAATACTGGTTCAGTGTAACATATAATTCAAACTATTTGTTTTTCTCGTTTTTCGTTGTGTCCTAAAGTTTGCTGATCTTTTACAGATTGTATTCTTCATTGGAGACACTTACAGAACCACATCGATTAACTGCTGCTTTGCACTGCATTGTGCCTGTGTGCAGACCTTTAGTGCAGCCTAACAAATATTTTCCTGAAGGCCAGTCACATGTCATACCACTACTCACAGCATCTTTACCTGGAATTGATCCTAATGACATTCGAAAATGCATGGTAACTTGTATTTTTGGTTAACAGTAGCTCTTCTAATAGTTGAAGATTTTAACATGGTTTTAAGTCATATTTTAGTGAATTTAAGAATATTAGCTGTAGTACAGATGAAAAACAAGTTAACAAAGCCCATTTTTCTACCAAAAAGTGTCTTATTTAATAACTTATCAGAAAAAAAACTCAACTTTCTTATACATAAGACTAACGGTATTATGTTTTATACTTAAAATTTCATGTTTTTCTTTTAAATTTTTTTTACCTCATTCATACCTTCAAATAAGCTCTTCATTTGTAAAAATATCTCAGATATGCATTTTTATATGATACTTTTTTTAAAAAAAAAGTAGTTAAATATATTAGCTTTTTAACAGATTCTTTTGTATAAGCAATTTTGTATGCAGCATTTCCGCAACAGCCTTTGGTGAGCGAAAAAGGTCAAGTAGATTAAGACTCTACAATTTCAATGCCTACAGACAAGCTGGTTCCCATCATTCTGAAACTGAGTAGGCTTCTAGCCACCTCTCAGAATCCTCCACAATGACCTAGAAATGGTGCCATAACAATTAAAATTTAGCTTTCTCTTCGAGTGCTTTGGAAATAGCTGTAAATTACTGAGTTTCAGATGTATAGTAAAAAAGTTACAGATCAAACTGAAAATACTCTCGCCCACCAAGAGGAAAGGACAAAGGAAAAAGAATAATCATAACTTTAACTACTGGAAACGCTGCTGAAAATTAAATTTCTGTATTTCAGTGCCTATAAAATAGCAATTTTGAACTATGTAAAATAATTATAATATTCCTTTCATTAAAATGTTTGGCAGAAGATCTATGAGATAAAAAGTAATAACCAATATTTTTTTTGCTAGATATATTCTATGTAAAATCTGTTTCAAATTGGGAGACCAATTGTTTAGGATATGTTATTTAGCAATTGCTGAACATTACTTATTAGAATGATATCCTTTGTTGGACATAATTCTTTATTATAGAGAAGTAAAAATTTGTGGTTTATCGCTTTTTACCTCCCAAGGTCTTAACACGTAAGAGTATTTTTTTTTCTTGAAAACTTGATATTTTTATAAATTTAAAAAACATTTTTTTAATGGATTTTTTCTGAATTTTAGTAAATAACGTTAATTAAGATTTACATATAATTTTAGTTATTTTTTAAGTTTAAGAGCATAATTTTTTTTTTCCTTAATATTTTTTAGGTGACCTTCCAGTTCATTTCAACTCTTGTTACAGTAGTTTTAATGATTGATTGTTCCAGTGCTGTAGAAATACATCCAGATCTACCACAAGTAAGTTTATTCATTGTGCGAAGAAATACATAACAGAATTCATACAAATTAATTATATAATAATAAAAAATTATTGGTACATATTTTATTAAACAAATAATAATTTATAATCTATGTATTGTAGTTTTTGCCTTTAAGAACTCATATTTAATATCAATTAAAAGTCTAGAAATATGTAAAAGATATACTAAAATGTGTCTTTTAAATGTTTAGGCTGTGTAAAGTAAATTATATTTTTAATAGCTTCTATTTATGAATCGGTTCAAATGATAACTTTTATTTTTTCCAATTATTTAATCTTGTTTAATTTTTTTTCTGGTGGGTCATAGCCATTGTGAATGAAATAATTGATATAAATAATTAGAACACAATTATTGTTTTTAAAGTAGTTGATACTTTTTTTTAGATCTTGAATTGTTTCTTATTTAATTTTAAATTTTGCTGTGAATGAGAAAAAATTAAAAGGATAAAATGCCAACTGTCTGGTCCTTAAATTAAAAATGAAAATTAATTCATTTAAACCTCTCTTATAGTTTACCTCATCATAAATATTGTGCTATTTTGATTTCAGTTATTATTTAATATATATTGTAATGTATTTCAGAATATCCAAGATGTTTGTTTATCTACTGCAATATTTGAAGATTTTGTTCTTCAATTTATGGATAGGTATGAGCCTTAGTTTAAATTTTTTTAAAAAATCAGTAAATTGTTTTGAAATTTAATATTTTTTTCTCTAAGTCAGGCTTTGAGTAGTATCTTTATGATTTAAGTTAGTCATTCTTAATCCTCATCTAGCTCATTAGTTTTATTTTTCTGCTAAATATTAAATGAATTTATTAGCTGACTCCATATTTCTTTCTTTAAAAAAAAGCTAAGAAGAATGCTTTTTCAGATTTTTTACTTAATAAATAGGAAATTGGCACCTCATTTGAAGAAGTAGAGGAACTGTAATACCCATTTACAGCATGTTTTAACTCTTTCTAATTTAATTAACATGGAATGGAAGTATTTGCAACTGTTAAAATGCTTGTAAAAAAATCTTGAGCAGAATGGTTTTCTATGTTTTTTATTGGATATATTTACCTGGAAAGATTCCCATTTGATACACTTCTATTTTTATGTGGTCTTTCATTCTACTTTTCTATTTTACCTGAGATAAAAATATTAGTGACCTACTAAAAGTATTATAAAAAATGACATGAACATTTGTCTATTGAATTTTTTACTGAAAAAATATTAAAATTGGCAACGTTTACTAGGAAATACTGGTAGGGCTTGTGGCATGCGCTGAACAATACATAACTGTAAGGTCATAATTTAAGTGAAATTCAAACTAGCAGACTACTAATTAAATATTATTTTTTGCTTGGTTTAGATTTATTAATTTAAAAATTATAATTTAAGCAAAATCAGATATAGTAAATAACAATGACTTCACCTTAACCCTTAGAACATTAAACCTAGCTTTTTTTGAACCTTCAAATGCAAGTTCTCCGGTGTTAAAAAAAACCAGTCCCCTAATCTTATTCAAAGGGAAAATATTTCATAGTAGGGATTTTGCAGTTCAGTTTTTCCCTGAACTCAAAATTTGTAGGGCTGACGATGGTATAACTGTGTTTTGGTTTTAGTCTCAAACTTAATAATTTTATTTACTTTGTTCAGTATTTAAGAGTTATTTAGATTCTAATGCAGTTTTTATTTATTTATGAAGTACAATTCCTTTTTCTTTAGATGCTTTGCATTGGTTGAAAACAGCTGTTTTGATAATCATAACTGTCTGGACCGTGATTCTGAGCGTAAAAACCCAGAAGAACAGTTTATGGAAATAGGACTCTATAGTACATTTGGACTTATTCTAATGCAGTGTTCTCCTGCTATATATGAGGTATAATTTGTTATAGAATGTTACTTACCATTTAAATTTGATATTAAAAAAAAGTTACTGGTTTGGGACACTTTTTGAGAGTTAAAAATTGTAAAACTCATACCTACAATTGACTGATCAAGTTTTTAAAAAAACATTTTGAAAAAAGTAGCAATATTCGGCTTTAATTTTCTGCCTTAGTATTCTTTCTGTGATAGTGGATAAAAATTGTTCTTTTGTACACAGTTGTCTAAATTGTTTTGACTTTTAAAGATAAAATTATTTTAAACTTTTTTCCTTAATAATTTTCACTGTTCCTTTACCCCTTTGGAGGGTGCAAAAATTTTGATCCAGTCAAGAAAGACTGTTAGAAATGTGGTAATTGCATGCTCTTACAAAATAAAGTGATTTGCTTTACCATACATTTTTCGAAATGAAAAGTAATTGTAAGTAAAAGTAACTACAGTGAAACCCAGATTTGACGTTGCTCATTTGGTATGTTATCTTGGTTAAAAACTGTATTGTTTAAGAAACATGAACTACAGTGAAACCAAACCCGGGTTTGAGGTCCGTTATCTTGCTTCCTTATGTTATTTTCCAGATTATATGCCACCCCTTTTCAGAAAATCTTGTTCTATCTATTTTTCTAATAACAAATCAAAACCATTTGGAATCTACAAGGCTATTGTGAACTTTTTGTGAGATTTTTTTTTTAAAAGAGAGATTAACAAATCTCTCTTTTTAAAAAAAATTGTTTTAAGCCATTCTTAGTTCCTCTTTTATCTTATAAACCTTTTGTCCATGAGAGGGACTTTTTTATCTGAGTTAAAATCAGAAGGGTGGAGGATAACCGCAAGTGAAGGGAATATGAGAGTTTAAAATTGAAAAATATGTTTTGCTAGCAAACTTCAACCTTGGAATCTTAAAATAATCCGATCATTTAGAAACTGGTTAGAAAATGGCATATTTTTTCTTGATTGTGGGAACTTACAAGGTGCTTCGAATACAAAAATAATTGTTCTAGAAACTTTGAATTTCATTTCTGTAGCATTGGACTGTGTCAACAACAATCCAATGGGTTTTATTCCCATTCGATTTTTGTAAGGGTTTTTTAGAGCAGGGTTTTTTAAAACCCTTAATTTCCAATAGATTTTATAAAGAAAACTTCTCAGTATACAATGGTTACAGAAGAAAAAGATTGGGTGGTTGAAGATCTTACTTCAATTTCAGATATATTGACTGTAACATGCATCTCTTCACTTTTCAAATACCTTCAATATCTGTTTTAATTACTGATTCCAATGATGGTTTTGAAAATGAAGTGGAAATAACTAAGGTTGTATTCATGGATTATTAAACAACTCAAAGCATAAATACTCTGAACCAATGCTTATTTGCAAATGAAAACCAAAAAGCAAATTTGTAAAAAAACTATTAATATTGAAAGGGCTATTTTTGAAATTGCATCTGATAACAAAAACTAATAATTTGTCTGTTAATTGTAAATGATTGAAAAATGTACTTATATTTTTTTACCCCAATTTTATATTTTTCTACTTTGTTCCTTTCTCTCTGCTTGTCTCACTTAAAACAGGATTCTACTGCATTGCAATTTTAGTTGTTAATATTATTGACAAAACTAAATGAGGCAGTTTTATCCCTGAATGTGATAAGCACTTAAATAATTGCAAAACAAGCAACTACATTTGCCTCTCAAAATAAAGTAGGCTAATATCATTAACACATCATGTTTAATCTAAATAACTTAGCTTACACTTCAGAGACCAAATATTTTCTTAAACCCATTTTAGGTCATATAATTACGCATTCGTATTGTTGCTTTTAATACCAAATCAACTATATTACTACCTATAGTGAATTATTTAGCGAAATAACATTTCTTTATTAAATCATTGTTTTTCATTTTATAAATATTTTTGGTTTGCTATTGACATGTATTTGTGCTTACGAGTTTTAAAAATTCTTTTATAGGTTGGTTTGGTATTTCATGCAGATGACTTAAAAAGTGCTTTTGATACTCTTAAAATATTTTTTATTTACTTTTATAGGTAGCCTTAAGTAAACTTCAAACATTTGTCACCTCTCATATTCTTGAAATAAACGTTTCTGGGAAATATGCTGCCAATATGTGTCGTGTTGCATGCAGGGTAAGATTTTTATTATTATTATTATTTTTTATTTATTTTTTTAACAAAAATTGCACTGTACAATAATTTTTTTAAAATTGTACAAACTCATGAATCGAAAATTTGAATTTATAAACATATTGAAATTCAATATATCAACTGTAAATATTTCAAAATGCAATCAAATTGCTTTGCAGTTTCTCAGTATTATTGTTTACGATTTATGGTAATTTAATATGACTGTCTTACGTATTTGTTTATCTCTATTTTTAGATAAATCCTGAATTGGGGTTGAAATTATTTTTGCCTCATTTCTCTAAACTAGTCTTAGCTTTAACTGAAGCTGATGACATTATAAATGAAGAAAAGTTGGATGACGAACTTCTTTTTAGTTTGTTAATATTGTCTGAGGTATGATTTACATTCCTTTATTTGTCTTATAAAGAGAACTATAACGTTAACTTGTTGCATGCATTTGTAACAGTATCTGCTTTGCTTATTTCGCTGTTAAAAATATGTGTTTTATCTTCTATAACTGGCTTTTAATTAGTGTAGTTTTTTGACATAAAAAACTGGTTGAAACTGTTAAATACTGACAAAAACCTGTGGTGAAGGCTGAGTCTGAAAAACAGAAATGCTTGTTAAGTAGTTTAGTTGCATGTTTTTCTTAAAAACGTTTTTTAAAAAAAATAATATAATAATAGTACAATATATTTATCGAAATTAGTAAAATTAAGCTAAAATCATTGATTTTTATTCAATGATCATTGTTTCTCTTCTTTAAAGGTTTCTCTATAAAATTTCAGTTATGGCTTTTTGATGTTTCATATTTTTGTTGTTTTAATACAAAACTTTGTTACTTTTTTGTAATGTTACTGTGGAATTGTAATAATTAAAAAATATTAATTTATTATTTAAATATTTATATTAATTTAATATATTAATTTATTGCATCTTTTTTGTTGCCCTTTTGGGACTGTTCCTTAAATGATATCAGATTTAAAGGGGGTTCATTGGAATTGTGACAAGTGAGAATGGGGAGGAAGAAATAAGAAATGTGATGTTTCCTATTTTGACTAAAATAAGAATATTCATTAAGACTGACATAAGAAAATTGTTATATTATTTTTTTAAATAATTTTTTCCCCTTTTTCATCACAATAAATACTTATCTAATCATTTTAGTTTCATTAATAACATAAAAATATAGTTTAAATGTAAAATTTGAAATAGATCTATAATATGTTTTTTGTTTCTGAACTGCTGGCATATGATTATATAGTGTGCCTTGTGACAAGTATTGACAGGTATGGTGAAGTGTAACACTTTGTGACAAAAGAGGGAAGAAAGGTCAAAAATATTTTTAATAAAAAGAGAAAAAAAAAGAAGAAAAATATGCGACACGTTTTATGGGCAGCCTCCTAATCCTGGGATGAAAAATTTGAAAATTTGCTATTAAGACATTGAAAACCTGGTCAACAGATGTAAAGTCAAACGATAGGCTTACTTCAATTCTTGTTACTTAAATATAAGTGGCATATAAAATAAAAATGTCAAGACATAAAAACAGCCTTATGATTTAATTTTTAATATTGTAAAAGTAAGTGGGGCAGTTTTTATTTTGCGGGATTCTCAAGAGAGTTTTAACAAACACAATATTTAAAGATATTACTGTTTATTTTCAGTTATTTTTTTGTAGTTTTTGTAAACTTCATGAAATTTTAATAATACACTTTTCATTTGATTGATTGACTTTTTTTTTCTTCTTCGCTTTGTGATTGATATATCTTTCATGACATATTTCTGACCTAGTGAATCTTTAGTTGAGTGTCTCCTGTCATCTTTAGTTTTAGATTATAGTTATTGTTTTCAGATTTCTAATTTTCATATTGATACATTAGTCACATATTATATAATAATATACTAATTGTTTATTGAATTTTTGCTCTTTAGATTGTTCGAAGTGATGGTAAGCATGTTCATCAGTATCATAGCAACATTGTGAAAGTCCTAGAAAGAACTTTAAATTTGAAGTGCAAAGAAGGTTATAGTTTAGCATGTTCTTTACTCTCTCACACTTTAAAATCATATTTAACCATCTATCCTCTGAATACATGCAGTGTGTCCAACCCTTGGTCTCGTTATGGTCCAGAAGAAATACATCGTTATTTGGAGGTAGATAAATAATTTAAAATTGATATAGAGCAGCTTTCAGGAGAATTTCTCCAGACACCTGTCTCGCGTCCTGACGGGTACTATTGTTACGAGAAAAGGCTACTTCGAATAGAGGTGTGGGGTGAATAGTTTTGTCTTAATCTTAGCATATGTCATCGTGAGTAAACCAATCGACACCTTCTTTCAACCATTAGAAATGTGCTCTTTGCTTGTTACCAAAGCAGCAGACAGCCCCAGACTTTTAGTCTGGAGGAGTTCTCCTCAAAGCCTGTATTTGTATTTTCTTTTTTCTGTACCAATGAAAAACATTTTCTTTTAGATTGTTTCTTCTATCATGTGTAACATTTCTGTTTGCTTAGGAGATATAAAAACTAAACTCAGTGGCACGACAGCCCATAGAGGGCCAAGGCCTACTGTGCCCATTTCAGTTTTCTTGACCTTGGGCTCTGGGATGCAGAAGCATATGTTCCAGTTAGGTGGTCAGCCGAACGCAAAACCCCCAGTGTTTAGCTCCCAAGCATGCTTGGTACTCATTTATCAACCCACTGAAGGGATGAAAGGCTGAGTCAACCCTGCCCGGCCCGAGGATCGAACCCAGGACCTGTGGCACAGGAGCGCGATCCACCACCACTCAGCCACCGGGCGTCTTAGGAGATATACCAAAAGTTAAATAATAGAAAATTAATAATTTTTTAAAATGAATATGAAGTTTTTTAATAATATAATTAATATAAATTCTAAAAATATCAAGGTTTGCTAATACCCACTGGTATATTATTAAATCAGCAGACCACCTGTATGTGAGGGTTCAGTTTTTATGAAAGTTTGTGCATTAGATTTGTTTTGCGTTTGAATACATTTAAACAGCTGTATGTGTAGTGTGTGGGTATTGCATCATAAAACTATCACTGTTTAGGTATTTTATTTTTTCAGACCTTGTTTTAAATTTATTTTTCTTTTGAAATAAAGTTTAATTATTAAAATCATTTTATAATTATCGACATTAAAGAAATTTTATTAAAAATATTTGTTATTAAAAATGTATGTGTGAAAGTATTGAACTGTGTGGAGTAATATTCAAAAGTCCTTTTTGAGTAGAAAATGTTTGTTAAGGGAAAATGTCAAAGCATTATATATATTATAATTTATAATCTCTTTATTTTGATAAGAAATTTTAAATGGTAAGTTTGCTATGTTGCTATAATATCAATAATTACTATTTTTATCTTGATAAGGAAGATAATTATTTTGCCATATCTAAAACAAATTTTATCTATCTTATGTATTTTTACATCTTTAATTTTTTTAATGTTCTCTTAATGTTTTTATGGAAATGTTATTGAATTCAATTAAAAGAGCGGCATATGAATAAAGCTTAACAGTATGAAAAAAGCACAAATAATGCCACAAAACAGACGTACTATAGTGTTGGTTTCATTCTTCAATGTTGGTTTCAAATACATTCACTTAACCCCTTTTGATGCGCCTGGTTCGTAGGATTTCGTTGTAAAACACTAGGTTTTATCGTTCATTTTTTCAGTTTTTGCTGTGGATTTCACTGTTATGATCTTTTTTATTTATCCACAACAACTCGCTAAGTGTGAAAAAAGAAGTAAATGCTATTTTTTTCAATGTATAGATATTTTATGTATACATAAAAGTGACAGTTGCTATTTATCTTCTATGTACAAAAAGATTTTTAAAAAAATTAAAAAAACTGCATTGAGAAAAAAAATGTAGATAATTTCTTCTTCCTGCAATCACATGTTAGGTATTAGGAATAAAATCCTACTAATTTATCAAAAATTTATAAATTTTGGTTTGCTTTTCAGATTGTAAAGTTAATGTCGTTTCTTTCTTCTGTTAGGATTGGGGTATTGCTGGAAACATTCACAAGTTAGAGATGGTACGTCATACACCTTCTGATGAAGAACTTGAAGCTGCCAGATCTCTATTGGAACAATTTATGTTAAAAGAATTAAAAAAATTGCAAAAATGGGCAAATAAAGAAATTGATTTATCAAGGTATATCTGACATTATTTAGCAACTAAACTCCTTAAATATATAACTTTACCAACATGTAACCCAAGCATTTTATTTAATCGAATACAAATTTAAAAAATTTTACTGATGAGTATTATGAGGTGTGCATGTAAGAATAATAGTAAAAACATTCAGCTGCACTAACATAGATTTCAGTTGCAGAATTCAAAATTTTCAAATTGCAATACCTACTTTTGGTTATCGAGACATAATCCTCGCAAAAAGAAATTTAAAATGATCTGGAACAGTATTTTTTCGCAAATAGGGATGATATTAGACGTAGATGAAGAGAGCAAAATGCAACATACGAATCTCTACTTTCAGATTCCTCTATGTTGTCATCAAACTGTGCTGAGTACAACTAAATGAAGGCACATTGATAATATTTGGAAAACTTTTTTTTTAATTTTGGTCTAATGCTGTTATTTTTCAAGTTTCTAACTACATTTTAATTTTCCATCAGTAAAACAACATTTGATTGAAATAATGCTAGTTTTGACATTTGAAATTTTCAAAATTCTGTACTGTATAGCTCAATAATCCTCTAAAATTCTATTATTAAGTGTATAGTTTGTAATACATATTAAAAAATCCTTATTCTAATCTTTTAGAGTCTCTTGTAGGTCAAGAGGGTCATATGCTGGAAGTGTGATTGTATTATTGTCTTTGTAAATAGGTGTTTCAAGGTTACTCGATACTGTGGAATCCACAAATCTCTCTTTAATTTTCTAATTATAACATTTCCTTGTATTATAATTATAGTAATACAGTAGGGAACCGATTATCCAGATAACTGATTTTTCCGGTTTTCTGAATCGCTACAAAAAGATGTTTTTTATTGTTAAACCCAACTAAAAAAATATATAGTATACAGTACAGAACCCGTTATCCGGAACGATCGGGACCATCGCTATTCTGGATAACTGATTTTTCCGGTTTTCTGAATCGCTACAAAAAGATGTTTTTTNCTAAAATCTTATGAGGAAAAAATTTTTTTTTGAAAAATGGCGGGAAAATTTATTAAATTTCGTTCCGGTTTTTTGGTTTTCTGATTTCCGGATAACTGGTTCTCTACTGTATACAGTTATGAGTTAAAAATACTCCTTAACTGTTGTGTAAATAAAAATAGTGTTTTAGCCTGTCACACCTACCAAGTTGGCAAAGGTCGAAAATATGAGCTTGATACGCTAATTTTAATTACAAGGAGTGTAATAAGTTGTTGATTATACTAATTTCTGTGTAGGGATGAAGCTCATTGTTCGCTGACTATTGTATTGAAGAGTCTAATTGGATCAGCGAGTTGTCTTCCATTGTGGGATGAACCTCAATTAGATCTGTAAGTATAAAGCAAATTGAATTTTTTAAAAGTTTTTTTTATTAAAACCCAATAGCTATAGTTTTTTTTCGATATTTTTTAAAACAATAATACAATAATGTTGGTTTTATTAAGTTAAAAAGATTTTTTTTGAATGTTTGAACTATTTAAATTGAAATATATTTTGTTCAATGGATTTAAATCTAAATGATTTGAACCAACTTTATTGAATCGCTGATTGGAATAAACTTATCCAAATCAGCAAGTTTATGTTTGGTCAAATTAATTATTTGATGCAACATTAATAAATATTTTTTTTAAAATCTAATTTCGTTTTATTTTTGGAATCTTTTTTCGTTTTACTTAATTTATAGTCTTGGTTGGAATCACTAATTCAATGTTCATCTGTATTGAGATTTCTTATTTTATTACTGTTCATATATTTTATAAATTCTGTTATGCATAAATTTTTTAGTGTAAATAATCTTCCTTTTGCCAGGCATTTAGTGGACTGAAAACAAAATATAAAGTAATTAAATTTGGAAAAAATAGTGAACTTTCCAGCCAACTACAGATGTTACATAAACACTAAATAAATTCATAAAGTTAATTGATATTAAAGTTTAAAACACTTGAAACAGATTTGTACGAAAAAAATTATTTATTCTTAAAAAGTCACTATATTTTGAGTTAAATGTTTAAAGTTTGTTGGGAAAAAAACATTAACTGGAATACTTTTACATTTTCTTTTAGACGAGAAACAACACTACCGCCAGTACAACCATTTGCTCTTAATTGTGGATTCAGAGGTAAAAATCACTGCAGTATTTTCATTCTTGTAAAATTTAAGTTCAATTCAATGCTTAAAGCCCATAAATGTACCCAGCATTGCTTAAAATAATATAAAAGACTTGTTAATATTTTATTTGTCCAGTTTTGAAAGTTGTTTTTGTATCTTTCAATTTTTTGTTTAACATTTGACAAATTATTAGTTTTGTTTTAGCTGTCACGCTAAATAACAATTTTTAGTAAATGTTTTTTTTTTTCTGAAATTTTAGATGGAAGATCAAATCGCTTTGATAATCTTATTTTTTAGAATAAGATTATCAAAAATATATCAATGTTTAAAAAATTTCATGCAGCATGCTTATTTAGTTTGTTGTTTAGTTCATTTAATTTTTTTGCTCTGACAGAATTTGCTTATATACTTGGGGTCGAATCCAACCTTACAGCCTCGTGGCAGAATCACGGCGACATTGTCGCTGAACGTTATAGAGTTCTTGCAGAAAGAATTTCCCTTTAGAAAGTAAAAAAATGTGGTTTTCTTCCTGGCAAAAATTTTCAAATTATTTTTTCTCTAAAATTATTTTTAAAAGATTCCTTTCTCGCACATCGGAAGGTAAAGAAATGCTTTAAATTTTTCGATTCTTATTTGAGAAGAATGAAAAATAAAAAATATTGAAGCAAAAAATTTATTTTTTGTAGAAATGGTTGAAATATATTTTTCTCCACAATTATACTCAAGAGATACCTTTACACGCTCATGATTTTTTTAAATTCCCTTTTGGGAAAAATTAAAACAATTTTGGTTTTCCTTTCTTTCACTGATTTTACGATTTGTAATGATTATTTTTTTTATATGTGATAATGATTTACAAAGTGCGAAAAAAGAAATAACAAGTATGCTATCCTCTTACAAAATGTGAGAATATCGCCCATGATATGAGAATAAAAAATATTACATATTCATTTTTAAAAAAATACATACAATTTTATTATATCCAAATAGGCTTTTCTTCGTAAATGCAACGTTTCTGTTACTTTAAATTTAATTAATAACATATATATTAGTTAATATTAAAAGTATCTCTCAGAAAGATATTAGTGCTAGAGAGGTTTGTCGCAGAAAGCCTAAAAAAATTGTACCACAGGGCCTTATAGCATTATTTATAGTATGATGTGTAATTCTCTGCCACAACAAAATAGTTTGCACTTGTATTTTTTTCTTTTTTTAAATTTTTTAAGTAAGGAACAAAAAACTAATATTGATTCTAATTACAAAAAATAGCTGCAGTAATGAAAGTTTAAATTGAACCAAACACAAGCATATTTTAAATTTAGAGTTTTAAAAAAATTACAGTCATGAAAAAAAAATTGAATTTTCTTACTATTTTGGCAAACAAATTTTCAGGATAGTTTTATTTAAACTCCCTTTTCTTTCTTTCTTTTTTCTGATATTTTTACACTATTTATAATCTAATTTTTTTTTTGTTTTTATTTGTCAATTCTGATCAAAATATATAAATAAATTTGAAAGGTAGAGATTTCAACTGATTTTTATGTTTTAATGCATTTGTTTATGTTTCGTATTCAAATTCTTTTCAGATATATCTTTTCATAATCAAAATGTGCGCCTGCTTATATGTGAAACTATAAATAAGCTTTTAGGTGAGTTGGAAAAAAAATCTTTTTTTTCATTTACTGTTTTGTGTAATTATTTATTTTTTAAGAAAATTTGAATCATTATTTGTGATGGAAACTGCAAGAAAAATGTACCTCATTTAAAATTTTTATAAGTTAAATAAACCCAAAAATGCAGAAAAAGCTTCACTCTTTCTAACTTCTTTTCAAGAAAGCTAAAAAGAAAATTATTTCCATTTTTTCTATCTGTGAAAATAATCTGAAAAAAAAAATGTTATGTGAATGGGATAGGCACTACACCATGAACATAATCTTTCAGTTTTTTCACACTGGTAGTAAAAGCAGAAAAGTGTTTTCGTTTTACCTTTTTCAAAAAGTAATTAGCAATCCCTAAGTACTTTCTAAATACTTTAATTGAAATTAATTCATCAATTGTGTTATTTGACATGATATTAAAATATTCTTTTTCATATTTAATATTATTTGGTCCATTTTTTTCAACTTGAGAAAAAGTAATGTAAGTTGTTGGCTAAAAATACCAGACTAAATTATTCTGTATAAAGCAAAATTCTTTAAACTTATTTTTTTCAAGCACTAATAACATTTTCTTTTTAAATGGAAGTGAAGTATTGAATTATTCTATTCTTTATATATATATATTAGGGATGCACAACCTGCGGTCCGAGGGCTATATGCAGCCCGCCGACTGTTGATGTGCAGCCCACAAAAGCTTCTAAACACAATATTTTTTTTTTTTGAAAAATTAAAAAAAAGAATTGAATTTTTTAAATTTCTCTTCACAAAACATTGAATCTTAATATGTACTATACTAGTTAAGTTTTAATTTTTGATTAAAATTTATTTAATCTTTAAAATTTTTTTAGTTAAAATATTTAGTTCAAATTTATATTACTCATTAAAATAACGATGTATGTAATTTTTGTTGCACATTTATTCTATGAGTATTATAGTTTCTTTTTTTGTAAGAGTTTATAGTATCTCTTTTCCTCAATTATATATACATATAGATAGATAGATAGATGAATCAATTATTAATAAAAAGACAAAAAAAAATATTAGTTTTTTTTTATTAAATGAATTTTAATAATTAAAAATATTTAATTTTCGGAAAATATGTTATGAAGTTTACTGATGAAAATATTATTTATTGTTCAGAACACCAATTTTAAGATGAAATTCATCATTCAGCCACCAACATAACTAAATATTCGTGCATCCCTTCGTTAGTCAACCTGCTGTGCAAGTGGCCCTTTACTCTAAAAGTTTGTGTACCCCTAATATATATATANACAGACAAATTATGTGTACTTATTACTTTTAGTTTACATATATATATATATATATATTGTATATATAAAATAATGGTTTTTCGTAATGTAATTATGATATTTAAAATGGATGTTATATTTAATAGGTCATATATTGGAATATTGTGAAGATGATACCAAGTCTCTTTTTAGTATAATAAAGGTAAGTGTTAAGTATGTTAACTTAACAATTAGAATTAATCTCATAAAATTTTCTTTTAAATTCATTTACTATAACTCTTCTTTTGCATTGAATCAAATCAGACCCATTACTCACCCCATTAAAATTTAGTATGGTTGAATCTATATTATTTTTACACCAAGAGGACTAAGGATTCCAGTTATCAAGATTGGTATACATTACATTAGATAAATTTCCCATCCATTAATTGTCTATTATTATAAATTAGCTTTATCTGAGTTACCTTTATCTTACATTTGGCTAAGGCAACAAAAAAAAAAGCGGATAGTGATATAGTAGGTCTTTATAAAACAACAAAAAAGACAATGTTTTTCTGTAATGATATTGCTGTTCACATTATACAGTATGTTCCATATTGATTTTTTTTAAATATTCGCCATGTTAATGAAGTGCAAAATAAAATAAACAAATATGTGCTAATGAACATGAATAAAGAGAAGTTAACTAAATATCAAAACCTGTTTTGTTGCACATTAAAATTTGAAGATAATAAATAATCATTTTTCAACACCTCTTTTTTCTTTTGCAATCAAATGGAGTTTGATTTTTTGTACACACATTTTTCTCAATAATAAGTTGTCATATTTTGATTGCATCTTTCTTTTTCTTTATTTAAATATTAATTTGCAATCTCCTTTTTTGTCTTTATTTTTGACAAGGATTCTAAAAATATACATTAATGGCTGTTAATATAGAACACTCAGTTTATATTTAATACATTACCTTCAAACTAATTTATTTTTGTGTTTTATAAGTGTCTCTATAACTTTTCACAGTGTGAAACCTATGTAAACTTGTGTTATTAGTATAAATTTGAAATTTATGTAATTAAATGGCTAATTTAAATTTACTTGTTTTAATTATTAAATTTGTCAGCTACTTTATAATAAATTCAATCTTTTTTTATATTTAGATTTACAATGCTCTGATATTTAATTGGGGTCTTGAAAAAGAAGAGTATGATTCTCGAGCAAAAGGATTTCGTGCTGTGAAAAATGCCCTGGAAAACAAAGTATGTTAACAAACTTTTTTTTAATATTTTAATGGTGAATGACTTCTGTATTTTATAAACTGACGACTAAAGATGGAAAACGCTGAAAGTTGAAAAAAGAAAAACCCAAGGGGTAATTATATTTTGGGTTTTACGTATCATCCTTCCAGGTTTTGATTTTTTGGTACTTTAAGTATTTTCATTTTTAGTCTTCAATTATTGTTGTATATTTATATATTTATTATGTATAAATATGTCATATATTTTTTCTTTTGTTTTCTTTTATAAAATTTTATTTTTATTAGTAAATTGTCTAATTCTGAATTTTGTAATAATTCATAGCTTAATTTCAAAAAATAGTTTTGTGTATATATGAATTTATAATAAATATTTCTATTTTAGCTTCACGGTCAGAAAAAACACATACGTTCTCTTTTGATTGATAGAGTTCATTTAGCACATGAGGTACTGAATATTTTTTTATTTGTAGTAGATAATTGATTTTTTTTTCTGATTTATTTAAAAATGTATTAAAATTTTCTTGTTTTAGTTTCGTGTGTCTGAGAGATATAGACTATTTTTCTCTGCTACCCATAAAATGATAATGGAGGATTTAATGAAGTTATCTACTAGTCATTATGCAGAAGTAAGTTACTAACGAATAAAATACAAGAAAGGGTTTTAAGATATTCTTTAGAAACTTATTATTTAGTAAATTTAGGAAATGTTAAATTAAATTATAAAATACTAATGAACTGTGAAGAATGTAAATATAAAAATTAACCTTTACTTAAAGCAGTGTAGTAAAATAGGAAATATTGGTCTCTACAAATGAAAATGAGTCATTACAAATAATTTTATGTCACAAATGTATGTTTATTATAAATAAGTAATGCATTTATTTAAAGTTGTATCTTGCTTAACTACAGGAACATTTAAATTTCTAAAAGCATGACTTTTCTTTTTAATTCAATGTTCCTTTATATTCTTTAAAATTCTAAATTCCTTTTAATGCTGTATAAGGCTCACATGGATCAGGGATCACAAGGAAAATCTGGAATTATCAGGGAATTTTAATTTAACTTTAAAAAGTAGGGAAAAGCAGGGAATAGCAATTTGTTATTAAAAAAAACCCTGGAAAATCCCTATGTCATACTTGGAAAATAACCAGTCTTACAATGTCAATAACAGTAATCAGTTATTGAGATTCAATTTAAATAATTCTAACATCTATTTCAATTATTTTATTAAATTACACCTTTTAGTTTCCTTTCTCACTCTATTATGTGTTTTTGCCCACGAAATCTAATATTTTATATTACAAATAAAATAAGAATTCAAAGTTTTTTGATGAAAAATAGCATGGTAGGGGTAAAATATGGTATGGATTTTCATTCAAATTTACCTAATATACTTGAAAAAGTCAGGGAAGTTTTGAATTCAGGGAGTTTTTTGAGTGGAACCATCCTGACTTCAGTTAAATAATATTAATGCACATTTTTCTGAAGGGTGGGTAAACTACCCTTTTCCCTTGTTTATCTTGTATTTATTAAGAGTTTTCATTATAATAAAAAATGACCCTGTAGCAGAATTTTTTCGGGCTTTCTGCGACAAACCTCTCGAGTACTAATATCTTTCTGCAAGATACTTTTAATAATAGCAAATATACATGTTACTAATTTAAAGTAACAGAAGCATCAACTTCAAAAAATAATAATAATGTAATTTTTTAAACTGAGTTTGGAATATTTTTTTTAATTCTAATATTATGAGCGATATTTTCAAATTTTGTAAGGGGAATACACACTAATTATTTTCTTTTTTTGTAAGTCATCATCAAATATAAAAACTAATTAGAAGTAGTGAATTTTGTTTAATCTTATTTTGCTAATAAAACCTGAATTATTAATCTATTTTTGTTTTATTTTCTTCTGTAGGTACGAAGTAAAGCCCAATCGGTCCTTCATAATTGCTTTTCAATCCATCATAGTTCAGCAAAAGTTGTTTTTAAACAAATTTTAGAGAATTTAAAAAGAGATCCTACACAATTCCATGAAGAATATAAGGTAAAAAATTCTATTTCCTTTGTTTTATTTTTTTAGTTATTTCAATTTAGTTAAATGTTTTATAAAATTAACTACCTGTTTTTGGTGACCAGTTAGTTTGCATTTTAGAAATCATATAAGTTTATGCACCTCTACTTTAAAAAAAAGGAAAAAATCGAGCCAAGTTAAAAGAATTAATTGACAGTATCTTCAACACACCTCTTGTACATCCTCCAGTAAAATTTGGCAGTTGAATAAAATATGTAAATCAGTCTTAAAAAGTGTTTCTATTAATGCTGCTGCAAATTTTAACCCTCACTGCTACACAAAAAGGAACCCTTATGTTTAAAATAATTTTTCAGAGTTATCTGTTAATTTTATTGGTAAGTAAATATGACTCCACCTTAGAAAAAACTTTTTTAAGAGCTGCAAGGAGCAAAAAGATATAAGGGTAAATATTGAGAAACAAGGTATTCATTTTTGATTTATAAATTTTTTGTTCATTTGAATCGAAAAATGCATAGCAAATGAAAATGATTTTTGAACTTGAATCTTTTGCATATTTCTAAGAAACAAAGAGGTAGATTTAGTATGTAGATAATGGAAGCTCAGTTAAAAATTATTGCTTACATTCAATTTATTATGTTCTACCTTGCTAATGTAGTGTAGGCAGGTTCATAGTCATATTTTTTATCAACTAATTATTTTTCCTTTAAATTAATAGACACTTATTATTTTTGCCTGAACAGTTATATATGCTCAAAATTTTCTTTTAAAAGTAGGGTTCAATTCTATAAAAATAGAATTTTCCTAGAATTTTTCATGTGCGCAATGAACAGTATAAATGTATTATAAGTATTGAATAGGCTCCATATGCACTAACTATGATGATTAGAAGACTTTAGAGTTTGGTTTCGTTTTGAAAAATAATGCTTTTAAAAATATGAACATTTTAACATTAAAAAGTATTTTATCAGTTGATATGCAAATTTTTCTTATTGTATTTTTATTTTGGAAAATTTACCACTTGAATTACATTCATATCCAACAATACTTAAGTAGCATCAGTTGTTAATAAACATTAAAGATATTGCACAAAAATAACCTTATGTATTTAACAATATACATACCAATTGTATCTAAAAAGATTCATTCACCATCACTAATCGGGATTAATCACAAGTGCTTTATTGATTCTTTATTGATAAAAAAAAATTTCTTATATTATAATACTAGCAGTATGTGTAATTCTAGAAAGTAAAAAGTGGTTTCAAAATTCATTTTTTTTTCATTAATTTTAAATTAAAAATACCACAATAATATAAAATCTATTACATTATTGTGTGAAGAATATTTGACAATGCATTTATGAAAATATATTTGTAATTAAATGGTTAGTTTTTTGTAGAGTGATAAATATTTATAATATTTGATAAAATTAAAATAGTGCTACACTGTAGTTAATTATTTGACTTAGATTACTGATTAAAAGCACACTTGTTTTTATATTTTCTTTATTTGTGTCCGAGAAATTTATATAGTTTAAAGGAAATTCTCTTAAAAATAAAGATTAGTGATAAAATGTAATGTTTGCTGTCTTTGAAGATGTTAAGTATTAAATAACACAGTTGACTTCTTAAAATTGGCAAAAGTCAGGATTATATTTGATGAATTATTTATGGTGAAGTTTGCTGTTGTGTTTCAAACATTTATATTATTGTTTCTTTAGTTGATCATGATTATTAGAAATATGGTATCATCTTCCATGTAAAATTTTCATTGCCAGTTTCAATGGGTAGAAATTCTGTTCAGATAGTTATACAGTCAACCCCACTTAATTGTATATTGGAAAATTGACTAAATTGGCTTAAACGAAGAAAATTTGGTGGAACAAAATTATTTCATATTGGAGAAATGTTGAATTTCTTCATATAAATAACTATTTATGGTTGCCAAAAAAAATGTTTTACTAGCTAGAATGTAAGTTCCTTTTTTCAGTTAAAAAGTTAATAAAATACCTGGTCATTTCAATAGAGACTTTCTATCCATTTTAGCTTCAAACCAGTGTTGGAATTAACAGTAATATAGTTAACGGATGGTTGTCATATAGTAAATGAGTCACCATTTAGAAAGTAAAAAGTTAAGAAATAGAGAAATGTTAAATTAAATGTGTGTCAAAACAGTGACTCTTGGTAGAAAATAAATAGCCTTATAGTACACATACTATATTTTACATAATAATTGGTTTATTGTTATATAAATTTTAATGTCATTTATATTTTATATTAATACTGATAGTTCTAGTTATAATTGTTTATTGATCATTAAAATGGCTTTATTTTTTCAAAGTATTTTGTGTATATTACATATTTCAATGTTAAAGTTAGTAAAAGCATAGAATTTAATACGTACTTATGCACTCCCCTTATAATAGAATAAAACACTTATTTCAATATAGTTGACTGGAACCAATGGTATTCCTTTAAGTAGGACTGATGAGTTTAAATTATTTTCAAGGAATGGGTTAATATCAAAATAGATGTAATTTTTAATATAAAAACGCTTTTAAATATTTCACTGTGAGTCACAGTGTTGTAATTTTAAATCGGCATCATCTTTCAATGAAATTATTAAGAATCTGGATTTTGTTATATAATTATCATTAATCTTCAAGTAGTTCTTCGCATAGAATACTGCATCCCAATTGTATTATTTATTCACCTTATAATAATATTCAATTTTATGAGAAATTTTATTAATCAAATTATTTCTCATAATATTTTATAGGAAAGTGGCATTTTAAGGAGAGCAATCCTCAGAATTTTGCCCTTGGGCTTCTTTGGTAGAGAGTAAATACCATGCGTATGTGTATAATGTTTTTAATAAAACTTTTAAAGAACCTAATTTTTTTCTAAAAACATTGAAATAAAAGCAAAGGAAAGAAATTTAAGTGTTATCAAACTGCTTTTGCTTTCTTCTGAATTACTTTCTTCCTTGTCTCAATTAACATGAAATATTTCAACAATTTAACAGTTTTTATTTATTTATCTCTCAAAATCTTCTTACTGTGCTAACATCTAAACTTTTTCTTTAAATAATAAACAAATTATTTATTTAAATATATTTTGGGAGTATCTTTAATGCTTTGCTTTGCATTTTATTGCTTGCATTGAGACTGGCATAATAACAGCATTACCAAATTAATGATAATCGCAAGTTAAAAAAAAAAGAAAATTGTATCATAACCTTTTAGCTAAGTTTTTTGATATAGTTTGAATACTGTATTATGTTTTTCAGAGTTCTAAAACATTATTTATTGTTATTTTTTTATGAAATTTTTTGTCAGAGTATAAATGTATGTTTCTTGGATCTCTATTTTCAAAGAGGGCTTAAATGTGTAGTATATTTTCAACCAAAAAATTTCTTTTTTGCACTTATATTTTGTTAATATTTATCAATCTTAAAGCATAGTTTTAAATCTTGATTGTGCTTTAAGTTAGATTAATTGAGAAGAATAAAAAGAAAAGGATATCGATGAGGATTTTTTAATATTTTTTTAGTAATATTTTACAAGTTAAAAATGAATGCACCTTCATTTATTAATATATAAATTCACCAATAAGTGGAATTTTTTTAGTAATTGTATTTTTCAATTAAGAGATTGTATCCATAATATTTATAGCTGTTTTACATTAAGGGTGCTCCTTTAGATATTTCCGTTAAAATTCAATAAGATTGAACTCCAGTGCTAATTTTTTGTATTTTATTTAATTTTAAAGAATAGTCCTCAATGAAGGAACAAACATTAACAAAGAGCGATTTCAAAATACACATGACAACGCATATACAGTCCGCGCTGTGAAACTGCAATAATTAAATCTGGGATTTTCCCAGAAGGGAATTCCAAGAGGAGCATCTCTTTTTTAATATAACTTTAAGTATTGTGGATACCGGGTCGAATTTCAATGTAGGAATATCAGTATTGTTTTTAAGTCTATGGAAAATGGTAAGTGTTACACGTCATTTAAGAGTATATAACATATGTTACACAAATCTTTCCAATTGAAGACCAAGGGGAAAAAATGGTTTATGTACATGATAGCTGATTTTGCGAAAAAATTCATTTAAATGTTAAGGATTATTCAGGAGCTAGCATTCGATTGAAATTGTGAAAATAAAAATATACATAAATATCACAAGTATTTATTTACATCCCACAAAAAGTTTAAATCAAAATTTACAGTTTCTGGTGTTGAAAAAAAAAATAGAATTTGAAAGTCAAGTAGGACAAAAAACGCTTTTCCTTAAAATTCCTCACCAATCAATACTTCCTCAATCAAACTCCCGTCGCCTTCTTCCCTATGATTCTTTGTTTGCCTTGTCTGCGTGTGGACAGGAACCATGGCCCGTCTTGAAAGTGTAATAACTCTCAGGGAGAACTGATTTTCCACATTATTGATTGGTCTGAACTTAGTAATCCTCAAAATGCAACACATGATGGCCCAACCATCATTTTTGTGAAAAATAGAACTAAACCATTCTTCCCACTTCGTTTTCAAATCTTATTTTAGTTGTCACCTTTGTCTACTATCATCATTATACTTACGTATAATATAATCCAAGATATAAATGATTGTTAGTAATTTTTTTTTCAAAAACTTGATTTATATTAATATTTATTTAATTTTTAGGGAGTTTTGTATCTAGTTTTGGGTCAAAAACAAAACACTTTGTTAACTGCACAGTCATGGGAGATATTGGCAGACCTTTGGCCAACCATAGTTTCTGCAAAACATTCCGAAAAACCTTCCATCATTAGGTTACTGGAAAAAATGGAATCCAGCATACAAAAACATCTCACAACATATCAAATAAAGCTTGTGGTAAGTACAGCTTCTGATATGCTTACTAAAATGTTTATGTATTATGTCTTAGTATTCAGATCTAGGGTAGAAATAAAGAAAATTTAGTCCAAAGGACCAATAACTAAAATATATTACTATCTGTACACATTTTTACTGAACCGTTTACTTGTCTCTATTAGATTTTTTTTTTTGAAAAAAAGTTTATAAAATTAACACTAAACATACCAACATTTTACTATACCATACAACATACAATAACGAGTCTTCTGACTGGTTATGGTACGTTTGGTGTTAATTTTAATGAAAAATTACTACAGGGATTACTACTTGCTTAGTGGTTTGGGGACCACTAATAATTTATGGTGGTCAGAGTCAAATTTTGATGATTAATTTCAAACCCTGCTGATTCATATTCTGTTTCTAAAATTATGACTGATGCTTGTTATTTTCAGATAAAAAACTTATGTAAATCCTATTTGTGGTTATTTTCGATACATCATATTAGCTCATAACAGGAAGGAAAAAAAACTAATCCTTCAATATTTTTAGATTCTATCATTACAAATTTTTCAGATTACATAAAAACAAAATAATGTTTATGCATACTGGCACAAAGTATATCTTTTCTTCATGTGCAATACCATTTAAGATTCTTTAGATAATATGTAATTGTTATAATTTTTAGTGAAAATGTTCTGTTATGTTGCTGAATGTCCATTATTGAATATTTTAAAAGAAAAACCGTGTATAGTAATTGAAAATTCTTAATATGTACATATAAATGGTTATTTTTTTTCCAAATATAACTAAATATTATTTTAAATGTTCTCAAAAACTAAACTTTTTTTTGTTGAAGGGTATGACTTTTATTGCATCATTATTTCAATTTTATTTTAAAATTAGTTATATTTTTCATATCTGAAATATTTATCTTTCTTTGGGAATAATTTGCCTTTCACAGATTCCTGATTCTACAATTAACGTAGCTAAATGTTTTTGGAATAGCACTCCTGTACCAGATTCACCATATTTCACTGATGAGGAGATTTCTCAGTATTCCAAAGGGTTGGCCTGTCGTTGTGAGAAAAAAGAAAAGCAAGTAGTCTAGTTTGTTATAATTTATAAATAGTTTTTGAGGGTTTTCTCTAAGATTTAAATAAGATTGATGCTCTACATTTTTTAAATACCAGGCCACAAAAAGCTAGAATGTATCATACTAGAAACCTACATAAATTCATTATACATAAAAACTAATTTATAACAAGCCTGATTACCGAACTAGAATTGATCAAATAGATAAAAAAGACTAAGTTGGTTAAGTTAACTAGAGCTTGCTTTTGATGAGCAAGCCTTGGTTTTAACGAGCAATATTTTTGTGATTCATAAATTTTTTTTGTATTTCCACCTTTTTAGCTCAGCTAATCCCTGCTTCGAAAAGTTCCTTTTAAATATCTAAAACAACTAAAAGTTAGTGATAGTAAATCCTGGAAAAACATAAATAATTTTCCAAGTTTGAATGACGATTAGTGTTTTCCAAATAACGATACACAGCGAAGAGTCATAAAGACTGCTCAAAGCAAATTGAACTAACTTCTTTTGCAATGTACAGAAACAAGAAATAAATTAAGTAAGACATATATAATAAACATGTATAAACTTCTACAGAATTTTTCATGAACACATTCATTATGCGCACTCAATTATAACGAGCAAATGTTGCAGTCTTTTCGTATCGTTATAAGCTAGTTTTGACTCAATTGTTATTATTGCTAAACGCAAAGTGTATTTCATGTATTTTCAGAAATATAATTCAAAGCAATATATTCAAAGCAATATATGTAACTCACCCATGCTTAACAGACTTCTTATTCATGGTGGATAAAAATGTATGTATAATTATTTCATTTAAATTAACCCAAACAGATTTTGGCACTGGATTAAGTACAAACATAGTATTTATAGGTGTATAAAAGAGAGAAATCTGAAAATAAAGTTTTCTTAATTATCTCAAAAGTTAACTTTTAATATTGTTTAGGAAACAGTCATAACTGAAGTTATTAGTATAGTAAATATCACCATCAGTTATTATTTTGAATTTTTTAATAAATATTAAATTTTGGAAATTTTTTTACTTATATGATTATGTCTTCACAAATAAAAGTTGTTTTTTTTGCTGCTAAAACTTCAAACTTGTTTTTGCTTTATTTGTTGTTTGGTCCTAATTTCTTGTGGATACACAAAAAGAGAAAGTAGATGACGGTTTAAGCTCATACATTTCTTATATACCACATTATATGATCTTTTTTAACTTATAAACTTTTCTTTTTCAATTAAAAGCTAAAGAACCAATCTAAAAAACTTAGAAGGCCAGAAGTGGCTCATAGGCCATAGGTTGAGCATCTGTGTTTAAAAATTTTTGCGTTCATTATCTTGTGAATTTTTGCTTTTACTCAAACTTACTATTACCAATTAACTTGAACTTTTGAGAGTATTTTTCTTTTTAATTTTGCAAAAATGTTTCATTTTAAAATATAAAAGAAGTGGTCATAGCTTAATTTATTTTATTTTTTTCCTGTTAGGTCTTACTATAAACTTGTGAATGATTTAATAAATCTTGTCAAAAATGGAAATTTGTAAGTATAATTTTTTTGAAAATGTATGGTTTAAAACAATAAAATAATTGTTTTAAAAAATAAATGTGTGTAGTGTGTTATATTAATATCCAAAAAAAAAAAGAAAATCTGAAATATTTTTTTGTGCTATCTTATAATTATATTTTTACTTTTTTTAAATATTAATGGTAACTTTTCCATCCATTGTTTAAGAGCCAGTTATTTTTTTAAGAATGAGGCAAAGTTAGATATTTATATTTATTTCGTTGGAACTTCCAAGATCTATTCTTTATGTAAAACCATTAGGCATTTATTATTTTATTTTTTAAAAACAATTATTCTTTCTAAAAAATTTTTTTCTTAAAGGTCTCCATTATGTAATAGTTTAATATGTTTCTATAAATTTGTGAATAGGTTTTGCTTCTGTTTTGCTTAAGGCTTCTATTTTTGTCAAATTTCGTGTCAGTTCTTTTGGCAAAAGCAATTAAAATCCTTGCATGCTACACATGCCTTTACTTTTTTTTTGTTTCTACTCATTAGTCTGTCTTGAAATATATGTTCCTTTGTGGTTCATTGTTGGCTCAAGTAGATTCGGGCTGTCAAAATAAAATAAAAATATAGCCTTATTATACAAGCCCCATTATACAAGAGTCCTAATAAGTATTCATTTCTTGTGGAAGTAGTAAGAGACAAAACAACATGTATTGCAACAAAAAGTATTGCCAAATGTAAATTGATGCATTTTTCTTAAAATATAAGGTCACTTTCAGTTTCGAGCTCCAAATCTATAAGATGTGTTAAATTATTTATTTATTTTATGTATTTATTTGCTTTATTTATTAGTTTTTTGCAAAATTAAAAATATGTTAGCAATTTTATATAAGTCATTTTATATAAGTCATTTTATATAGTGTAGTTTTATTTCCTATCCTGAAAATTTCAATGAATTAGTCTATTATAAAACCCTTCCTAATTTGCCATTTTTTTTAAAAAAAAAAACTGACTTTTAATAGTATTAGTGTCCTCAGAATCAGACTTGCTACTTATTGTTTTAACCCTAGCTCTATCTAAATTTAAATTAGTGTTACTCTTGAGCTAATCATTCTCCTCATAGACTATGAATTAAAATACTTATTTTTAGTTTTTCCTTTATTTATGTTTACCTAGTTAGTGTACTCCTAAATTGTTATTAAAATAGAGATAAGTGGCAGAAATCAACATTTGTAATCTTTAAAAATATTAGTGTTACAATAACATCTTAATTTTGTGAAACTGCTAAAGACTGGAGTCTATACGATGAGTCAGCTGGGATTAAAAGAAATTCTGTGTCTCTGTTAGAACCATTACATTTGTTCATTAAAAGCTTTAAGGTTTTTAATTCCCAAATGCTCAACTGCATCTAGTGAATATGTCTGTAGTATTGATTCTAAAACTAGAATTCAGCTATTTCTAACTTTGAAAAGAAAAAAAAATACGAAAACAAAAAGATTAAAAAATATTTATTGATGTGACATCCAAATGATATAATTTTGTGCTTATGATCAATATCATTTTTACATCATATTTGCATTCATTTTTCTTGATTCTTCATCATTCATTGAATTGAATTTATTGCTTCTCTAAATTATTACTTCCTTATTTTTATTTCAAACATCCTTATAACCTTAAAACTACTATTGTTATAAACTTATGAATCACCTTCAATATAAATAAAAATAAAAAATTTTCTTTTTATCTTTAATAATTTACAATCTACCATTGGAAGAAAATTTTCTCAAACATTTTCAAAAGTTTCATGCCTTCCAGTTCACATCTGCTGTTTTTATTACTTCATTTAATCACTTTGTTTGTAGTGTTATGATTTTAAAATATAATTTAAAATACTGTCAAATATCTTTCAAACTGTGCTGATGCCGATAAAGATGATATAAATTTTAAACTTCTTCTCGTTTATGACTGCTTGAAAATTCCTATGCTTGTAGACTTTGTTTACTGTGGCTAGATAATGAGGAATGAAGTCTACTGTGGCTAGATAATGAGGAATGGTCATCATCAGCGAGTTATTCAGCGGTTCACTGCCCTTTGAAATGTTTAATTCTCTCAATAATTGAAGGCTTTTGTTAGTTGCCTTATCCATGTTATCTGCTTTCTTTCTTTTTTTTGTAATACTGCAGAAAAATTTCCTTACCTCTTTAAGTTCTATGATAGATGTTTTCATGAAAATCTGTATTTCTGCTTCATAAATAAAATTAACATTAATATTCACAAACATATCTATCAAAATAAACATTATTATTATGGGTAGTATAATTTAAAATTTTTTTTTCAGGCATTGGAGGCACAACCATTTAGCTCTTCTAATGCTGGAGTATCTGATCCGTCATGATGTTCCTTTTACTAAAGAAGGTGTTGAGTTATTTGTTGGACAACTTGTTCATGATACCCTTGCTGTTAGAAAAGTAAGACAATTTTAAAAAAAAATAATAATTTGTTACTTTTTTCTGTGATTGACTCAATTGTAATTTAAAAAATAAAAATCAATTTGGCAATGTACAAATTAAATAAAAAATCAGATATTTCAGAAACTTTTCTTGGCTAAACCATCTAGTACCTAAAGATAGCGTTCAATATCGATAATAATGATTAATTCAGTATCAAATACAATAATTATTATTCACCTATGAGAAAACAATATCAACATTTAAATCTGTGGTGATGGGTTCGCCGCTCATCGTAAAATCAAGTTTATTTCATATTGTTATCTGTTTGTCTTTAATCAATTGTGTTTTTACTTATTTTTGAAGTGAACTGAATTAAGAGTTCTGACGTCATATTCTTAGAATTGTATAAATACCAGCACGCACTTGACAGCCTGTCAGTAATTTCTCCCATCACCTGCCGTGATGATGTTTCTTGTAAATCAAACCAACTTGTAAATATGTTCAATAAAATATTAGTATCTCGAAGGAGCTATCTTCGCATATTTCAATGGTGACCCGGACGTGATGCGAACTCACCTACCTTGGCAGTAATGCCCACTTCGTTATGAATACACCTACATCGACGGTAACGCCTACTTCATTGGATGGTCCACATTGAACAGTTGACTTGCTACTTGTGACTTCGACTTTATCCACCTCCTCGCACTGTTGCTATTCAGTCTCTTCTCAAACACCCACAACGCCGGCCTGTATACACTCGACTGCTAAAGGCAACACAGGAGTGACTACGACCGTGAAGTTAATACACCTCTCACATTCAGCACTCATAAAGTACTGTACTTAATACAGCTCTCCCGGTTTCGCACAAAAAAAAACAGCAATGATTCAACTAGTGGTATCCATTCATCGAATTCTATCACAGATATAATTCTGGTGGGGGAGTACTGTAGCGTATCCACCACTACAAAATTACAACTACAATTCACTAGTATATAAGACATGTTAACTCGACTCTATGTCGGGGTACCTTTTCATAGATGACGGTTGACATGGTCTGTAACTACTCTTCCCACAAATCTTTAGTTTTATAAGAAATTCTTTGCTCCATGATGTAGATCTTTAATTGCTTGTGATAACATATTTTAAAAATAAATAATATTTATAAAGATATTATTTCAAATATGTAGATTAATAAAAAATTAATTACTGAAAATTAAATAAAAAATTACATTTAACTGTTAAAATTGTAGTGCAGCAACATCTCTATGCTTAACATAAAAAAATGTTCACACTTTTTTCTTTGCATATGTTTTCACTCAAAATCAGAATTTAACTACAGTGAAACCTCTCGGTAAGGGCCACCAGCCGTTCTATTGAAAATTGGCCCTTATAGGGGGTGGCCAAAAAATAAAATGAGGAAATCAAATTTTATGTAGAAAAAAACTGTTTATTAACATTTTAAGTTTTTATACATGTTTAAAAAAATTTTCAATTGAAGTTTGTTTACTTTTTACAATTTTTTCGCAAACAATTTTAGTTTCTAATGATTCCTTAACTCTATAAAACAAATTAGTTAAATTCGCATCATTTATTAATGCCTTGGATTGGGATATCTNATAAATTTTAGAACCTTTAATACAATGATTTGGGTACATTTTATTTCATATTTTTAAGGAATTAAGCAAATTTATCATTCTTAAACTTCTTTTACATTTTATCCCTTTTTGCCTCTTCTCCTCACAGCTTGAATTTCCATTTAAGCATTTTTTACACCTCAGCGAAACACCTTAGTATCACCACTCTTTGACAATTTTATTTGTATATTGATGTAATTACGTTTTATTCTGACATAGAGCAAAAAGTACATGAGAAAGGATAAAATATGGCTATAGTTTGAAAGGATCTCTATAAAAAGTTCATCAACATAATCTTTTTAACACAATAAAGTATTTAATCAATTGAGTATTTTAATAAAATAATCTCATTTGGCCCTACTTTTAATTTATACACATTTTATATATTTGTTATTAAGGTTTTGTAATTTAATGTTTATTTTAAAAAAAAAACATTTCATATTTTTCAGAGTGCAATTCATAGTGTATCCTGCATCCTGAAACAACTTAGACGTGAGCATCCTAAAATCACTATAGATCCTCTGACTCAAAATCCTAAAAATCCTTGCTTTCATCCTTTAATGCCTAAACCTGCTGATGGACAATTGCCTGAAAATTTTTGGCTTATGTATAACAGTTCAAATCTTCCTGATACCGAAGACAAATGGAATTCAAGACATTTTGTCCATAAAACGCACTGGGGGTGTGTTTCATGGCCAAAGTAAGCTTCTTTAAATTTACTTTATGATCAATAAGAACAATAAAATTAGATAAAAGTTTGATTTTTAATTTCAAATTAAAAACTCACGAGGTTTTTCCTTCCTATTACTTTTTTTTTCACCTTCAGGGCAGCTTGAAGCTTTTAATAACAATGTCATTCGATTATATTTATTTATGCTTTTTAATGATAAAAGAAAGAATATTCTGGTACTGATTTCATACCCAGTTATTAATTATTCTGCACATTTCTTTGGCTTACTGATAATTATATGATAATAGTTATTCCTATTTTTTTCGAAAGAATAGTATTAAAATAGACAACAGAAATTTGTTGAAAAATATATTCAGTACATCCACAAAAACCCAGACCCCTAATGTCCGAAAACTTCTATGCTACTACTACGAAAAATGTACGCTTTCTTTTCCAACTTTCTTACCAGAAAAGAATTACTTAAATCAACTTTAAACTGCAAGCAAGGTGTTGAAATTGAAATGTTGTAATATCAGACATGGTGCGTATCATCTTAAAAAAGTCCTTAAAGGTGCTTTTGTTTTCGATTTTTTTTTTAAAAGCCTGTAAAGGCGCTTTTTTCATTGGGTGTTTTTAAAAAGTGCTTATTTTTTTCCCTTTTCAGAAATGAGACTTTTTTTATTTACCCATTATTATTTTATTTTCGCCTCGTTTTTTTGCAAAAACGTTGTTTTCGCATTGTTCTATTCAACACTTTCTCAATTCATTCAAACACAATCTATTTTGGCACACCGTTGGTCCATAGCGTATGAAAGGGTCAATCATTTTACATGTTTGATGAAATACTTGCGAGTCTGCATGTGTGCCTACTTGCATGTCTGCATGTGCATCTGCTGAGCATGGTTCTGTGAGATTATTGCACTCTCATGTGCAGCTTTGCTGCATTTTGTAAGATATTCTCAATTTCAGGCTTTATTTTCCACCCTCTCTCTGATATCTTACCAAAATATCTCTTGATCGTTTTATAATGGCTAATATAATCAAGAAAATAGTTCTTTGTCTGAAACTAGTTATTTTTATCATGATCCTGTAAAGTCTTAGGAAGTTATTTTGCATTTTGTTAATGTATAGAGTGTTTAAAAATATTTTTTGGGTGCTTAAAAGGTGTTTATTTTTTGTTGAAAGATTTGGCTGCAAATTGAAAGATTAAAAATAATCCATTCTAAGAACCATGTGAAAGATAATCACAACTGTCAATAAAAAGGAGTAATAAAATAAAAAAGGCATTTATCAGGGTTGGAATGATTTAAATCAGTTGATTTAAATCGCATAGTAAATCACTTTATTTTTTTTTAAATCATTGATTTAAACCAATACTGATTTTTTTTGTAAGTTATTTATTTTAGTGTAATTTTTTTTCATATATAATTAATAAATATATTCTTTAGGGCGTGATTTTTTAGAAGTCTAATTTCATTAATAAGGAAGGTTTTTTGCAAAGAAAAAATGAAAGGAAGATACATTTAAGTGGTTATATTGCAAAATGGACTAAAAAATATATTTTCCATTAGCTGCATGCAAAATAATTTTCTGTTTAATAAACATATTTCTGTCACACCCATTTAGTTTTATGTTTATTTAAATTCAAGAACTTTTAAAATGTATTAAATATGTAATTAAAGAATATCAATAATGAAGAAAGCTTTGTTCCTCTTAGAACATCAATAATGTTATGCAATCTAAATTGTTCTAATTGACAAATTGCTTTCCTATCTCTTAAATTCAAGTGAGTGTTCAGCTTGAACTAAAATAACTATGATTTTGTTTATTTAGAGTTTAATTTGTTATAAACAAATTATTTTAATTACTGTAAGAAATATGAACTATTTCGGCTGTAATATTGTTTTTAACCTACTGGTGGTTAAGGAAATGACAAAATTGGGAGAATGTTTCTCTCCTATACACTATTCCGCTATCCATTAACATGGAAATATCGGTTTTGCTATGTAGAGAAGACTGCAGGTTAAAATGCGACTTTTTACATGCATAACCATCAGTGGGTTAAATAAGTAGTAACGATGTTTTAATGTAGTAATGATGTTTTTAAATAATATTAAGTAGTAACAATTAAGTAGGAAAATACTAAAAAATTGTAAAAAAGCTCTAAGTTAAATTAAAAAAATATTATATAATTTTAAAAAAATTTTAAGCAAACAAATCCTACTTTTTAAATTTTTAAAAAAATTACGATTTTTTCCAACTTTGGTACTATTAAGGTAAAAATTATTGCAAATCTAGTATGTATAAAGGTGATTTTTTTAAATTTGAGTGTTGAAATTTACTATTTTAAACATTTGGATTTCAAAAAATCTGTTTTAGTTACTGCTGAAAATCAGATAGAAAAGACCATTTTGTTTTAGACGGAAGAAATTAATCATTCCTCAGATACATGGTTCAAATTTTGCCTCTTGTAATATCTTATTTTAAAAATATCCAGATTTTTTAAACTAGGTCGAAGTTTACTGTACTAATCAGAGATCTCCCTCGGAATAAAAAAGGGCATGGCTCTCTGAAAAAGGCCCTTAAAAAGCACAGTTTTAAAAGGGCACTCATTTAAGACCTTCAAAATTTATCAAAATGTGTAATATGATGTAATAATTGAATTTTATCCTCAACAATTTTTAAATGACTCTCTTATACTATTTTATTTGTATATTTCAAAAAGGAATTCTTTCTTAATATCAAAATAATAAGATACATAAATATTTGTAAAATTTTCTTTCTGTAAAGTTTTTGTTCCTGTTATTTATTTTTGTTTCGAAAACTTTGTTTCACATTTATAAATAGGTTTTAATCTGATTAGATTGGAAACTTCATTCAACCCAAAAGGCAATCGCTATTTACCAGAAATATTGCTAAAAAATGAAATTAAATTTACTTCCCTAATTTATCTGCATAAACATTTCTTTCAGAAAATTTGAAGTTCCTGCTCCAGCATCTGAGCAACCTAAGTTAGATAGAACTATTGATGAACTTTCTGAGGTAAATAGACTGTTCTATTTTGTGTTTAAGTTATAGCAATAATAAATAAAAATAATAAAATTCCTTTTTTCTTTTTTTTTTACATCATACATTTTTTTATTATTTTTATATTTTATTCTTAATCCATTTCTAATGTAAGCTTCTTTTTCCCTCTTGTTTTTATTTAACTCTGTGAAATGTGTCTTTATTGTTAAATTTAGATCCCTTTTCCTATTTTTTTCTTTTTAAAAGAAATCATTTTTCTCTTAATTTATTAATCCTTTTATTTTCAATAATTTGATAAATTCAAAATAAATGTGAGAATCAAGCTATCATCTATAAACTTAATCGTTTAAATGTTACTATGTAAATATAACTTAACGTTTAAATGTGAAAATCAAGCTTTTATCTATAAACTTAAATACAATTTTTTTATGTTGAATTTAATAAGTTTCGTACTGTGTAGTTTCGTATAAAGATTAGGAATGGTTTGATGAAAGTAAAAGTGACTTCAATTCCAAAAATTGCATGATTTTCGAAATTTTCTCTGCAATATTTATCAGAAACTAGTTATTTTATCATGATTATGTAAAGTTTTTGAAATTTTTCTATATTTTATTGATGTTATGTTTATAAATGAAGAACTTTAAAGGATAAAATTTTTTTTCTTACTGCACAGATCCTGATAATAATTTTTTTTAGAAAGTAATTAAAAATATTTTTTGAGTATTTGAAAAGTACTTAAAAGGTGCTTATTTTTTGTTGAAAAATCTGGCTACACACTCTGGAGTAGCTTTACAAATATTAAAAAAATTATATCACATTTACTTTGTATTATTTAAAACAAAAAATAGTGAATTCTCTCCATGTAGACATTTTGCACTATTTTTATATAGCCAACATATACATAAGTTGCTGCTCGAAATTGACAGAACTTAATCTAACTAGTTATAAATAATTGTTACTAGCTCACTACAGTTAGAAAAGTAGCTTATTATTATTATTATGTGGGTAAAAAATCTCTGAAGAAAAATTCTAAGTAGAAAATTTGTAAAATGTTTTCTATGTAAAGACTATCATTAAAACATTTGTACAAAATTAAAATTGTTCTTTATCATTCACAAAGATTTTAATTAACTAATTAATTTTGTTTTACAGTTGGAAAAACCAATTTATGAAGCCTTTACTCAACAGAAATTTGTTGATAGCTTAATATCTTATCTTTCATTAGAAGAGAAAAAAGGGCATGATAAATTTGATGCAAAAAAGTTTTATTTGTTTAAAGTAAGTCTATTTATTCCTTCTATTCAAATCATACAATGTTTTCGTTGGTATAGTATAGTTATGCCTCATTCTTGTTACATTAAATGTAAATCGACTACATAATATTTTTTTTAAATTTGTCTAACTTAAGTTTGATAGGTTGATGAAATTATTTTACGTATTTTATTTATTTGCATTATTATAAATATAAAACAATAAATGTTTTACAATATAATATTTGCAGCATTCATACTCAAATTTAGATTTTAGTCTTAAATTAAATATGTGCTTATAACTTAACTAAATAATTTCTAATTTTTTCCCTATTTATTGTAGATCTTTTTAAAAGTTAAAGTGGAAACAAATGAAGTTTTAGTGCCTTAATATTTATTGAATATTGGTTTATGCTTGAGGAAATCAAAGTTTGAAATTAAATAATTGAAAAAGAAATCAAAATGTAATATATTATTATCAATAAAAAATTTTAAAATATAATATATTAAGAGACCTACTTTTTCTTTTATCATTGATTTTTTAAAAATAGTTCATCTGTGAATGAATAAAATAAAGATTAATTTATTTTTACTTATTTTTTGTGAAAAATTAAATGTATCTATTTCTGCATATACTTTCAACTACTAATAGATGTTTCAGTGAGACATAATTTAATTAATTTTATTAAATATATTTCAGTGTATATTTTAAACATGTATGTTCAACTATATTTCTCATATTAATTTTACCAATTTTTTCATGTATCATGTCAATTATGAATTTCACTGTTTTAGTTTTATCTTTATTTGTTAGTTTATATATAGAGCAAAGATATTTTTCCGGTTAAAAAAGGTTCAAGCATTTTAAAAGAGTTTAAAATAAGATTATTCATTTTTTATATGCTTGTATATTTCCAACAAAAATATGTACCAGCATAAAAATTAAAAAATATGTCTAGCAAAAATATTACTTTTATTTTGAGTTGTAAAGTAAAATATTAAAGATTTTTTTTAAATATATTAACTTTCTTATGTTTTAAAAAAATCAATGGCAGCAATTTTCATTATTCCTTATTAGTTTACTTATATTTTCCCTTTCTAAAATGTCACCTTTGCTGATTTGTGTTTTATTAATGCCTTATAACTTTACTTTATGGGGTCATATTTTCTATTAACATATTAAAATATTTTTTGGCTTGAGAGGGAAAATTGATAAAAAGATTGATGATTGAGATGATAAAAAGAAATTCATTTGATTGAGAAATTCATTTCTGCCCAAAATCAATTTGATTTTTAAAACTACTTTTTTGTAGGATTTTTTGAGTTTTACCAATTATTGAGAATTGATCATAAACTTTAACTTCTGTGCTTATAAATAGCCAAATTTATGAATTCTGTGTTCATAACTATAAATAAACTTGATGAAAAATGATCAAATGAATAAATGTATAGTGCACATGAAAAAAGATCTCCAGTGTTGGTGTCTCTTCTTGACCCCACTTTACTTTTACACACTTCTATGTAATCAGACCCATTCATTGGCTTTTTTCTCTCCTTATTTTCTAAAGCTATCAGCTGAGGAGCAATCTTATCAATTAAAAAACTTATGTACTTAATGCAAAAATATCAATGATTCAAAATAAAGATAAATAAACACATTTATTTGAAATATTTAAAAAATTTGGTTTGAATACACTCTTTTCTTATTAGTGTAAGTAATAAATTTTTCGACTTTTGTAACAGCTGACATGAAAACAAAGAGTTCCTCCTTGTGTCAACGGCTTTGAGGCTTTCCTCAAATGTTGACACGGATTGTGGTTCATTTTCTACGTTTTCACTTTACATTGTTTCAGTTTCTGTCACAGCATCTTAAACTGACAGCAAACAAGTTTTAACATTTTCATCAACTGATGCATATAAACATCTAACATGCTGTTTGAGGCTTTTTTCCCAAACTCTTACAAAGTCTCATTTTCTTCTTTATCATTAGCATCAGAAGCTACAGTTTTTCTTTTCAAAACAAAATAACTTAAATATTTTTTAAATTTCAATAAAATTTCTGAATAATAGATGAGGAAGTCTTTCAAAAACGATCTAGATATGTATTATTAATACTATAAGATAGCATTTGTAACGGAAACGTTGAAACAAGATATGGGAAAACGATATGGTTGCAGAAATGATTGATCAAGGTTTGACTGTATTAACTTAATTTTTAGAATATATGAATGCTTCCCATGTATATTATTTTAATGTAGTAGTTTTACTCTTGCAGAATTTGTTCACAAGGTTTGGAGACACATTTTTACCTTACATAATTGACCACCTGCATAGAATGGTTGAAGATAAAACCGAAAGTGTACAGCGATGTTGCTCTGAAATCTTAGCTGCAATTCTACATGCTTGCAAGCATTATGATTTCAAGAAAGTGAGTACTTACGAACAGTAAAAATATTTCTTTTTCTAAATTTTTTATTTAAAATTCTTTGATTAACCTCTTTAACTATAAAGCCAGTTGGTTTCCGATAGTAAAATTCTGTTTCATAACAAAAATGAAATGTAGAATTGGGAAATTGTCTTACAGCATTTTTGGCTATTTGCTTAATTTTTAGCGAGATACACTATGTGAGTGTAAACTGTCATTAAAAACGTAACCCACAGTGAGAGTGACAAGAGTAATTTATTTTGTAGCTTCTGCTTAACTTGCAGATTTATATGAATACTTAGCATTGTATATTTTTAGGTAATCAACAAACGATTTAAGAGGAAAGAAAATATTAATTATAACCTTGTATTTAAAAAAGCAATTTTTAATCTGTAATTCTTCCAAATGATTTTAATTATTGCGTGTAAGGAGTCTTTGTTTATAAATTTAACACACAGACCCTCAAAAATAATTACATTGGTAAAAACTGCTTTTTTGATGATCATCTTTTCCATAAAAACAAATCTGTTGATGTCTAAGTCATTCGCTTTAGGAAGTGAATATAGAAACTGGTTCCATTCTCAGCTTTCTTTTATTTGAAGTGAATCATTCATATGATTTTTACTTGCGGAATGCAGCATTTTAAACCAATTTTTTTCAAAATACACTTTCATCAAGGAAAACAAATCCTGTAATTTGATATTCACAATCATTTTCATTTTAGCTATGTATGTAATTTCCTCCCATTTTTTTAAGTTTGGTTTAATTCTGCTTACATAATTCTGCTGGCAGGCTACTTGAATTTTTTTTAATTTTTCTCGAAGTAGAATTATGCATTATAACTTTAATTTTGCATCACCCTTACAGTTTTTGCTGCATTTGATGCTTTATAGCTAATAAATGGAATCACTGACTCTGTGTATGTAAACCACCTTATATTAAGTTTTACGGTTGATTCTTTATCTTGAAATAACTTCTTTAATATTATTGCTAATTCATAAGATTCAGTGGCATTTCTCTATAATCTTCAAATCATTCAATGGAGTTTGTATTTTCAGATGCACAAAATGAAAGAAATGTTCAGTCCAATTCTAGAAAAAGCTTTGCGCAATATGTTTCCTGACGTGATAAATGATTGGGCGACTTGTGTGGCTACAATTGCTGTAAGTTATTGTCTTACTAAAAGTACTAAAGTTGTATTTGCATTTTATGTCCTATCTGATCCTAACTTTAAAAAATGTGTAAATAATTAAATACTTTGGTTTTTAGGAAAGTAGAGATCCTAATCAATATTACTGGCTTTTTGAGCTCTTTATGACAGAACCTCAAAGTATAGAAAATGGATCCTTCCTAGAATCTAGGTAATTGAAAATAACTGCTTGGTGTCTCTGCGAATATTTAGTTATTGAAAGATAAAACAAAAGGTTTCAAACTTATATGTAAGGTTAATAGGTATCTTGTAATTACACAGGTGCACAACTAAAAAAGTGGCTTGAATCCAGTAGCATGCCTGCCAAGTCTCCTGTTTTTTTTAACGAAGATTCCTGCATTTTAGGACTATTACCCGTATATTCTCAAATTTCTCCGTATTTGATAAAGAAATGGAAGGAAAAAAAACATCTTGGCTATAAAATATCCGCTGATGGCAAAAAATACTTCTCTTATTCCTCAACATATGGTGCTATTGCCAGTACTGCAGTATGTTGATTGCTATTAGATTAAGTAGAGTCATAATGACTCAGGGAATAGAGCGTTCTCAATTCAATGAGGTGAATCGGGTTCGAATCCCAGTGATGGCTGGTCCATGCGAATTCCTCATCCGGCTTGCACTAGCCACAGTGCTGATGTAAAATATCCTCAGTGGATTGTGGGTCAGGTTAATCTTGGAAGCTTTTTGTGTTTTTCCTCTCCAAGTAACGCAAATGCGGGTTAGTTCCATCAAAAAATCCTCCTCAAAAGCAAATTTCTCCCAATACTTGATCCAGAAGTTCCCTTGTCTTCTGGATTGGGTTCAAATTTACAAGGCAACGGAGTTGAACATTAGTATTCGTAAACCCAAAAAACTACGTCAGTTGTTCAAGGATGGTAATAAAGTAAAATAGTTAATAATAAGTAATTAGTTAATAACACAAGCCTGCGAAATTGAACTTTTTGAAAAATACAAGAGAAGTTATTGTTGATTTATATGTTATTTGATGTGCTGATTTTGAAAATGACCTTCATTTTCCCCAATCACATCAGGATTTTTTATAAAATCGATATTAATGTTTTTACTAAAATCCTATTTGGAAAGGAATTCTCTCAAATAATTTTGCATGTACTATCCGGTAACTGTTCTCTTCATTCATTTTGATCTATGTAAAATTTAATCTTGTGAAAGAAAATTGATTTTTGAGCTATCAACTGATTTTTTATAGGTCAAAATGAATAAAAATACTGTTACCAGATAGCAGAAGTCACCTCTGGTCAAGAGAAAAACAATAAGTTCTCTTTGTGTTCAAACTTTTTACATCAGTTTCTAGATGAAAATCACCAACATACCATTTTAATTTCTTTTTATTGAGATAACTTACGTAAAATTGACGATTTTGACGATTTACATAAAATTGACGTATACATGAAAGTTTGAAACAAAAAACAAAACAAGCAAAAAACAAAAGAGAAATGTTTCTATTTAAGTATATACTCGTTTTCCTTTGAAACTTAATTTTGATGATCTTCTTTCATGCTTAATCTCAGGTTTATCCCGAGCTATCATCCAACAGTAGTCAGAGAACATGTTCTTGTCCCATCTTCCTTGATATTTACGCTAAATATCTCTGATATCTTGATGGAACCTTTCCCCTTGTTCTTCGCTAACTGCTCCTAAATTTTCAGGGAAAAAATCCACACCTGAGGGAGGGAAATGCATTTTGACCCTCATCAAGAAACCCAAAGTTTTAAATTTGTCCAGCATTTTCATTATGATTGCTTTAAAGTCAGTATCCTTGTAGTTATACAGAAATTTACTGACGACATCTTTGAAACAACCCAAGCTTCTTTTTCCGTTGTTGTCATTCTAGTCTCAAATTCTTTATCCTTCATGAGTTTGCCGATATCTGGACTAACAAATATTCCTTCTTTCAATTTAGCTCTGGATAAACCTGGAGACTTTTTGCACAGGTATTTAAAACAATTGCCATATTTTGGAATAGCCTAATTTTATATGTAGCGGAAGTAACAATACTTTTTTCGGATCAACTAAGCTGTTTCGAATAACGTTCTTGGTTCCTGGGTCAAGATTTTGTCTTTTTGGTCATTATTTTTTGACCCAATATTAAGTCTTGTCACAGCAGTCCCACTCACAAATGAAACATGGGTACTTTATAAATCCCCCTTGTTATCCAAGAAGCATGGAGATGACTTTCAAATCACCGCAAATGGTCCAACTGTGGTCGATATATTTTATTTTGTTCAAGACGAGAGCCAGGTTTAGATATTAGTCTTTGATTTTTTCGGTTATACCCGCGAACATGGCAGGAACAAAAATAACAAACATCAAAGTGGTTTTGGGGCTCTCTCCACGTCATAGGAATTCCAAATCGTAAAGCAGTCTTCTTTTCTTGAGGATATAAGAGTAGATCATTTGAGACATTGCGCACAAACTTTATGAGGTGTCCAAGATTTGTCCTGATCTCCGAGTTTNAGAAAATATAATTCGAGGTAACATACATTCAAATTGCTCACTACAATCTTTCTTCTTTGGTTATTTGTTTGTTTTGCTTTGTCTAATTTAGAAATTTATGTAAATCAACACGTTAAACATTAAAATTAACTGAAAACAGAGTCAGTTTCTGTTTTAGAAGTAAAAATCGATTATACGACGTTATCGTTTATACGACGTTTTTCGGTGGTCCCTTCGGCGTCGTATAAACGATGCTCCACTGTATTCGTAAACCCAAAAAATTAGGTTAGTTGTTCAAGGATGGTAATAAAGTAAAATAGTTTAAGTAATTATAAATAATGGTTTAAAAAGATCGTTAGATTAAGATTTATATACACATTTTTTACTTTGCTAAATCTAAGTGCATATATTTCCAGTTTTGAATTTCTTTTTTTGACTTAAGTGATTATGTATGATGTATCAAAAATTTACTCGTTGCCTAAGGAATGTCGCTGGTAAAATCTTCGTTATTTTATTTCTCTAATGTTGGCTGGTATGCAATAGCTTTTTGGATGCTGATTTCAGGAAAAATAGGGAGAAGTTCTGTCGCAAATAATTTGTTCATAAATTGAAAATTTTGATTTTCCTCCCTGCCAATCTTTTGTATTATAATCTAAAGAATTAAAACATTTAATACCTTAAGTTTGGTGTTTAAGCATTTTTTGCTGCTAAGTTTCATAATATGAAATTTTGTAACATGAATTTTCATGATATGAAATTTTGTAACATGAATTTTTATAATATGAAATTTGTGATTGAACTAACAGTTTAAAAGATGGTTTAAGTTTGAAAATTATAAATTTTTATTTATGCTTGTCTACTCATAAAATCCTCATAGAAATTATTAGTTTTATTTATTTTTTATTTTATTGGATCCATCCATAAAAATATACAAGAAGCAATTCTCACTTGCCTTTTTAGCAATGTCGGAGGTATAAATAAAAATTTGTTCGAAATTTTACTTTTAATACATAATGACTTATATAATTTTTAAACTGTTAGTCCTTTGATTTTATCTCATTCATTTTAGCTTAAAAAATATATCAGAAACAGTACCTCACTTATCTGTAAAATGTTGGTTTAGTTTCTCCTCCACTCTAGAATGTGCAAAATAGACACTTTTCTACTATATTCAAGCCCTATTTGTAAAAATTCCTGGCGTGATTTAAAAAACGGAATCGCTTGCCAAATAATATTGGTCATTACATTGCCATCACTTTTTCGTAACTCAAATTTTGCGGGAGTGTGTAATTACTATCACATCTATTGAAAAAATTGTGTGTTTAAAGTAATTAGTAATATATTTTAAGTAATATTTTAATTTTAAGTAATATTTTCTAGTTAGAAAGTAATATTTTTTATCAAAATTATTTTGTAGTTATAAACAAAGTTCCCCATTTTTTTTTTTTTTTTCTTGAGCTACGCAGGTAACAAATACTTGTGTCTAGAACTTTATCTAACGGAATTGAGTCAGCTTTTTTTATAGTAAATAAGCTTTTTTTATAGTACAGTACAGAACCCGTTATCCGGAAATCAGAAAACCAAAAAAACCGGAACGAATTTCGATTAATTTTCCCGCCATTTTTTTCTTAAAAAAAAAAGTTTTTTTTTTTCTCATAAGATTTTAGGATTTTTCGTTCTTATTTGAAAGATCATTATTGACCTTATCATTTTGAAAATAATCATTAGTGTATTACTTAATCGTTTTTTCTTCTTTTTAAGATTATTTCCAAATATTTTTTTTTTTTTGTTAGGTTTAACAATAAAGAAAACGGCTTTTTGTGGCGATTCAGATAACCGGAAAAATCAGTTATCCGGAATAGCGATGGTCCCGATCGCTCCAGATAATCGGTTCCCTAGTGTAAAAGATTTTGTTTAATAATAAAGTGACTGAAGTTCATCCATAAGTTATAATTTAAGGTATCTAATTTAAATTGTGATTAGACATAAATAAAATTAGTTATTCATATTTATTCACAATATTGAATTTATTAGTAAAGTTTTGATTTTACTTACAAATTCAATGTCTGGTTAAATAAGTATTTTAAAATCAGTAAACTTGTTTATTGTTATTTTGTCAAATTTCATAGTCTAATGGTTTAATTTGTAAGAAATGCATTTGAAATTTCAGTATATTATAAGGAAATATTTTTGAGTTGCAACGCAATTAGTTACAATTGTAAATTACAGTGCACTTTAAATATTTTTGTTTGAAATGTTGCGTTCAATATTTTTGAGCAATCTTTCAAATTCTTATGTACCACCACACATGTGCTCAATTTAGAGATAACATTGATTATAAATATGTGATGCATATTTAATTCTTCTAGAAGGGGAGATAAATTGACTAACAATTTTATTTTTCAAAAGCTGTGTAGGAACCCTGTGACTGTAACGCCTGCTATATATTTTGGCTCAATGCTTTTAAATCACTACATGCTACAAAATGCGAGTTAAAACATGTGTTATTCACTTCTTTTTGTTTATTTTTTCTTCAGACTCAGCAGTTCTTAGGTCATATGCTATTTAATGAGAATAATTACTCCTTATCAGTGCATAATTTAGTACTTCACTCTGTTATATAACATGTAATTGTCAGTATTATTTTATCAGTTTCCTATTTCTTTTTTAAATGTGACTTTGATTTTACTAAAATTAGCATCAGATTCATTAGTTATGAGTAAATATTTATTGGTATATTTTTGATTTAACACCCTCATGTTTTAATGTCTTGGGTGACAGGGGTTGTTATATTTAGTGTTAACTGTGTTTATGTGATCCCAACTTTTATTTGTGTTGCGGATGAGCTTAATAAGTGTTAGGGAGGCGAAAAGATAATTAAAATGCAATTTTGTATACAAACAGTTTTTAATTTGCCAGGGCTTAAACATACTATTTTAGCCATTATGACGTTATGAGTGGACTATGCCCGGTCGCAAAACCTAGTGTTAAAGTACAATAACTGCACATTCTTGCTATCTATAAGCTTGATAAGAGAAGCTTATTAATCGCCAAGTTAGTTCTTTGGAAGAGAGAAAACTCTTAGTTCATTTTTTAAATGAGGGTACAATGCTGAAAAAACTCTTAAAAAACTTGCATTAATATATATGATGGATGAAATATATAATTTATTTATTTACATATAGTGGTGATCCAAATCATTTTAAATGAAATTTAAAAATCCAATAATTAAAACAAAATCTTTGAATTTTATTACCTCTTTCAGGGGTCTGTTTAGAAGAAATTTGGGTTCATTAACAGACCCTTCACAAAATATCTTTTCATTAAAACGAACCCTTCACAAAATATTTTAACTTAAAAACGGACCCTTCACAAAAAGATTTTTCTTTAATCGGGCCCTTCACAAATTTGTTTATCTTCATTATTGTTTTGTTAATTGAATAAACCCTTCCCAGGGCAGAAAACAAGAAAGATGGATGTAAACGAATTAAAGTTATGTCTTCAGCAGACAATTCTTCCATTATTCGTCCGATATGAATACTGCTTTCAGCAGAATAGGCTAAATACCAAATATTTGTATGTTGCATCTCTAATTTAGAAGCAGTAATTGTTGTTCATTTTTGAAAATTTATTTTTTTAATTATAATTTTACAGTGCTGAACATAATCTTGTATCTTTTTACAATTAAAAAACTCCTTGAAATTTTTTTTTGCAATAACCGAACCCTATTTGCACAAATTCATAAAAGCAGGACCCTGATTGAAAGAATGTGAGTATTTTTTTCACAATTTCACAAAAACCGGACCTTTCACAAAATGTCTGGACAGACCCCTGCCTTTAAATACAGAACTGTAATACTAGGGAGAATCCATCATTAACAGCTATAATAGTGTTGTTAACAAAAATAAATTTTTAAAAAAAAAGTTTTTTTTATTATTATGTTAAATTTTAGGCAAAATATTGCACATTGCTTATAGATCAAAATTATAAAATATATACTGACAAAATGTTTTTCTATTAGTTGGATATTTCTACTTATTGGTCTTCTTAGCCAGCAAGAATGGAGAGCTTTTGAATTATTACACAGGGTATTAGACTATGCAATGCCTAAATTAGATCATTCGTACCAAAATGTGAGAGAAAAGCTAGGAAGGTAATATTAGTATAAAATCTTTTATGTTGCTTATTTCTTTTAGTGCATTCAATGTCCTGAATATTGTTCCATCTACTTCTAGCTTACTCTCATATATATTTATGTATGACATTCCTGAAGCAAATATACCATGTTTGATGTTTGCACCCAAAAGGATTCCTTTCATAAATTCATTACTACCCAAATTAGAGTTGCTGCAACCCAATAAAGATAGTAATGACAAAGATAGCATAGCAGAATGTATTGATGTTCCTCCAGAAAAAAAGAAGGCAGAAAACCTTTTTCGAACAAGTAAGGAAGTTAGGAAAATGTTACTAAATCTTAAGAAGTATGATAATTTTAAATTTCTTTTTACACCATTGTTAAAAGATAGTAATTAAAGCCCACCATAGCAGATGTTCAAAATCTTTCATCTCAATGTCTCACTCTATATTAATAACATTTGCACATGGTATATTTTAGTTTCTCGCTTTACGACCCCCATTCCTTTCACCCCACTTCTCTATCTCATCAATCTTGTTTAACTACTGTAAAAGGATATAACTCATCATCCAAATGGAAATAATAAAAGACATAAACAAAAAATAATGTCTTTTATAAACATAATATAAACAGAAAACATGAAATGTTTTATCTAACATAACATAAAACATGAAATGTTTTATCTAGCATAATATAAACATAAAACATGAAATGTATAAAAAATAAAAAATCAAATAAAATCAAAAAATGATAAATCAAAATGAATTTCTAATAAAATGATAAGTGATAAGCATTTACTTAAATAGAATAAATTAGATTAGTATGAAAGAGATTTTGGTAATTTTTTTAAAATATACTTATAATCATAACTTTTACAGTTTGTCGCTGGATAACGTTTAATGGCGCCAAGTCGATATGTGCTGCTCCTCCTGAAATTTATCAGTTTTTGCCTTTGGTATGTAGTTTTATGCAGTTATATTTTTATAACTTTATGTTTAAATTTGTAAAATTTATAAGAAATATGTAAGGAGATTTACTAATCTTATTCTTCCATAATGTTTAAAAGAAAGTGTGAAGTATGTTTTTGAACATGAAGCTTTATGGGCTTTGTCTATATACTTAAACTTTATTTGTTGTCAGAAAGTAAAAATAAATTATTTTTTATTACAGAAGTCGCAAGCAGACTATTAAATTTGTGAAAATATGATAATCATGATGTGTAGCATTTTGAAAAAGTGCTTAAAGGTGCTTATTTTCGATTTTCGTTTTTTAAAAGCCCTTAAGAGTGCTTTTTTCATGGGGTGTTTTTAAAATGTGCTAAATTTTCCCTTTTCGTAAATAAGATTTTTTTCTTTGCCGTGTCTATTTTCACTGCTTATTATGCAAAAGAGTGGTTTTGGCATTGTTCTTTTCAACGTTTTCACAATTCATTCAACCACAATCCATTTCCTCAAACCGTCGATCCTTAACGGGTGATAGTGCCAATCATGCTACTTGTTTGAAGAAATACTTGGGAATTCGCATGTGCATCTGCTGAGCATGGTTCGGTGAGATTCTTGCACTCTCATGTGCAACTCTGCTGCATTGTGCAAGATCTCTTGATCTTTTTATGGTGGCTAATATACTGAAGAAAAGAGTACTTTGTCTGAAACTAGGTACTTTATCATAATCATGTAAAGTCTTTGAAAATTATTTTGCATTTTATTAATGTATATAGTGCTTACAAATATTTTTTCAGTGCTTAGAAAGTACTTTAAAGGTACTTATTTTTTGTTAAGAGAATCAGCTATGTAGCCTGATAATGTTTAGTTTCTTTTACATTCTCTTAATTTTTTATTACTAAAAATTAAATTGAGACAAAACGATGAGAAAACACAAAAGTTCTCATTGTAGAAAAACTGAGAGATTAAAATGCTTTTTTTTTTATTTTGAAAAACTTGCACATTTAAGTGCTATAGACATTTTCAAAAGGTTTCACTTTTTCTCTTTATTGTAGCTATGCCACGTAGGAAATGAAACTTCAGATGAAGAATTAAAAAGAGAGTGTAATATATCAATAGCTATATTGGGACAATCTTTGTTGTGTCCAGATAGTATAGAAGCTGCTGTTCAAACAGTTAAAAAGGTTTGTTTCTTAGGATTCTTATTAGTTTTTACAATTGATTTTACTATAAATGTATCTTAGACAAATACTTTCGATCTTGTTTAAAAAAAAAGATATTAATAAAATTAGAAGTTTCCTTACTTTTTGCTGCTTTTCTGTTCCCTAAACATTTATTCTACTTTTGTTTTAAAGATGATAACAGTTAAAGAAGAAAAAAAACTTGGGTTAAACGAATACACAACTATGAATATTGAGGAAGCTGAAAATTAATAGTATTTGAAAAGAACACCAGCAGACAAGCTTTGTTTCCATTTAAATTATAATTGTTTTTATTTACAAAATCTACACAATTCTGTTCCTTGTTTTATATATTTTTTTAATTAAATTAGAGTAATTTATTTTTAAAATATGGGCGTTTTTTTATTTTCATCTGATTATCTGCTCAGCTAATTCTTCACATCAAATCGAAAAAAAATAAAATAAAAACATGTGTCTTTATTCATGAAGGTAAAAGTTAAAATTATTATTTGTTCACTTTTATTTATTTTCTTTTTAATTTATAAGAAAACATTGTATCAAATTGGTGTTAATTATCATTGATTTGTTAATTTTTTATTGAATAACACGTTATATTTATTAATCTTGAAAATTTTTTATAAACGTAATAATCTGTTATAAATATATCGATAATCTAATTTCCGGACTTGCTGAAGTTCGAACAATTCCGTACAGAACTTTCTATTGCCATATTTTTGTAAAAATAAATGTATATGCTGATAAATATATTTTACTTTTTCCAACCTTTGTATTTATTTAGCTTTGAAATTAACTGTTATTGAAATTTAGATATTATGTTCAAGATATTATTTTTAATTTAAATTTGAACTTTTGTATTAATTAAATTAAGCAAACAGTTCAAGATGCTAATTAATATCCGTATCAAACCAATTTCATCTCACGTGATTATCAAATGTTGGCTTCTGCCAAATTTATAGCATATATTAATAATCTCTATTTAAAATTTATTTTTGATTTATTATATAATTTGAAAACCGTAAATTGGTGTTGTCAATCTTAGATCAGTAGTAATCACAAACTTTAAAAGAATTTTCTATTATCAAAAAAAAGTAATTTATTAAACTAATTACCTTAACCTAGTACTTATACTTATAAGTAACCTTTACCTTACTTTTACCCTTATTATTATAAGTAACCTTTACCTTACTTTTACCCATGGGTGCAAGTCTTCCGTCCCCAGGNTGGCGGGCGTAGAACAGCTAAAATCATGTAAGGTGCTAAACATTAAAACAGCAATATATTAAAAGTGTCAATTAAAAGAATAATTTAAAAGAGCAATTTAAAAGATAAACGTGCAAAAATTACAAGCATATATTAATAATTAATAAGCATATACAAATTTATAGCATATATTAATAATCTCTATTTTAAATTTATTTTTGATTTATTATATAATTTGAAAACCGTAAATTGGTGTTGTCAATCTTAGATCAGTAGTAATCACAAACTTGAAAAGAATTTTCTATTATCAAAAAAAGTAATTTATTAAACTAAATACCTTAACCTAGTACTTATACTTATAAGTAACCTTTACCTTACTTTTAACCTTATTATTATAAGTAACCTTTACTTTAAATAGTTAAATTTCATTGTTCGTTTCATCTAATGATCTTCCATATTTTATTCTGAAACACAAATTAATATCAGGTTCAATTTCTGAGAGTTAGATAATTAATATTATAATGCATTGGAATAGTTATCAGCTGGTCCTACTTTAATAACGATAATTTTAGTGTTTCACAAGGAAAATTATATTGTTAATCTGAAATGTCTTTAAAAATATACTGTTATAAGTTTCTTAAATACTTAAAATATTGCAATGCACCTAATTATTCACTTCCAAAATTTTTCTTTGAATAGATATCCACGGGCATTTCATGGCATTCCCGAATGTCTATTGCTGCATTTTTACAACAAATGGTCTTTTCTAATCTATATACTGTGTTACTTAATGAGTCTTGGAAAAAAGAAATCTATGAAATGGTTCTCCTTTTACTTCAAGATGAAAGAGTCGAAGTTAGTTTCTTTTAAATTTAATTAGCACTTGAGCTTTTCATTAAAGCTCAGATGTTTTTTTATTAGGAAATTCGAACTGTTGATTTTAAATACTTTTTAATTAAAAATATCCTTTTCATATAACTTGTATCTAAACTTTCACAGAAATTTAAAAATTATTTTTTTTTTAATTATTCTTTGAAATTAATTACTGTTTAGTTACAAAAATATTATATAGCACTAAAAATTATTATGGAATTTTTATTAGTTTTATAAAACCTCATTTTTTTAGTATTGATTTTTGTAGTATTTCACGAATCTACTTTTTCTCTTTGTTTTTAAGGATTAAAAAAGCAGAAACTTCATTTTAGATACTGAATTTATTACTGTGTGTTTGTAAAATTTATTAAGCGGAATTAAGACCACATGAATTTGATTTTTAATAGAAAATAAAAGTACTTTTATTTTTTACCACAGAAGGTTAAAAAATAAAAGTACTTTTATTTTTTACCACAGAAGGTTAAAATGGCATTTTAAGACTATTTTTTGGAGTAAATTAACCATAGCAAGTACAGAAAATTAGCATTTATTTACATACAATTTGATGTTGCTCTCAAATTTTACATTTTATAAAATGCATTAGCAGTAGTATGTTTCATGTAGAGTTTTTCGTGTATAAAGGAATTAATTGGAGGTTTGTCCTATATCACCGAAAAACTCATTGTTTATAAGCCAATAACATACAAGCATTTAACATGGTACAAACTTGAAAAAACCTGATTTTTGAGGGAAAATATGCATATAACATGATATTGCAAGGGTAGTTAGGACTGCTAAAATTGTGTTTTAAAATGAAGGTGTAAAAAGCAATTATAAGTGGCAATGCAATGTGAATATCAAAATGCATGTAATATGTTTGTTTCCTGCTCTTGCTGTACCTGAAAATTGGTTTACAGTACCACTTTAGTTCCTGGTAGTGAAAAATATAGCTATTATTTCTTTTTAAAAAATCAATCTGTTTAATTATTATTTAACGCAAATTCAATACAGACAGTTAGACAGTTTTCTTATAATCATGTTTTAAATACTTACTTTAATTCTGCTCATCCTGTTTATTATCTAATGTACTGTGCCGAAGACTTGTGTTTGAGTTTTTTACATGCAACATGCAGTTTTTTAAATTTAATATGAATGTATATATTTGTGATACCACTAATATGAGATCTGAATGTAACATGCTAATTATTCAAGCTAAATTATTAATTTTGTTTAAAATACTTATGTTAGTATCAGAGCTCAAAATTTTTACCTACTTTTGGCAGGAAAACAGTTACATATAAAATAATAAATGAATTTTTTATAAACAATGTCATAAGCATTTAATTAATTATTAAAATGAATAAATTAATTTTTTAAGTTTTAAGCCTCTGTTAAAAGTAATTAGCAAAAATAAAATTTCAATAGTCCACAACATTGTTATTATTATTTTTTTACAATTTCCACTAGCAAAGCCATGTTTCTTGAAAGAATGTAAATTAAAAAGCAACGAGAAAAAAAAACATCAGTACACACCTAAGATTGTACACACTTTTTTTAAAGAAAAATATAACATTTCATAATATCCACCATTTAATATTTAATAAAGAAATTTAAAAAAAATTGTTTTCAAGAATTTAATAATAAGTTGGCACTCGAACATAAGTGACAGAAGTTTTTCCTTCTCATATTATCTATATAGTTTTTTATACATTTAGTTTTTACAAAGCAATTCTTATATAACTAATCATAATTTTTACTTCTAGGTTCGTGAATCTGCCTCAATAACATTGTGTGGATTTTTACACTGTGAATATTTTAAATTGACAGATGATTTAGTGGTAAAGATTATATTTCCTCTTTTGCTATTTTAGTAAATGAATATGTGAATGAATATGGAAATGTAGACTTATTAAAAAGCTTAAAAACCTATAGACTACCAGTTTTGATTGTAAATTATGAAAAAAAAGAGAGGCATAAATGTCGTTTGACACCTTTTAGATGCATCATTATCAACTTATGTATGAATTCTGGCTCTGTCATGTGTGTTTCAAAAAATGGAAATTTTATCTCTGTCCTTAAATTTTTCACAATTCTTGGGATTTTTCTCATTTTGAGTATTCAAATTCAAATTTTGAGCTCAAAATTCAGAAAAGTTGCCCATTTTTGGGGTGGGGGGAATTGCTGCAAAGTTATATCAAGCAGTGAAGAGAGTTTGTAGGGTTGCTAAGGTTGGCTTACAAACACTAACTCATGCTTTTATAGATTTCTCTTTCTTATTTGGATTTGTAGGTATAGTTTCACCCTTTCGTAAAATAATGAAAATAATGCTTTAGATTATAAAAATTATCACCCTACAATTGTAATACCAGAAATAAAAATAACAGTTTAAATATGTTATCTTCTAAAATTATGTGTGACCAATGAAGCATTTTAATTAAGCAGCAGATTCCACAGGTTCCCTTTCCACTTTTCAAACTAAAAATAAGCACTTTATATGGAATTTAGCTAAGAGTTAATTAATTAATTGTGAATTCACAATTAATATATGCCTTTCAACCAAATGAAATGCTTTTACAGCTTAGTTCAAACTCTTAAGAACAATAGAAAGTAAAAATTCAATATTTAAATCTAATATTTAAATAATACAAAAAGTAATGTAATGTCGTGTAAAATTTTAATATAAGTTCAATCCTTTTCTTAAAATATCAGTAGTTAAAATATGCACCACATGTAAAATTACTTGCATGTCAATATCAAAAGTTGCCATTTCAGCCAATTTTCACTAGTACATAGTTTCTAGCACATATATGTGGTTAAGTGATATGGGTATAAAATTTAGCCATTCCAAAAAAGAATAAAAGGAAAATAAACTTATTCTAAAGGGCTACTGATTGAAAATAAGTATTGTTAGGCAGAGTCTGCCAATAGGCATTTAGATGCCATTTCACATGCCAGGTTTCAGTTTCATGCCTGAAATATTTCACCAGGAGTGAAAATACTCTCTAAATGTTTTGTTAAAATTGTTAGTTTTTTTTTTAACATCCTGAAAAACTACCAAAATTGGTACCTATGATGTGAATTTCTGAAATGCTTGAAAATTGTTAAAGCAAAAAAAAAATGTATTTGTATAATGAAATAGGGATAATTTGCTAACATAATCAAAGTTCACTGCTCTAAAATTTCGAGAGGAGTGAAATTACTCTTCAAAAAACTATTTTTAAACACAACTGTTAAGCACTTTTTAGAATTGTAAAAATTAGCACTTTATAACACCTGGGGAAATGCTGTGCTTTTGTTAAGTATGTATTTATAAAGTTTATATAACTTAATAAATTGTTAAATTTCTTACTTTATTATGCCGTTTATTAGAAAATATTATTTTTCAGAATACTTTCAAAAGAAAGAGTGAAAGGAAGCTTGTTTACAAGCCAGCAACCAAAGATGGTCCTAGAAGTCTGGAGCCTGATGAGCTCAGAGAAAGGCACGCTGGTGTGCTAGGACTGTGTTCTATTGTAAATGCTTATCCATACGATGTGCCCGAATTTCTCCCAGAAATTTTAGTCCTCCTTGGTGATCATCTGAATGATCCACAACCAATATCAGTGAGTACTTTTTAAGATGGTAAAGAATTTAAAGATGGATGTTTTGTTGCATTCACTTAAATTATAAAGGCCAGTTGAAACATTAATATGCAGTATTTCATTTTTAAACCAGCTTCTTTTTTATTTGCATTTTTTTTCTATGTGTTATTGTAACTGTTATTGATGGTATAAGGCTTTTAAGTTAATTGCATTGTGTAGATATACAGTGCAACCTCGATTTTACGCTGTCTGTTTTTGTTGTCATTTTCTGCTGATCCATAAAAATTGTCTATAAAGATAATCTTGAATTAGCCCGGGTGTTATCCTACTATTTTTAAAAATATCCTGCTTTGTTTCTTTTACAGACGTATGAAATAAATTTTTCCCTGCAAATTTTTTTCTGGGTTTTCTTTTAAAAAAGGGTGAGACTTTTATTAGCTGCTCGTATATTTTCTGACATTCTTTCTATTCTACATAATTGTCCTTTTGTCTGTGAGAGGGGATTTTCCCCTTGAGTGAAAATCAAAAGGGTGGTGGGATGGGCAAAACACGGGAAGTACGAAAGCTTAAATTGTGCAATTTGCAAGTGAAATTTTTTCCAGCGAACTTCAATTTTTGAATCTTGGAATTATGCAATTATCTAAAGACTGCTTCATTAAACAACTGGTTAGGGTAATCATTTTTTTCCTTGAATCTGGTGACATGCAAGGTGCTGCAGAAGCAAAAATAAATGTTCTGGAAGCTCTGAATTGGATTTCTGCATCACTGGATAGGGTCAACTAAAATGCATTACAAATTGATTTAAAAAAGCTTCTCGGGATTAATTGCTTCTTAGTATCCAACGGTAACATAGGCTCATCGGAATAAAAATGCATGTATGAAGATTTTATGAAGTTAATGATGTCTATATTGACTACTACACACAAATTGGCATGAATCTGCAAGTACATTGAAACCATACCCCTTTGATGCAGAATTTTAGTAAACATATTTTATACACTTTTTTTTGATATTTTATATTAATTTAGGTTAAAATAAGTGAAAAATATATTTAGCATTTTAATAATTTATGGTTATGAAATACAACATGAAACACCAGCATGTTTTTCTGCTTTAAAAGTTAAATCTTCCAAATTTTGCTCACTTCCAAATAATAATTTTTCCAATTTGCACTTATTTAGATATAAGAGAAACAATTATTCATTAGTAAAAATTTTTTAATTTACAAAATCAATTATTGATGAATTTTTTTAATCTGAATGACATTTTTTTTTCAAACTATTTTTTGATATTTTAGTACAAATGTTATTTAGATTTCTTTAATAATTATTAGACTGTTTTTTTGTAAAGAACATCAGTGTCCCACCTGTATCAAAGGGTTAATACAAGATTATCACACATGGAAAAAAAAAAGAAAAAACGCTCAGAAATTTAATAAGAATAACTGATAAAAGATAATTTAAGAAAAGAAAAATACAGATTAGTCAGTAAAAAATTCATTAAAGGAATAAAAAATTAATCACAAAAAAATATAACTTCCTTCTCAAATCCCAACGGTATATCCCCCTAGAAAATGTGCTTTCTAACATAATATTAATATCACAAAGGCAAAATACATTAATACAATAGTGTGAAGACTGAAAAAAATTAGATTTTTTTACGATTGATTGGATTATGATTTGATGTAAAAATGCAAAAAATTTATTAAAAAAACTTTAAAAAAAGTAAAAAGAGAAAGATAACTTGTTATTTATGATAAATGATTTTAAAATACAGTTCTGCAACTAAGTGGATGGGTTATAAAATGTGGAATTATTGCTTAGTAGAGTTCTAGCTATGGTTCATACCAGCAATGAAAATTTAGTGTTCTACTGGGACTACTTAGGCATTCATTTACATGTCTGAAAGCTTAATATGGTAGACAAAGTTGAGAAAAAAATCAAACTTTATAGTTACATAATTCATGTTATGGTACACATCAAAAATTATTAATTGCCATCTATAAGACCCTAAAACTAACTAGGTTCACCCCATAATGATTAAACATTTGTATTTATTAAAATTAAGTGAAAAAATCTAAAATAATATTAGTAAATAGATTCAACATATAGATTAAAATGATGAGCTGAAATAAATAAGTAAATGAGAAAAACAGAGAAAGTGTGAAGTAACAAAATATTATATTAAAAATTAATTATTTAAACATTATTAAATTTTAAATGGGGTCAATTCTAAAAAAGCCAAAAATATAAATTTCATTCATGAACAATTATACTGTTAGTACATGAGTGCAAAATGCAGCACAACAGTTAAATTTGAAATTTAAACATTTAAGCTTAAAAGTTTTTGTACCTGACACTTTCAGTTATTCCATTGGAATAATACATATTTGAATTTCATACCTAGCTTAGAACAATAAAATTAGTAATTAATTCAATGCAAAAAATTATTTTTCGTTACTATATTGTAAATTCCAAACATATTCCAAGGTAACAAATTTGTCGACCGTATGTATGATTTTAGCGACGTTTGTAGAACATTTGCCGTCATGTAGCCATACTGGCGTGAACCCTAGTTATAGCACTTGCTTTAAGTTATAGAAGATTGAATGTGAGTATGATACAAAGTAATTAATTTTTTAGCTTTTGTTACCTGTTTTTACTTTTTCAGTTTATTAGTTTTTCGTCATGAAAAGAAAAAAACTTTATTGAAATAAAAATAAATTAATCACAAAAAATATAACCCCTTTCTCAACTCATAATGTGATATCCATGAAAAAAAAAAAGTTTTCTGACATTGTATCAATATTGCCTAAGCAAAATATATTAATACAATAGTATGAGGAGCACAAAAAAAATTAGACTGATTATTTTATTAACATGATTCGAAGTAAAAATACAAAAGATTTAAAACACAAAAAAAAAGTGGGGAAAGAAAATTTGTTAATTATGATAATTGATTTTAAAATATATTTCCATAACTAAATGGGCAGGTTATAAAAAATATAAAATTAAAGCTTAAGTGTTATAGCACTTGCTTTAAGTTATAGAAAATTGTACGTATGTGTGGTACAAAGTAATTAATTTTTTTAGTTCACCATGAGGGTTATCTTTTTGTTATCAAAGTACAGTACAGAACCCGTTATCCGGAAATCAGAAAACCAAAAAACCGGAACGAAATTCGATAAATTTTCCCGCCATTTTCCTCATAAGATTTTAGGATTTTTCTTTCTTTTTTGAAAGATGGTTACCTTACCATCATTTTGGAAATAATCATTAGTGTATTACTTCATCGTTTCTTCTTCCTTTTAAGATTATTTAAAAAAAAATTTTTTTTAGTTAGGTTTAACAATAAAAAAAACGGCTTTTTGTAGATTCAGAAAACCGGAAAAATCAGTTATCCGGAATAGCGATGGTACAGATCGTTCCGGATAATCGGTTCCCTACTGTATCTTATATATTTTTACTTCAAAATTAATTATTTTTTTGTCTTGCAGGGTACTATTAAAAAAACTTTTTCAAGTTTTCGAAGAACACATTATGACAACTGGAGAGACCATAAACTTAAATTTACTGATGATCAACTTGCTGTGATAACTGACTTATTAGTTTCACCTAGCTATTATGCTTGATAAATATTTAACATTATTTACATCACATTGTTATTTATGATATCAAATGGAGTTCACAGACAATTGTTAAATTTTACTTGTTTGTCCCTTTCATATTTATTGCATATAAATTGATAATAGAGATTTTTTTTTAAAAAATGATACCTGTACATGTATTTTTACTAGATCATTGTTTTTATTCCCTTTAGTTAAAATGTATGAGTTACCAAGTGTTTATCAAAAATTTAGTTATTCTTTATACAACTTTAGAAATTGAAAAAAAAAAAAAATCCTGCATGTCCCATTATCCTGGTACAAACTGAGATAAGCAATTATCTCAGCTATCAGATGATAGTTTATCACTGTTTTTTTTTAATAATCTCATTTCGTATAAGTCTATAAAAAATATTTTTTCTGTATGAAAAAATTGTTATCAGATAAACAAAGTTACAAAAAAATTACAATAATTAAAGTTTTGTTAACACTGGTAACTCAACTCTATTAACTTACAAATTTTTACTTGTGTAACTTTTTATTTCTTTTCACGGATTTGTAATTTTGTTTTTAATTGAATTTGAAATTTGTGGGAAATTTGTAGGTTTTTTAAATCTATTAAGTGCGTATTTTGTAATATTTTAAGATGTTAATATTATTTCTCAATGATTATTGATGGAATGTGTAATTTTTCTTTGAAGGAACTAAATCCTTTTTGTTTTTCATTACAATATTTGATTTGTATATATAAATACTGTTACCGCATATTTCTCAATTCATCATTTTTGATAATAAAATTTTTTTTAATGGTTTGATTGCATTTATTCTTATTCTATTGTAAAATTTTGAACGATTTTCATTTAAATAAAAGTTGAAATTTCATCAATGCACTTACTGGTGCATAGCATTTTTAAATAGTGCTGGTTTTTTGGTCATCGTCGTTTAAAAGCCCTTAAATATGTTTATTTTATTTGTAAAAAGTGTTTTCCTTTTTTCCAAATAAAAATTTTTCTTTGCTGTGACGATATTCACCATAAATTAAAATGTGATTTTCACAATAATATCCATGGTGCTTATTTTCGATTTCTAAAAGCACTTAAACTTTTAGGTACTTTTTTCATGGGGTGTTTCTATAAAGTGCTTAATTTTCCCTTTTTGAAAATTAGATTTTTTCTTTACCATGTCGATTTTCAATATGTATTATGCAAAGGCGTGGTTTTCACAATTCATTTATGTTTTTAAAATGTACTTAATTTTCCCTTTTCGTGAATGAGATTTTTTTCTATAGCGTATCTATTTTCAGTGCGTATTATGTAAAAGCGAGTTTTTCACATTGTTCTATTCAACTACAATCCATTTTGGCGAGCAGTCAATCCGTAATGTATGATAGCGCCAATTATGTTACATGTTTGATGAAATACTTTGGAGTCAGCATGTGCATCTACTGAGCTGTGTTTGGTGAGATTCTTGCACTCTTACGTGCAACTCTGCTGCACTTTGCAAGATATTCTTAATTTCAGGCTTCATTTTTCCTCTAAAATCAAACCAAAAAATCCCTTGATCTTTTTATGGTGGCTAATATAATCAAGGAAAAGAGTTTAAAAAATACATTTACTTCACAAATTATTAAAAATATTTTCTAGTGATAAATATATATTTACAATCATTATATACATATAAAATTATCTACTTCACTGCTAACAAAATAAATTCTCAAATAATTTTGTAAGTGAACCATTTATTTTATAATTATACTCAATTTATTTCTTGAAACATACAATGAAAGCATTTCAAGCATTTTGTATATATTCAAGTTTCACCATGCTAAAATCGCTGTGGCAAATCATCAAGTCTAGATGATTTTAAAAACATATTCTTTTGAATATTTTGTAGTACAAGTTTGGCAATAAAGGCTTTTTGAGCCAAAACTTTTTTAAAAGAAAAAAAATAATGTAAAATACATGATCAAAATTGAAATTTTAAAGGTATACATAATAGAATCTACATAACTGATAGTGGAATGACATGTATCTGTTGCAGGTTATTTTTAATGCTATGTTTTTATGCAGCCATTCCCTTCTGTAGATGCAATCAGATAGGATAGATTTTATGCACAAGAAGCGCACTTGCAATTAGCAAAAATTTTAGTTAAAATAAATGCTTGGAAAAAAAATAATTTAAAATGTGTAAAAACAGGGCATAAGCTAGAGATGACTGAAAATGCAAACATTTCACACAGTAAAGTTTACAGTCTGGATTAACTATTTGTGGGTTTGCAAGCATGTACACCGATTCGGATTCATTGAAAAAGATTCCTACAAGTACAAATGGCATTTTGCGAGACTCTTGATATCGGGTTTCATCTCCCCTCTAAAATGAAACTGAAAATCTAATAATCTTACAACTAAGTAATTATTCGGAACAAATAAAATTACACAATAGCAGTGAATGTTTAAACTTTTATTTATTTAAGACATAGACTCTCGCATTCAACACTTTATAACATTGAAAGAATTGTAATTCAATATAACCCAAACTTAAAATATTTTGTACATTACAAAAATAATGATCATAAAGTGAGAAAATAATACATTATTAACAATGAATAAATAATATGTTATAATGTAAATACTTCACAGATTAGATAAACATACAGCACAATACACTATAACATCCTATAATACATTTTGTTGGACAATTTATTGACACAAAGCCTTTTTCATAAATGTCAAATTTAGGTCAATAATTAGGTCATAAATGTCAAACCAGATACCTAACTGAACAAGGTTTTATTATCCACTGATAATTAAAATTTAAACGTAAGCTTTATAATCATGAAAGTAAATGTATAATAGATATTTTTATGCTTGAACAGTTAGCTTATTGTCAGTCGAAATTCTCAATTAAATCCAGTGTAAGATTTAACACTTCTGTTATATAATAAAAATAATTTGCTAACCTCATTCATGAATTAAGCATCAGCTAAAAATTGTGGAACAAATTAATTACACAAATTTAGTAAGATTTAAGTCAATATTTGATAAGTGTAGAACAAATACATTTATCAGGATTCATGACTACATTCTGAAAACAATATTTTGTTTTATATTTTAAAGGAAATGACTCACATGATTTCATTAAATATTGGAAAGTAGAGCCCAAAACTGATTAATTCCAATTTCTAAAATGTTCTAAGTTTAACAAACAAAAAATATGGTAGGATTTATATACCTTCTTATCAAGATTAGCTTGTTTCTTCCAACTTTTTTAGTAAACCTGCCTATTTTTCAGCATTTCATATATTGTTGCAACGTTAGAAAAAAAATCAAAGCAGGACCTCAGTCTTCCATCCGAAAATTAACAGAAGAAAAAAAAAAACTTAACATAAGACATTTTATAACTGTCATTAAACAGTTATAGTAAAATTTGGAACCAAAAATAGAACACAATTTAATTTGTTTTTAACCAAAATAAATATAGTTCCAGAATTTAAAAATTAATAATGTAATTTAAAAGTAGTTAAAAAATAATTTTTCCTTAAAGAAAGTTGATATTCTAATATTATATTTTATTAAAGACAAAATATGGATAACTTCAACTGTTTTTAATTATTATTAATATAAACAAACACGTTATATTTTAATCTTTAAGTCAAAATGATCTTTAGTGGTTTACAAATCACAAGTGCCACAGTGTCTAAAATTTTACAGCTGACACCCAATATGATTGAATATAATGCTAATATTTATCCAACTTTATTGCTAATATTATTTCTGGCTTTAAGATTTTTTGTAGAAACTAACTGATATTTTTAATACCTTAAAGAATAATTCGATAATTTTATCACCTGAATAACTTCATCAAATAATCAAATTTGTTCAGTCAAATCTCTGAAGATCAAACTATTTTTTCTGCTGCCCTCTTCCAAAACAGATTGTGCAATCCTACTATTTTAGAATTTATCATTTTTGTTCCAACTATCCAAAATTATAACATCAAAATGAAAACCAGAACACATGATGATTTATTTACAAATGATCTTGTCCAGGTGGTAATGGTTCTTTAATGTTTTCTTCGTCATTTTTTATAGAGCCATCTTCGGATTTTTTATCATCTTGAGACAAATCCACACCAAGGACATCTATCACAGCTTTAGGAATATTTGCCTTCTGTCCCTCATTAAATGATTTAACATGTAGGCATAATGATTCACGTAAATCTGGGCACGAACTTAGGACTTCCTCCAATTGTGGGGCAGGCAATTGCAACAACACCTGAAAAGATTTTGGTTTAGTTCTTTGGCAGCACTTAATAAAACCCTCCCAAATTTTCTTCTGTTTCCAGACTTCTTTCAATATTAACCGTTGCAATATGTGAGTAACAAAATCCAAAAGATGAGGATAGTTTGCTAAAGATTGTATAACAGTTCTCATTAATAAAATAGGCAAAGGAGTTTGTTCCATCAGCTCCTGAATAACCATCGCCAAGACAACTTGAGTGTAAACATTTTTCTCTTCCAAACAGAGTGAAGTAGCCTTGATAATTATTTTAAGGTTGCATTTAGAAGGATCAATGTTATGCAGAGCGACCAATAGTTCAGCTGGAGATATCGGGCTAGAAAAATTACTTCCTAAAAGACGATGCAAAACTTCTTTTACTACTGGTGTTTTTTGTTGAATCAATTCAGGTAATGCAGAAATTATTTCACGCTTAGAAAGACCATTAATGATTGGAATAAAGAAACGTACGTCTGGAACTCTTTTACGATATAAATCTCGAACTCTAGCAACAAGTTCGGCTGATGGTGGTGCTTTGTCAGTCAAAATATGGATGATTCTTGTAATTAATGTCTCGGCTCCTTTAGGACAGTTTTCAACAAAGAGTAAGAGTTCAGGAGAGGCCATGCTCATGCCTTTAACTGGTGCTTCGAGGGCACGGAGAATAATTCTTTTAATATCACCAGTGGCTTCAACATAAACAGTTCCAAGATCTTGAATGAGGCGATGGTTTATGGGCAACAAAGTTAAATACAAATGTAAACATACTTTAGTCAAATCTTCAGACCAAGTAACAGGCCTTTGTTTGAAAAACAGGAAGAAATCAGTTGGTGGGTCAGTATGTAACAAAAACTTGAGACTTCTTAAAGCAAAAGCTTCAATGAATGACCTCATATGGCCACTTTCATGGATGTCAACTGCTGCTTTTACAGCTTTTGTCCGTATGTCACAATTTTCATGAAGAGTAAGGTCACATATTACTCCTAAAAACAGCAACTTCTTTGTAGGTCTTCTAAAACTCATGCTTTCAGCCATTTCAAGAGCTTCAGCAGTAGATGATTCATCAATACAAACAGTTTTCAGAGACTCAGCCATCCCTTCTGTAATAAATGGAACATCCAAGAAAAAACGAGTGTAAAGAGCATGGTTTTCTTCGTCACTCTTCAAAATGCCACCCAATAGAGAATCGACTGCTTCTTCATAATTTTCAACATGGCTTTCTATGGAACATTCAAATCCTCTATAAGCAGAATATTCTTGATATATCCAAGAAAATGCTAGATCTAATCTATTGCGGGGATTTTCCATGATATGATTTTTCAAATCAATGGAAAAATCACCTCTAAATCGGGTAGCTAAGTTAGTAAGCAATTTTGTTCTAATTGGAGCAGCACCTCTTTTAGTAATCATTTTTTCAGCATTCAAGATTCGATTATAAGCAGCTCTACAAAAATTATTAGACTCTTCTTCGTTCATTGATTTCGCTATGGCTTGGAAGTCGATTTTCTTAGATATTCTATTAGCTTTTATTTGGGAGCCACCACTAGGCATTAAAACAAGCCCTTGCTTTTTAGGCTTCATTTCTGTAGTTTGGCTTACTAGAGTTTGGATTGGTTTGGGTACATTAGAGGCTGCCTCATCCTCATCACTTTCCACTTTTTCATTTTCCATTTTATGTTTCATTTGTTCCACACCTTTTCCAATTCCAGCCAAAGTTAATTGTGTGGCTAAAAGACGAGCCAGATGTTTAATCTGAGCTTCGGTGCCAGCAGCTGCAATAGGAGTGTATGTGGACTGAAAGTTAGTAGGCATAACATCAGGCAAACTTAACATGCTTACTAATACTAAATCAACAACATTTATACTGTGAAATTTGGGTACTAAATCCTCAGCTGTAATATCAATAGCTGTGTTTTTAGCTTTAGTTCCTTTCTCAAGACTGGATTTTATTTTGCGAGGTCTTGATGAAGATGGTATATCTTCCTGTTTTGCACTTCTGTCCTCTATTTTGACGCTAGGTTTTTTGATTGCCTCTGCATCCGGAAAGCATCTACTTATCTGCTGAGGTGATGCACCTAAATCAGAGAGCATGATTGATATTCTTGATTGAAATTCGACAGCGCCAGGATGCTTAACCAATTGAAAGAGCTCTAATTTTAAATTCTTTCTTACACTACTCACTTGTGATTGACCCAACGTTGGTGGCAGATTTGCATGAAGCAATTCAAATGCTTCTAAAACTTTAGGAAAAAACTCAAATCTTTGCCTTCCTATTGAAGTTAAAACTTGCATGCAAGCCATAAGGTTACAAAGAGACACATGGGAAGCACAATGAAAAGCAACAATTCGCTGGAAAATATCTTTGGCTTCTTCTTCCATCTTCCTGGGTCGAAAAACTTTTAATATCACTGGTATCTCATCCAAAGATAAATCAGTGTTTTTCGGATCTGCATATTGGTCTTTGAATGTTTGTGCAAGAATAACATGTTCCATAAATTTTGTAGCTGAAGTACGGACTCCTTCATTGTCAGACTCCAAGAGCGAGACAATTGTTAATTTTAGTTCTGTCATTGAAGCCCAAATAGCTTCCATTACATCATCAACATGTTTTGCATTTACAAAATAACGAATAGTTAGAGGATAAAGATGAGTTGTTGTTTGGATAACTTTTTTCTGAACTTTGACCGATTCATCGTGTAGCATCATCAACAGATTGTTGATTACTTTTGGAAGAAATTGTAAGTCTCTCCTACAAACATCCTCAATGAATTGTACAATGAATCTGCGTACTTCAGGATCAGTGTCATGTTGAAAACTTACTACTTCATCCAGAAAGTTGTCCAGCAACTTAGGTTCTTTCTGTATGATCAGTTCTTTGACAATGAGCAGATTTTTCAGCTTTCCATTTTCTTCCTTTGGTGTAACAGCATCATTGAGGAGCTGGACAATTCGATCAGCAGTCACTGATTCTTGTACAGTTTCTTCTTCAACAAAAAATTGAGCAGCAGTGCTACGTCGACATTCTACAGTTTTCTTTTTTAATTTTTGAACCAAATCTGTTTCTGCTGAAAGAAAGGAAACAAATAATTATGTTTTTTGAAACAAATCACAATATAGTTGACACTAAAAAAATTTGGAAAAAAAAGGGTAACAATTTAAAGAATAAATAACCAGAATATAAACAGCAGTTTAAGTTCATTTACACTCTAATATTGATTACTAATTTAGTATATAAATCTCTTTTGAGGTACATTAAAAAAGTATTCTTAAAATGTAACTAAGATATTTCAGGATTCTGGTTTTCTTTTTCTTATTTATCAACATAATTTCAGAAAATTCTAATTAATAATAATAATAATTAAAAAAAACATGAATTAGATGAAAAAATATATGAGATCTTAGTTACAAACTCCACTAAAAAAAATTTATATGTCTCTAATAACAAATTTATAGACTTTAAAGCTATTATACAATTAGTATAATATAATACAACATAACCTAGCAAAGCCAATAACATGCAATATTTAATTTGTTTCTTTCTTTCTTTGAATTGAGACTTAATTTCCCCCCGGCCAGAATCATATCTGGTTGAACGAAATGAAACGGGGAAAAAAAAGTTTTTTTTGTGCACTCGAACAAAATAATAATTTTAAATGTTAATGATAAAAAAACAATTCTAAGCATCGAAAATGGTCATTAATATACGCTATTAAGGATATAATATAATATATATAATATAATATAAGTTTTTTCCTACAAAAAAATATTTGTAGAAACAAAAATTCTTCTCAAAAATGATTTGTTAAGAGATATCAATGAAAAATATGCCTAATAAAATTGACCTCACCTAAATAACTTTTTAATTTAACTAGTAATTTTCTCTCTCTCTCTCTCTTTTTCAATACAATTATGTTGCTAGATAAATTTCATTGAATTTTAAAAAACTAAGTTTCTTTATACCATGTCTTTTTTAAATTTACAACAAATTACACCATATACAAACTAAATACAGTATTGTAGTGTAACTACCACTACAATAATACAATTCCAATTCGCTAGTATAAAAGACTTGTTAACTCAATTCTATCCTGAGATACCTTTTGATAGATGAAAGTTGACATTGTTAAAAGCTACTTTCTCCTCAGTATTTTATTATAATATTATGATTAAAATTTTATCCAAAACTTACAATAAACAATATTGAAAAAATAACATATAGTTGCTATCTTAAACTAAGTATTTTTAAAATAATTTTTAATGATGGAAACTGAATTAAACTTTACAATCCTATCAAATTGAAAAGAAAAGAAACCAAAGCTTTCTTTGCTTTTGGAAATTTTATCTTCTAGTTTATTTGAAGAAATTCCCAGGAATTACATTACGCAGCAAACACTGTACACATAGCCGTAAGTAAAACATTGGTATGAATCAATACTTTGAGAAAAGCTGTGAATTTAATCAGCAACTAACTCTTAAAGAACACAGTTGGGGGGAAAAATGATTTTTAACAATTTTCCTTGTATTTTTACTAATATTTGTGAGACAATTCAGAGGACAAATAAAAAGTCATTATGGACCATTTCTGGAATAAAGAGTCATAGGTTGTGCATTCCTGATAAGACATCATTTTTTAATAATTGTAAATCTTTTTGATATAGAAATGAATACAAAATTTGCTTCGTTAAAAATTTAAAATAAGAGGTAAAGTACTAACCTTCAGCTTTTCTTTTGGAGGGGAGAGAGCTTTTCTGAGCTTCAGTTGTTTCCGTTCTAGTAGAGCTTCTACTTGAAGAAGAATATCGTTTATACTCTTCCTTAGAAGATGAGGAATGTCTCGAACTTTTCCTGGTTGAATCCATCAGACTGGTCTAAATAAAGAGAAAAATTTTAGGAATAATATTTTTTAATTTTTTTCATATGCTGTGCTAAGAAAATAAAACCTAATTGAATAAATTGCCCTAGTGGTAGTGAACTAGAGCTTCTGTTTCTAGATTTAGAGCTGTTAATAGATCTAAAAATTCTAACAAGATTCAACCAGTACTAAATAAAGCAAAATTTGTGTCAAATCCAGGCATAAGAATATTTAAAAAAATGTGTTTAGGAGGTGAAGCTTTACAAGTTTTTAAAATTTTGAATAATCACTAATAGATAAGCAAGTCAAAAAATAGAATACATAAACATTCTAATTGTAAAGAAATAAGGATGTTTATATTTTGTATTTGATTGCGTTTGCGTGGTTCGTATATTACGAGCTCATGAAGATAATGTTGATCTAATTTTAGATAAACAACAACAAAAATAATGAATAGCGGATTAATTGTTAATATGCATTTATTAAGAACCGCACATCGATCTATCTTTAGATGCAATGAAATCCAACTAGGAAGCAACTTTTTTTTCTAATTAATGTAGGTGGCGCTACTATTACTGCATACATACCGGCTTCAACATAGCGGGCCACCTTGAAACATAGTTTCAAGATTTACACATCAATAAACAAAAACCAAATTTCAACTATACACATCTAATAAAAAGAATAATTATAAAAACTTATGCAACATACATGAAATTGAATATATATATCATAAACAGATGTATAGTTTCCTTGGTATAAACCAGATAACTATAACACAAAACAAAAAGAAAAGTCTAAAATAAAGAAAGTTAATCAGTCAATAGGTAAAACTGACAGTTTGTGAATGGATCTTTTATAAGTTCCAGTCTCAGTTTTGACACTGACCACTCTTACCTTAGCGTCAGCACTAGGGAAAACTTCTTGTATATGCCCCAATTTCCACTTCAAAGGTGGAATATTGTCCTCTTTAATGAGAACTAAATCGTTAATTTTCAAATTAGGCTGAACTCTCAACCATTTGGGGAGCTGTTGTAAGCTGGAAATATACTCAATTAACCCATCTTTTCCAAAAATTCTGGAAAAGTTTTTGAGTTAACTGCCAACATTTTAATGGGGGTATGTTTTCGTTTAGAAGGTTCTCTTCTGGTATAGAAGAAAGAGTGGTTCCCACAAGGAAATGTCCTGGAAGTGCTGAAAGTTCAGCGGGATTGTCCGACACAGGACACAAAGGACGAGAGTTCAAGCAGGATTCGATTTGTGCAATAAGAGTTAAAAACTCTTCAAGGGTCAATTTATGATCACCTATTGTTCTTTTCAAATGCGATTTTGAGGATTTCACAGCAGTTTCCCATATTCCTCCAAAGTGAGGTGCTGAAGGTGGGTTAAAATGCCATTTAATTTGTTCATCGGCAAAATACTGAAGGAGATTTAACCACTCGATTAATTTCCTTATTTGCGGCAACAAAATTTGAACCACAGTTTGAAAATAATTCATTTGATTTTCCTCTTTGCACAACAAATCTTTTTAGAGCTGCAATAAATGATTCAGCGGTTAAATTTCCAACAAATTCAATGTGCACCGCTTTTGTCGCGAAACACACAAAAGTTCACTTATTAATGCAACGGCTTCGTCAGCACTTTCTGCTCCAAACAAGCCGTCATCTACAGAAAAATTATATAAGACTAAATTAGCTGCTTTAGGAAAGCCCAATCCTTCATCGATGACTAATTGTTTTAAAACTTGCGTTGCCAAATAACTGGCCGGCGTGGTACCATATGTTACGGTACACAAACGATATTCCTTAACTGGTTTCATGGGATCATCTCTCCATAGAATTTTTTGAAAATTACGATCTTCACTATGAATCTCTATTTGCCGATACATTTTTTGCAAATCACATGCTATCGCGATATTGTAACATCTAAACCTTAGAAGAATAGCGAAAAGATCGTCTTGTACTTTAGGACCATTCATTAGCGTTTCATTCAATGATAACCCGGATGTAGTTTTTGCGCTGGCATTAAAAACAACCCTCAATTTTGTGGTTGGACTAGAATCATTAATTACGTGATGATGCGGGATAAAATAGTGCTAATTTTTGTTATCTAAATTTAGATTATTAGCTTCCTCCATATGCCCAAGAGAAAGGTATTCCGCCATTAATTTTTTGTATTGAAAATAAATATCTCGAGTTTTTAAAAGTCTTTCTTTCTAGACTAAAAAGCAATTTGAATGCGGAGGCTTTTGAATTTCCCAAAATTCCCTTATTAGGTTTAAACGGGAGTCTAATGGAATATCTGCCTTCTGTATTGCGTGTGACATTTTCCACAAAATTTGTTTCAAAAAGGTTTTCTTCCTTTGTAAGCGGTTGTGTTGAAGGAATTTGTTCCAATTCCCAGAATGTTCTAAGTCATCGGTACTAATATATTAAAATTATTAACTGAAATTTGCTTGGTTTTAGCGCATTCAAAAGTAGTTGCTCCGGAAATTATCCAACCTAGTTTAGAGCATACTGCGAAAGGGAGATTTTCATCGCNGGAGTGTCCGCTTTGCGGAGAATGTAAGTAATGGTTTATTCATAGAAGATTCCCGGGGAATTAAAAGTATGTCCGTATTGAGAGGCGTCCGTTTTGCAGGAGTGTCCATAACAGGAGGTTTCACTGTAATAAAGTTTTTCTCAAACTCAGATCCCGAGTCTAAGAGGATTCGACAGTTAATGGATTCATTTTGAGAATTTATAACCTTGACTATAGCTGTGCATAAAAGAACTGAAGAATTCCTTTGATTTATGTTATCGCCCAAATGCTCACTATTCGAATAATTCGCACAAACTGTAGACGAAACTTCATTAATAGGCGCGGCTGATGGCGTTGTTGATTTCTGTTCATCTGCTCTGGTTATAAATTTAGGGGCACTTAAAGAGGGAAAAAAGGGTTTCGGTTTCTCATCTCTATGCAAAGAGCTCTGATGTCTGCAATTACACTTAAAACAGGTGTCAGAAGATTTACATTTTTTTATGGCGTGAATTCCTGATAAACAGTTATAACAAAGATTATTACTTTTAACGAAATCAATCTTTTGCTGAACCGGTAAATTACAAAATTTCGAACACTTTGAAATATAATGATTATCGTTACAATATACACATATAGAAAGCGAAACAAAAGAATTCACTTTAGTATTAATAGGTTTTTGAAATTTACTGGACGAACTTTTGCTGTTTTGAAGAGTTCTAGCATAGCTTTTTAAAAATTCTATTAAATCTTTGAATTTGGGTATTTCAGTATTATTTAATTGGCGCTCCCACGACAATTTAGTGGAACTATCTAACTCTTGCAACATTAAAGTGTCACTAAAAGTATCCATTTTTTGGCCTAAAGTTTCTAATGAATGAATAATTTCATTTACATTATCAACGAAGCTTAATAAAGATGTAGCGGATTCATTATGAATATTCAGAAGATTTAAAAAGCGTTTAATATGAGCAAAAATTTGTTCTCTTGTATTTGAATACCTTTCGTCTAACAGATTCCAAGCTATTTCAAAATTATTATCTGAAATTGCGATAGATTGAACGATTCGCGAGACATCACCTTTTAAAGATGTCTTTAAATACTGAAGCTTTAGTGCGTTTGATAACAATTCATTTTTAGTTACGGTCGCTTTATATAAATCTTTAAAAGTTAGCCAGTTGGTAATATTACCGCTGAAAAAAGGTAAGGAGAGTTTCGGAAGTTTTATAATTTCACTTGCGTTTTTCTCGAAGTTTGGAGCAGAAAAAACTGACTCATTTCTTGGTTGCTCGTTTAGTTTCTTCCCACTGCGAAATTTCCATAATATAATTTTTTCTTCATAGTCATTCGCTTTATCTAGTTCGTTATTTAATTCAGTTTCATCTTCAATAAGATTTTCAACAGCAGAGTTTATCGTTTTTAACTCAGTTTCTTTTATTTTTAATAGCTCTAAGTTTTCAGCTAATACATCAAAATTAATTTCTTCTACTGATAAATTACCTTATATTTTTTTCAAATAACCGGTTACTGCTCTTCGTACAGAAGACAGTTTTGTTTTTAATTTTTGGAGTTCTAATTCTTTTGCCATGTTTAAAATAGTTCAAATAAGTATAAAGTCTACTTATCCCTTCTTCGGGATAAATATTTAGAATATATTACCAGCGTTAGTATTCCAATGGAAGGCGTTGATTTCTATTTAATGCGCAACACTATCTTCACAAACCATGCTCCGGCTCGACTTCACCATGTTAATATTTTGTATTTGATTGTGTTTGCGAGGTTCGTACATTACGAGCTCATGAAGATAATGTTGATCTAATTTTAGATAAACAACAACAAAGATAATGAATAGCGGATTAATTATTAATATGCGTTTATTAAGAACAGCACATTGATCTATCTCTAGACGCAATGAAATCCAACTAGGAAGTAACTTTTTTTTTCTAATTAATGTAGGTGGCGCTACTATTACTGCATACATACTGGCTTCAAGAAAGGAAATGTTAGTTGCAGAAAGCTTTAAAAATTAAATATAATAATTTTAATTTAATCAGAGGACATATATAGTTAGAGTAAATAAGATTACTAAAAGTGCCCTATCTTTGCTCACTGCACTTAAAATAAAGTTTACAATATGCTTTATATAGGTAGGCAATACTGACTGTACATCACTGATAACAAATGAGTGAATGAAGGCTAGTATGAAAACTGAGAAAAATTATACAACACAATGTGAACCTGAATATTGAAAGGTAAACAAAATGGGGTTGCATACAGAGTGTTGCCCATTGAAGTCCAAACCTCTGTTTGTCTCAGATGGTGTATTCAAGAATTGCAATCCTAGATATGTTTTATTTTCAGTTCACTTGAAACTTTAAAAGTCAATAGACAATTTATTAATAAAACAATGAATTTTTTGTTGATTATTAAAATTTTTCACAATTTTGCAGGAAATATAAAAATTAATCTTCAATTTTTAAAAGAAAATTCTCAAACAAAAGATTTTAGTTTCTCAATTACCGTATTTTCAAGAAAAAAGCGAAGTTTAAGTCCAATAGAGACCTTCTTAATTGCCATGTCATAAAAAAAAATGGCTATGAAAACATACGTTTTTTAGAAAAAGAAAGATAGAAACCAAAACAAAAATCAATTGCAATATTAAAATAATAGATTTAACACTAAAAATTTTAATTTGACTTTTTCACATTGCTGTAGTTTCAGAAAAAAGTGACCATAAAAGAATTAAGTTCATTCGAAATGCTGTTTAAAAAATGTCATAATAAAAAAAATCAAAAGAGAAAAACAAAAAAAAAGTTCTTAGTTCTGAAACATAACTTTAACGTTGAAAAATACAGTATTCTATGTTATTTTTGTTTTACTGTACAAGAAAAAAGTGGTTATAAAAGAATAAAGTCTGTTAGAAACACTAAGCTAACATGTTTCACTTTAGTTAAAACAGAAAAACAAATAAAAAGGAAACCAGAAGAAAAAAATCAATTTTTAAAATATAAAGTTTTGAAAAAATGATGAAATTGACTTGCCTGTATAGCATTAAAAAAAAAAGAAAAAATCAGCATTAAAAAACTCCAGGTTCAGTATAAATTCGACAAATTTTACTTTCCCATGCTTCCATTACTTTCAGAACATAAATTAACAAGTTTTAGAATTTAACAAATATGTGTACAAATTATTTCCAATAACATATAGTAAAAAATACAATATCAGATTATTTTTTATTACATCTATTAAAAATTCTGTAAAAAAATCTTTGTAGAAAAATAATTTTTCAAATAATACCAATAAATAAGCCAAATAGGCTGAATACCTAATAGTGGCTAAATATTCGTTACATCACTACTGCCCAGTAATTATTTCAAGATTAAAAACTATCCTATACAGCATAATAGTTCCAAATTTTTTAAAAATGGATCTTGTTTCAGGATCTCTTTAGAAATAAAAAAAAGGCAAGGTGTAACTGTAGAACAACTTCAGTTTCGGAGGGCACTTTCTATTAATGCCATAAAATAAAATTTTAGCAAAATTCAAATATATTAATAATAAAAACTAATACTATATTTTAGAGAAGAAATGATCAAGATTTATAAATATATAAATATATGTTAAAACAAAATATCTAGAAAGGGAGAAGCGAATAATTTATGGGAAAGCAGGGTGGTAGGTAAAGCGGTGATATTTCCGTATCGTGATCTGTCTAGCCAACTACAATTGTCAAGGTGCCAAATTGATTTTAAATTTGCACATTTTTTTTAAAAAAAACACGTAGATGTTAGCCCGGGGTTGGCTATGAGTTATACCTTTCGAGTTGGTCCCTTTCTGCGATGTTTTTTTTTTTTTTAAAGTTTCTCACGGGCCACTGCCCGGAAGTTTCCTAGACTTGGCGATAATTCTGCCACAGATCACGATACGGAAGTCTTCCCGTAACAAATNGGGGGGGGGGGGACTTGACTTGGACTTTCGATTATTCTTTTCCAAGACTTGTCGATTATTCTGCCACAGATCACGATACGGAAATCTCCCCAATTTGTAAATTAAAGAGAATGTAAGGGCAATAATTAATTACAAACATTCAATATAGTTATCTATCTATGGTCAGTAAAAACTACATGAATAAACAAACGAGAACTATGTAAAACGAAAAGCATAGAGTAAAACTAGTTGAGAAGCAACTGTGTGCACTTAAACTTAAATCTCCTTGCTTTATTAATTTAGCTAATAGGTAATCCTCATTCACTTGCAATTGACTTCATACTATAATATGCTAGGTATAATGTAATAAATATAAAGCAGCAATTTGTGACGAGAAAAATCAATCAAATTTGAAACCCATATTTTAGTTTAGTTAATAAAAATTGGTAAATTAAAAAGTTCACACTTAAATTGATTTTTAAAATAATGTTTTAAAAACCAGTAATGGAAAAAATGTGAAGACTGAAATGTTTACTAAAAAGTATGTTGCGATGCATCATAATTTACCTTGGAATCAGTTTTTGAAGAATATTTTACAATTGTTTTTAAATTATGCTTCCCATTTCTCCTTAAACAAACACATTTGTCAAAAAAAATTCCTTATTTGCAGCCGTTTGTTTAACAAGTTGCCATCTTTTTAATAACGGTCAAAGTTAAAGTGATTAAATGGAAAGTTTTTGATGACCTTTTTTTGTTATGATAAAGTTTTCTCACTCACATTTTCAAAACTGAAGTGAAATAAGTACTTAATCAATATATCAATACATGGCATCAATTCCTATGGCTTCAATCAATCATCAAATAACTTGTAAAAATTTTGTAATGAAAATTATATTTTAAAATAGAACTAAGAAGAGAATTCATTGAGCTCTAGATAAGTATTTAAAAAATTTGTGCATTATTATTTGAATCTGGTGAGTTCTTAAAATGCCTCTTCGCAAACAAATACCTGCTAAACCGTCGGCACGAGCTGTTTATTCAAAACAAGTATGTATGAACATTTATGAATTAGCCGATTTTCTGACGATTGCTCTATTTAATATTTGTACCAATCGAATTAGTTTTTCTATTGAAAAATTATTAACCCATATTTTTCAATATGTAAATTAAAGGTGTCTTCATTTCATTAAGCAAGGTTTGAAGTATTATTTAAACAAAAAATGTTTTTAACTTTTAAGAGTATGGAATCTTATTCTCTCACTTGCAATTTTTTCCTCCCTTCTAATACACACACAAAAAAAAAAATTCTCATTGAAATATTTATACTTGTTCAATTTTTGTCTTTTAAAATCAACACTTGCAGTATCGTTTATAAGTAAGTTAGTTTTTTGCTTTTTAAAAGGGGATTTAGCCGATATATAAGTCTATGTAATTGAAACTAATGCAAAATCATCGGTGAACACAACAAAGTAATTTGAGCCTCCCAGTGACGCCGGTGAAATCTTTCCTACTACATCAGAGTGCACAATTTCTAATGTTTCATTAGCTCGTGTGTTTGAGATTTTTGGAAACTTCTTGCGCTTCATCTTTCCTTGAATGCACACAGAGCATGGCTTGTTTGTTTCAAGATTGGATTCCTGTTTACTTTTAGTGGTTATTATGTTTCTCAAAGTGCCTGGGGAAGGGTGTCCTAGCCTGCGATGCCAGAGTCCATTCTACTGGATCGTTGAAATGTACGCTGCAGGACAATCTTCTTCTATAATATATAGTCTTCCCTGTCTTCTAGCTCTCAAAACAATTTCACCAGTTTCTGCCAGTATTTTTGCTTCACCATGGGCAAATTCGATCTTAAAACCTTTTTCTTCAATTCTGCCAATCGACAGCAAATTTCCGCCCAAGTCTGGTACATACAATACATTTGCAAGATTAATGTTGCTTTTGGTAGAATCTTCGTGAACTGAAATAGTGATGTTTCCTGTTCCGGTAACTTGAACTTTTTCAGAATTCGCCACTTCTACCACTGAGGTGTAATCAGTTAGCGATTCGAATTTCTTTCTGTTTGACCTCATGTGCTCTGTAGCACCACTGTCTAGAATCCAGATTGTTGAGTCTTCAGATTTAAATTTATTTGTTAGAAAGGCCCAGTTCGTTTTTAAATCTATAGCAGTCTTGGCACTGCTTTGATTTCTTCGTTGTGCTTCTTCACAATTTTTGGAGATGTGACCCCATTCTCCGCAGCTAAAACACCTGACAGTTTTCTTCGAATTTGCAGCTGTTTCGCTGTTTCTTTTTGTTGTCCATTTCTTCACAGTGTTTGTCTGCATTGGTCTTTTTTGATTATAGTTTCTTGTGTGAAGTGCCCGTTCTTCCTGCTCTTCAACATTTGGCACATTTCTATATATTCTTTTTTCTTCAACTAATAGTCTAGACTTCACAATGGTTGTTGTCAAGTTATCTTCGTCCTTTTCTAAGTTCAGGATTAAGCTTTCATATGATTTTGGCAGACCTATTAACATGACGAGGGCAACTTCTCTGTCGGTGAAAGCGTAACCACCACTCGACAGTTTTCGGTGTATTTCAATCAATCTGGTCAAATATGATTGAATTGTTTCACCAGGCTTCAAGGTAATGTTAAAAAAGTCCTTCATTAATTGTAAAACATGCAGTAAGCCAAATTTGGTATGCATATCCTTCAATACAATCCATGCGTCCCTCGCTTTGGCGCAGTCGCCAATATCATCCAAAAACGTATCTTCTACAATCAAGAACATTAGAGTTAAAGCTTCATCATTTTTCTTTCTCTCATTTTCGGACATTTCAGCAAGTCCATAGCCAGGCTCAACTGCCTCCCAGCATTTCTTCTGCACCATCAGTGCACGGGCACGTATTGCCCATGCATGATAATTTTCGCCGTTCAACTTCTTCAATTTGTATTCTTCCATAGCGGCGATTATTATTGTGCTGCCTATCTTCTTAGATCCGAATTTCTAAT